TCTCTCACTCCTACATAATTAGAGCCGTTACCTTCATTAACATATGTGGCCGAATTAGACAACTCTAATTGGTCCCATTACAGTTTTTACCATTCAATTACAGGCTGGTGTACACATTCGATATGGTACGTTAATGTTAACGATTTCGAGCGATTGCTGTTTTCGAGCAATTTACTGTGTGCTTCGTTAGGCTGTAGCTTGTCTGATTGGATTAGTTGGGAAAATAATAGGTTTTATTGGACAAACATTTATTCAAGGTTAGGAAACTCATTTAACGTTGTTTCCATAGATCAATGAGGATGTTTTGTGTAAATAATCCCTGAATTTATACTCCCAGAAGTATTTACAAAATTATTTACTCACCGTTTGTGAACAAATTGATACTAATTTAATTTTTCCAAACTTTTACCATAAAAAATAACTGCCGCTCTTCCAGTATAGCTAGTATAAATTCGTTCAAACAATCATACAAGATATTTTGATTTACCTTGCAAGACCAATCAAAGATGAATTATTTACTTAAGCATTTCACCTACATACCAACAAAGTTTACTATCACCTTTACAAGTATTTATATTATTTTCGCACCAATTCAAAATGCTAAAACTTCTACCTCAATCACCCCCAATAAATGGAGAGTTCCTTATGTAACAATGTAGAAACCAATGGAAACCTATCTTTGTATAACTTACATCGTAACTTTGTACACATTGCTCTAAGTTTAAACCGGTAAACACTTGTTAGGGTTTCCAATCCAAGTACAATAGATTTCTGTTGAAACCCAACTAATGTACTCGCTTTAGTACTTTAAAATTTAGGAGGACTTAGTAGACGTAGTCTGGAATTATAATTTTCACAATACTTCTACTAGATACAACAACATAATGATGTATATCTACACCAATATAACAGAAGATGGTATTATAGGCCTACAGGTGAGGACATTTTATGTAAGTGGTTACTTAGGTGGTCGGCGTGGAGTATCTTTAAGTGAAGATTTAGTTCTAATTTTCTTTCAGCTTCAAGACTTTTTTATTGATTTCAGAAAACTTAAATCACATGAGAACGTCACATTCAATTGATTTGCAAGAATAGATCTTGGTCAATTTTAAAAATATGCTGCAGTCCGGTAAAGGGTAATACATCATTTAACAATTTCAAAACATTTCAAAACGTTGTTTAGTAGAATTAAAAGTAAATTTGATGTTTTAGTTATTTTTATCCTCAATAAATTCATCTTAAATCTCAAGGACTTCAGTCAAAGGATAGTTCGAAATATATCAAAACTTACTTTAGTGTCAAGCAAAAGTTACCTGAAGTTCACACAATAGTCTAATAAATTCATAAAAATATTTCAAATGTTTCAAAAAGTTTGTCTTGGCATACATCATACATCATACAACAAGTTCAAATCATCTTAAAATGTCGTTACAAAGTCGAAAACAGTTTCAGCTCTTGTTTCCCCCCAACTTAAGAGGATAAAAAAGAGAAACGTTCTGTCGAACCTTTCATTAAAGCCGTGCAACCAAATTAAACAGACATTGTGCTATGACTCCAGTGATGTGAACAGTCTCATGGTTATATTGTGGACGAGTAACGGAGTTGAGAAAACTTCATTAATTAGGCAAAACTACGCCGCTTTTGTACAACTCGCTGATACGGATGTGTAGAAATCGCGATTCGTGGAAAATCATCTTTGAGGATCATTGTGGATCGTACCTTGTCACTGTTGTGGTTAGAAAATATGAAATATTGTTGTGAACGGTTCGAAAGTTTAAGTATTTTTGTTATTATTCTGTTTTTATTCAGTTTTTTTTCGATTAATATTTATAATTTTGTCAAAGAGTAATTTGTCGTGGGTGGTGGTTCCGTTGTTGTGTTGTATATTTCACAAATAATAAATTTTTAAATAATAAAAAACACTCGAAGTTTTAGTACTGTATCGATATATTTTTCTAAAGTGAAGTTGAGAACAGGGTTTTTACACCTACACTATAATATGAGCAAGGAAAATTGTAATAGAATTCCTTTACGAAAAATAAGTATTCATTTCATTTTAACCACATTATGCCATAAACCATATACTTTCGCACATCACAATATCCGTAAAATTAATGGATACTACATTTGTATGGAATATGCAATGGGAGGACATTGGAAATGGAATGCCTGGATGTTGAGCCATGGAATTAAGGAATGTTTGAACCGGACAGTGTCGGATGGTATGCAGGGATGACTGGGGTAGGTGTGAGAGAATAACACCTCTGAAACAAGCGTTATTGGTAGAAACACGCTTGTTTAGTACTCTTGGAAACGCCTTGTATGGTGTCAGGGCTCAGAAATCGCAAAACATGATTGGTAGATGAGTGTAATGTAAATGGACCATTTTTAAAATCACTACAAACATCAATATTCTTGATAGACTGAGAATTTGTAAAACGCACGAAAAGTGTTCAAAACATTTTGATTGTATCCATACTCTTTGGGAAAGAACATCTGTGAGCATACACAATTTTTTGCCGGTTTCTTAACAAATATTTTCTTACAAATTTCCTCTTTTTTTGTAACATGATTTTAGTTGAGAAATTAAAAATAGGTTCTACTTTAAAAGGTTTTAGTTATCTCGCTTAGTAGCGTTTACATAATTTGGTTACTAAAAGCATAATTTTGAAAATATTAAGGAGATAAACTAATGCAAATCTAACATAAGTATTGATGGAAAGTATCAGAGGAACCTAAAATGGAACAACTATTCTTATTGTACAAACCAAATGACACATGATCTATATTCTCAACATATGCCAAGTCTACAATACGAATCTAATGTCGTACAAGAATAATGATTGTATTTGTGAAACCTATCTTATAATACAGGTTATAAAGTAAAATTTACAAACCTATCTCCTAATATTTCCAACCCCTTTTGTTGGTTGTCCAAGTAAATGATCGACGTTTAACACAACTACACGTTAAGCCCCGAGATCTAAGGTGTTACGACAGTAAAGTCATTTCGGTTTTCACAGAGTGTACTGGGTATATCGGGTAATGCAATATTAAATTCCAATACCGCAGCATTCTGGTATTCAGCGCTCTATGGCGCTGCGGCTGAAATTTCACTCAAAGCGTTCTCCACGCTGCATATTTGTGCTCAACCTTTGTGTTTTGTCTACATCGATTCCTTTACACTGAACACAACGATCGATTATCGAATCGCTTCGTGCGAGGGTAATCGGTTGACGTTTTTGGGTCAAAGGGGTCAACTAGATTTTGGTTGTAGAGTGGTTGATCAATATCGATTAGTGGATAGAAAATGTCCGTTAACAAATCTGCTTCGATCGCATAGTTTATAGGTTTTGCCCATGAGGTACAATGTTTATAGGTTTTGCCCATGAGGTGCAGTGTTTATAGGTTTTGCCCAGGAGGTACAATGTTTATAGGTTTTGCCCAGGAGGTACAATGTTTATAGGTTTTGCCCAGGAGGTACAATGTTTATAGGTTTTGCCCATGAGGTGCAGTGTTTATAGGTTTTGCCCAGGAGGTACAATGTTTATAGGTTTTGCCCATGAGGTACAGTGTTTATAGGTTTTGCCCATGAGGTACAATGTTTATAGGTTTTGCCCATGAGGTACAATGTTTTTAGGTTTTACCCATGAGGTACAGTGTAGGGTAGAAAATCCAAAATAACTACTTGTGTCGAGTGTCACATAATATCTCTTGATTTTAACAGCGACCATATTTTGGACTCAGTATCTTTATATCTTTATTCGCTGGTTCTTTACGTTCATTCTTAGACCACACAGACATTTTAGTACAAATTATAAAGTCGAAGGACGATTAATTTAAAACAAAATAAACTCCAGAATGCGTCGTCAAACTTTCGTGCACTATTTGAAACTTTACAAAAGGCCAAGTACAAAAACTACCCATTGTACCTTTCTCCACAAAACATCGTAATACACCACAATGCTCCAATACACCACGGATGATTCGACACTGTACGAACAAAGAAGTATGGCGGACGAAACACAAAAACGAGCTATTAGCTCCGGACTATCGCTGATTAACTTTGTAATGCGGCGCGCGGCGCGGCGCGGTGTAATCCAAAAATAATTATTTGTCGGATAGTTAGGCTGTCAGAAGCACTCGGGTTGAGCTACATGAGTCATACATTTGCATACGTACAATAGAGGGCGGAGGGATGCTTAACTTATGAGTTGCATTATTTCTGACCCGGCGGCAGTCAAAGATCCCCAGCGATTCGTTCATTATTAAAGTTCTAGCGTTAAAGGGGGCGCAAAAAGAATATTTGGGAACGGAATATGAGTGTGCGTGTACAGTTTCAGGGGATCATTTGAATTATTCACCGGTTTATGTTATTTTTTTCGTTTTTTTGCTAATGTCAATACAAAGTTACTCACTAGTTTAGTTCAATATTAAAACTTGAAAGATGACCTGATTATTTAATTGAATTGTTGTTCGCATTAGTTGTTTCTGAGGTGTAATTGCACCGTATTGTATTATTTGTGTATTTTATTAGTTATTTTACTTATTTGTCTCATAGGCAATCTTTATATCAATTTTCCAATGTGCCAATACTATCTCTAGTTTTCTACCCAATTGTTGCTACAATACATCATGTTCCAATACTTCCTGTTTAACTGCCCATGTGTCTATTGTTCCATATTATTGCTACAGTGTATATACAGTATTGCTCCACATTTCAAAATCCTATCCTTCATATTTCTAACCATTCCTTGTTGCGTTGATGTTACACTGTTCCATGTTCCAACATCCTATCCAATCCTCTATTATCTCGTTTTCTGGATTGCATCCTTTGCTCCATCCTCCAACACTTCTAATATTTTGTTCCTTTTCCCGTGGTTTGATATTTCTTTGCTACAGTATAATCTTCAGTGTTCCCATTTTCTCATTTGCCCCACGTCACTAGTCTATATTGGTCCATGTTCCAACGTTTCTACATCCAATGTTCCTTGTTCCAGGGTTCCATTTGTCCGGAGTAGTGACCAGTCCGCGTGCCAGCAGTCCTCCCGCGCCTCCCTACAATCCAGAGCCGGACAAGAGGTACAAAGTCTCCGTCAGTTTCGACAGGTAAGTCACCACATCAATACCAATACTGTATTGTGAGGTTGAGATGGGGTTATGTGATAGGGACCCACCGAAGGTGTATTTTAAACGTTGAACCCACATGGGTGAAAGAATGATTGTAGAATGGAATGAGATGCATTTTGTTTCTTGTTTGAAATGTTGCTTTAGCCTGAAAGGTTTTTTATTAAAGCCCGGCGATTCCTGATTATTTTCGGAATAGAAACGGCAACAATCAAAACGAGAAGTTTAACCACTCTTCTACTCTACATGTCTTTGATAGTATACGTCTATTAATAAGACGTTGTTAATTCAGTATAAATGTCTTTGTAGGCTTTATTTGTACAAATAAGTTAATTTTCGTGTGTCTAAGTTGTGGGATTTTTTTAAACATTGTACGCCTAGCACTGAGCTACTCAGATATAATGCCTTTTTACATGTCTAAAAAATTGTAAAAAAATGTTTGTATACTTAAGTTTAATTACGACTATAGATCTATTGTGAGCATCTATGTCATTACAATTTATTGCTTCAACAATATTTTATAATAATCTGAAAACCCCCACTAATTTGTTGGATGCCGTATGTCAATAATCAGCTAAAATTATCACAATCGTATTGGAAAGAATCAAGTTTATCTCAACCAAAAACGATTAGAAACGAAAGTCTCAATGGACAGTTCTCCTTTAAGTTGGTTGTATCTGTTCAACAATGCCGACTGACGGAAGGTGAGGAGGGGGGGGGGGTTACAGGTGAATCGACACACACACGCACACCAACACACACACTCGCGCCACAACAATGCAAGATGCAGCACACGACAGACCGGATACGCGTGTATCATCGCCGGAAGTTGTCTTCGGTTTCCTCCCGCAGTAGTCCGGTCTTTGCACTCGTCTTCTTCCTCTTTCCTCTCCCAGCCTTCTTGGTTACGTGTTCGTGTTGCATATTCGGCCGCACGCGCCAATCTGTTGTTGAAGAATACAAATTGTCGGGTGATTTGGAGGGAATATTAAGTAGGATTTTTTAAATGTTGTTCAGTTGACAAGTTTTAATAAACATTTTATCACTTCGTTAAGTGGCTCTTTTCGTCACGACTTCGAGTTTACTTGTCTTATAAGTAAAAGAAGAGTGGATTGAAATCTATTCAAAACATTTGGTCTGTTGAAGAAAGTGAAAAGTAATGCATCCACGGACGCATGAGAAATTAAAATTAAATCTACTGAAATACGCTGACATTTCATATTAGTCTAAAAATCTACAAAAGAAAACTGATTGTACTAAAATACCAATACTTCATTAACAGACAAAGCTTTAAAAAGTCTTAATATGACTAAATATTATAGGAAGAAGATAGACCCTAGGCATACAGTGTTTTGGAAGTATAAAATCGTAGAGTAGATAGGTAAATTATATCTTGATTTACATTAAATTTTACTACCCTTTGTTTTCAATAGTTGAATCACTTAGAGCAATGTGCTGAGGAAATGTAGATAAGTTTCAATTAAAGGATGGAGTCGTATTGATAGAAGCACCGTAAAATAGACAATGGCAGACTATAGTAGGATACTCATTGTGTTTTATCGAACTACTTATTGTTAGGCACGATAACACGATATTAGGGTTGTAAAATTGTTAATGGACATCATAACATTTATAATGGTTGTTGTATCTGTTGTTGCTAATTTTACATTAACAATTAAAATAGGAGTATAGTTGGGACATTTTCCGTTAATTCACTTGTATTCGAGCTCTATACTAAACTCTAACCTAGCCTAACCAAGTTTAATTAACTACCACTTCTATTGCTAGTAACTTATTGATCTAAAAAGTAGTGGTAGTGAGTTAACGGAAAAGGTCCTATAGTTGAACTAGTCTATTTTCCATTCTTACTTTTTTGGTAGGCCTAATTTGGAAATAACTACGTTTTAATATTATGCTTAAGTTTACAGTTTATCTTGGTTAAAATGTTAGCGTAGACTAAAATCAGTAAAATACATTACAAGTGGTTCAGTTTAATCACATTTATTTAATTCTAAACATGCTACAACCATACATTAAATTCCTACTTGTGTGTTTCCAGATGCAAAATCACCTCAGTAACATGCAGTTGTGGCACGAAGGATATTTTCTGGTGTCAACATGTGGTGGCGTTGTCGCTCTATCGTATCAGAAATGCAGAAATCGTCAGACTCAGGGTTCCCATTTCAGGTAAGAAGAAATATTAATCATTTGTGTACCTCAATCGATACATCAAGATGATAATTTACACACCTACGTATTCTGCATGTGAATGCAGGCCCTAGTTATGTTAGCAAGATCAGCTGTTAATTTCGCCAAGACAATCTTAGCCCAATGATCGAAGACAGCTGTGTCCTCTACTTTTTTTTCAAAATCAGCTTCGGAGGAATCAGTGTTCGCATTAATACAGGATGATTTAGATAAAATGTAGACAATTTTTAAAGGAATATTGTACATTGTAGTGCCTAATTTCTGTACAAGTGTGAAGCAAAACGTGAAAACATTTTCAAAAATATTTCCCACACGACAGATTGGGAGTGTGACTGACGGGATGACAGAATGGTTAACAAGCTCTATTGAAAATTCCAAAATTGCCCCCCTCCCCCCCCCAAAGATCTACCCTGTCGTGTGTCGTGTTGATCTGGCAAATGAAACAATAACAACTTAAACGCCAAGTCGATGGTCTCGACTGAAAATTGAACAGAACTAATTGGAGATTGCAGAGGGGTTGTTTTGAGTGTTTCAAGTTGAATTTCGTAGAATAACAATGGGATATTTTTTATATTGGTGGGGTTATTTATTTTCCAGGGGAGGAGGGGTTCGAGATATGGGATAATAGAAATGTCTGAATAATTAACTTAGTCTTTTTGTTTTGTTCTTTAATTGATTACGTTTTCCAAAATCCTCATTGATAATTAATTTGGTTAATAATGTCGATATCTGTAAACTACAATATCTTCATATTGGTATACATTTTTATAATTTTTTAGATACTGTATATAATTTTCAACGGTTTAAGTAACAATAAAATTTCCCTAAATTGGGCCATTGTTTACCTTAACAACAGTAAGTTTAAATCCAAAAATGCTAAAGGAAATAGCTATTTAACCTATCGAAATTTTTCCTAGGTATTAAAATTATAAATGTTCAACTCTGTCTATCACTTAACAAACTACCGCAGTTTCTAGACGTATCTAATGAGGTTATTTACATATCTGCCACTTAGTTTATCAACATTATGTTGTCCCCATATTTGACTCTGGCCATGCTGGCACATAATACCAACCCCTACATAGTCCTGTAAATGCATCAGGCATTAGGCTGCCTGGTCGATAGGCGAGGTAGGCTGGCGCACGCGCGGCATCGACGGTGCACGCTTCAAACTCTGGCTATTTAAATCAAATTTCTTGTTTTTATTGAGAGTTTCCGGGGGGCGGGGAAGGCGAGTGGTGGTGGAAGGCGGTGGAGGGGGATCAGCTGATTACAATACGATAAACAGCTGACTAACAATCGCGCTGTGTGCGATGCGTGTAGCGTTGTCTTTATTGAAGGCGCTACTGTTTTAAATAACTTAAATTGAATTTGACGTTTATTTTACATTTTCCGTTTATTTTGGGTGATGTTTAAGACCGTTATGCTGTTTTTTTACAAAATGTCTTTTAATATATTTTTTTAACTTCTCTATTTTGTCTAATGCTGATTGCACACTACAAAATGTTATTGTAATTTGATTTGATTTGTGTTCAGTTATAGAAATCAATAAACATACAGTATAGGCCTATCTTACCCTGTGAAGTAAGTGCTAATTACATGTGTACAAAGGTAAAAATAATTAATTGAATTCTGTAAATTTCTTTTTAATTATTGGAGTTTATTTTTACTTTAAAAAAAAAGTTTTTTTATTCCATAAGAGATTGTTGAAATAACTGTCGTCGAGGTTAAATGTTAAATGTTGTTAAATCCATTCTTTCCCCTAAAGTAGAATACAGTGTTTTTACAAAAAATTAAACTGTAGGCTACTACTGAATTTCTAAGAAGAATTTAATCGAAACAGTATTTGAACTTAAACTTTTTACGCCTATATTGCTTACTAAAATCAGGAAATTAAATTTCAGCGACAGTAGTGGATGTGTAAAATAGCAACGTCTAACCGGCTTTTCTTCAAAACATAAATATGAATTTTTATCTGAGGTTTTTTCCGATCCTGTTTCCACCATTACCCTTTTTGGACCTCTTAGAAGTTGCTTTACCTGTAATCTAAAATCAGGTGCAAGCTCAGTCTTCTGTGTCGAGTTAAACTGAATTCTCGAATGTCGAATTAGTGAGGCTCTATGACTGTACTTAACAAAGCTACTAGTTCATGCAGTGTGCAGTAAATTTGTATTTGTTGCTGCAGAAACACTACTGCAGATGGACCGCCAGCAGCTGCAGAAGTTTGTCCAGTACCTGATCTCAGAACACCACACAGAAGTGCTACCAACTGCGCAGAAACTAGCGGACGAGATACTCCAACAGCGTTCCGAGATCAACCAGATACCAGGTCAGGGCGGACAATCTGAATTTCCTTTTAGACTTTTGTATAGCAGCGTGTAGGACAGATTTGGATTGTGTGATAATTTAAAAGATAAAAAAAACCATCCAACAAGATGTATTGAAAATATCAATTTGTTTGTCATCGCAAACACAAAATATTAGCAACCGAAATATAATGTGATATTTGTCTACTCAGCCATTTTGCCATTTTTGCAGGGAGAAAGAGTTTAAAAAATTTGTGGTATTTAGTATGCCTACACAAAATCAACCAGCAAGTACAGTTATAAAAAACGAGGCTACACAACGGGTTGTTTTGAATTTTGATGTATCCGTTACCGTATATTGTCATACCACTCAGAAGTAGCTTAACATTTTTACAGGGTTTGATTAATCTTATAAAGGTTTGGATAACACAAAAGGTTAGATAACAGGGATAAGTGAGACTCTTCCTATATTATTAAGGAGCAATGAATTGGATAAATAAATTTGAGCTATATTTTCAGTAGTTGGGTATGTCTGTTATGTCAGATATGGTTAGTTGATATCTGATATGGAAGTTCAACCTTATTATGGTGAAAATAGCCAGAATGACGGGTTATGTCATAGACTAACCAACACAAGACAGTTAAGTTTCTTTAAAGTGGTAAAAAAATACTTACAGTTCTGTTTAGAATGGCAAAAGTATAGTTTAGGGTACTGTACCTATGTTTTTACTACTGTAGGTACCAAAAAAGTTTTGTTTAAAAGCTCTAACAAAATAGTTTATGTTTGGACAGCAACAAATTCATCTAACAAATTTAATTTAGCTAACAAATTTATCTTGTTTGTAGGAGCGCCAGATCCAACAGCTGGGGCGAGTGCAGACGACGACCACACGTGGCATTTAGACGAGGAACAAGTCTGTGAACAGGTTAAGTCCTACCTCTCTCAGGGTAGTTACTACAATGCCAACAAACAGCTCAACTCACTCTTCGCCAAGGTATGTGTCTCTCGACGCGTAGCATTTAAAAAAACATTCTTTTACCTACTTTGTGTAATGTCGGACTACAGAATTGAAAGTACTTTTGAACGTTAGTTAAAGATTACCTTGGTAAAAGCGACTGGCCAAAACGTCATTGGCAAGGAATCAGCTACCTAAAAGGGGACAAAAATAATGATATTGGTATTACTTAGGTGAAAAGTTGGCTATTAACTACTAAGGATTTTTCCTTACTATTACTGCAAAGTAACGGTAATTCCCATCTCTATGCAAAACTAGTTCTCCTTACAACTTCAAACCATACATTTCAATGCTGTAGTTTCGCTATTTGTTAGATCGGAAGTTTTCTGCCATCAAGCCATTCTCTGCTGCTGTGTTAATAGAATTATCTGTAATACCTACGTTAACTTTGGTTTCTCTGGTCGCAGGTGAGGGAGATGTTACGGGCGCAAGACTCTAACGGTGCGCGGATGTTGACCCTCATCACGGAACAGTTCCTCTCAGATCCGCGGTTGCTGCTGTGGAAGTCGCAGGGAACACCAATGACGGACAAATGTAGACAGCTGTGGGATCAACTTGGTGAGTCAATTAGGCAACCTTCAACCTACCTACTGAAGTAGACATACCATTCCCATGTTTTGTATCCAGTTTTTATATAAAACAGACGTAGTTCATTTGAACCACGGATAGTAGGAAAGAATGTGCTGTTGATGTATAAATCAACATGCTTTCTGGGCAATAAGCCAACTTTTCAACAAGCCAGAATGAAATTTTAAAAGGACAACTTTGTAATCTAGCATCTTTAATACGCATAAAATATCATACTGTAGCCTATATACTACCAAAAAATTGAAGAAAATCAAATTTTTAAAACAGCACTTATATTTGAATAAAATATTGACAACAGCTGTTTAATATAGATAAAATGTCTACAAATACTGTTTATAGAATGTTCTGTTAAACAAATATGCACTGTGGGATAATCACAGATACTTTTAAGCAAAAGCAATTCCAAACGCCTTAAATTTTGCTCACTATGCAAAAGATCAAATTCTTCCCTCTTGCACCGAAGTCTAAGACACAAACGATTAAACCACAATTGTATAGGTAACGCTACACTTACAGTATGGTACGGTAACTAATTGTTTGTACATAGGAGCACTGTGGGTGTGCATAGTTCTCAACCCTCACTGCAGCGGCCAAGAGAAAGTCCATTGGAAAGCACTTCTTGAGAAGTGGACTCGCAACGAGGTCTGTCCACAAGAAGATCCGGACTTCAGGCCACAACCCATTCCCCGTCTGGACCCGGTGAGTCCACATTATAACCAACTGTAGAAGAACATTGAACCTTGAAGTGAAAGACTTTTTACCTTGAATAGTAAAGTGAACACTAAATAGTTCTCTATGTTAAATAAAATGTCATTTAAAAGCAAAATCCAAGATAGAGGCCCGCAGCTGGTGACACCCTATGAGCTCAAAGATATAATTGCACCCCATGGAACCCTTACTTCTAGAAATGAAATTAGTCATTACTGTTTAAAACCAATGTATTCCATTTTAATTGTCAAGATACTGTGAGACCTTACTGCAGTTTGATCATTGGTATGCAAAACTTGGAGGAGCGAGCTAATCGAGTGGTGTAGTGATGTGCTTCAATCCCCGAAGTCTCGGGTTCAAATCCTGCCTAACACCGATGTCTTTAGCTATATGTGATAACCCTCAAGGCTTACATTGAATTAATGTGTAAAATGTTCCGGGCCAGAGTCTAAGGGGAGGCAATACTTGAACATCCTTTTATTCTAGTACCACGGGGGAGGCGGAGGATTCCACTCGTCGGACAGCAGCTCTGAAGACGAAGGCAATGGAAACAACGGCAGCAACAACAACAGCAGCAACAACTTCTGCAGCAACAGCCACAACAACCACGGCTCTAGCTCCAGCAGGAGACGAGGATGGATGAGTCATCATGGTAGATCTACGTCTGCGCCTATCCTACGCACAGTCTTCCATAGGTAGGCATTCCAGTGATTATTGTATGAAGCTCATTTTTAGTGTTAAGAGGGTTCCCTACCCCCGCCGAAAAACGTCAGAAAACCGCTTCGCGCGGTATCATATAGCGATTCTAGTTTTAACATTTAAATTGTGAACCAAACACCATTTTGTATATAAAGAGTGGTTCTACTAAGTTTGCTTTTTAAAAAATGTCTATGCTTACGGACTTGTCAAAGTTAGTGAACTTTACAGTTAAATAATAATATCTTTTTATGAAATTATCGATTTTTATTAAAGCAATATTAGTGCGAAATTTAACTAAAAATATCAAGTCACTTTTAGTTTCAAGAAAAGATTATTTTTTGTATGTGCAAAATGAAACCGCGTAAAACCTTGCACGGCGAAAAGTGCTATGATTCTGACGGACTCCAGCGGCCTTTATCGAAACTACTGTCTCACGGAGGGATACAAATTTTACACATTCTTCATCATTCATAATATTTCCCCCAAGATTTATCCATGACAAGCAATCCTAGGGAATATTTTGTCGTCTTGTAGTTCCAACTAAACTCACCAGGTTCGCAGAAAATTGAAGACAGTTCGAGGTAGGGAACCCCCTTGAGTTCATATATTTTAAGGATCGTTGTAAACACATTTTCCATCAAGAACAGTGAAAATAAAGTTTTCACAATGTTTTGGAATCTGAAATACTAATCATGTTTTCAGATTAATACACAAACACAGCTGAAGCTATATCACAAAAGAAAAACCACAGATAACTTTACAGTAGTCAAAACAGGAAATTATAAATTCTGTTAGAAAAAAGTTAGTACAAGAAAGTAGGCGAACACATGTGTACAACATTTTACAGTGTACAAGACTGCATTTAGTAGCAGAATCATTATGAGATCACTAGTGATAAGAAGTTTACCAGTTTGTGTCTGAGGAGAGTCAGTAGCATTAATGGATTAAAACTTGGACCAGCTGACCTTGGTCTTTAAACTCTTATTATATGGTCCTGGCTAACGAACCAACTGATCTTAGTCAGTAATTAAGCTGTCATCTCAATAATTACCTTAAACACTCATCTTCGCCTTAAGTACCCTTGTGTAAAATCTAATCTAATCTCTGTTTTTTGCAGAGCTTTGGATGCTGTTGGAATGTCCTGGGACAACATGCATCTAAAGAACATCTTGTCCAGTGACTCGTACTGCAGTCATGTACCGGACAGCTCTCTCATCTCGGGTACCTTCAACCCCCTCGGACAGCCGCTGTGGCACGGTATGTCTATCATGGTCCACATCACACTGTAGAAGTAGAAGATTTGTGTTTCAAGTGCTCAAAGTATTGTTTTTGTTAATTTTGAATCAGCTGATTACATTGTTGTTAAAGTTTGTTTATACATATGAAATTAAATGTATGTTCTTTATGCCTTAGAACTATCTATATAATTTATTTGACACTTTGAGAAATTGTTCTTAATGTTTCTGAGTATATGTTCTGGGTATATGTCTCAGAGTATTTTGGATTTCAAGATTCCAGGGTTGCCATTTACATCAGGGCTCTACAGCAGGGTTGCCACCTTCGGTTAGAAAAAAATCAAGATAGGCTCCCCTCCTCCCCAGGATAAACACGGGGAAAACAATCTGAAGTTGGGACTGTTTTTCAGTAGCGTTGTAGCACTTTTCTATTTTAGGCTCATGTCCTGTTGTAAAGGTACTCAGGTTTGATAATTGTCGGTCAGGTAAAAAAAATATTACTGAATAAACTTAAATTAAAAACTGCCTATTTTGAAATCACAAAAATAAGCGCTCATACAAATGGATATCTAACTACCTAACAAAATTATGCACACAAGTACACTGGTTAAACACAATCCTCAAAGTATGAAATTCACATAATTTTGTTTTCCCATCGCAGAGGCTCTGCCAATCTGCGCAGCCCGTGTGGACGCTCTGCGGTCCCACGGCCACCAGGCAGCAGCGCTGCGGCTGGCAGTGGCAGTGATCCGCACTATGAAGCAGCAACAGCTGACTGCGCAACGCAAGTGGCATGAGAGTCAACAGAGCAAACCTTGCACTAGCTCATCTGGCTGCGACAACCACCGTTGCACCGGGTAATTAAAATAAAAGATGGTGTGTTGATTTTCTTTTGGTTAGCTGTATTTGCAATTAAAGTATCACAAATATTTTAAGAGAAAATATACAGACTCCTAAAATCTTTGCGAATAAGCTAAGGATCGAGCCCATCCTTCTCATGCACAAGTTTGAGACCCAAACCACTAGGCTAGCATCACAGCCAAAATACTCTTTTAATATTATGAAAATCTAGATTAGATTAGATTTGTACATTGTCGACATTTCAGGGAGTGTCTTCTGAGGCAAAGATGTGAGAAGGACAAGTGTTGAAGGAGATTAACCTTATTTTCTGAGATCATCTGTTTCTGTTCTATTTCTAATTTAAGAATATTAAACACACATCTTGTTTCAACAAACTCTATTTCCAAACTCAACCAATGTTTACAAAAATCATCTGTCAACAAAAGATATTTAAACACAAATAAATCATATGACTAAAAGAACAGACTTAATACAACAGTTTCATTAGCCATGGCCATATTTTAAATGATCAAGGACAACTGGGTCCAGCTTAGATCGTACTGTCGTGTGGTAAAAATGCAAATTTCTGATGAGTAGGCTAGCACCTCAGCATTCACCTACCCAGCTAAATCCTGACAGTGCTCAAACTTAACAATAAACTCTCCATTTAATTGCAACAATTATTTTTCTGTTGAAATCACTCAACAAAGAATCTTTACAAAACATATTGTACATCAATTTTAAATTTATACATCTGAGTTTAACGAAAACTTGTATTAATACTTTTGTTTTCTGCAGGTATGGTGTCCAGTGCACTAGGTCAGAACAGCCGTGCACGTCACGGTGTAGTTACTCCTCTAGAAGTTGTTCTACAGGTTACTACGATAACCACGCTAGACCCCCCTCTGCTTGCAGGTAAGTCAAATAATTGACGAATTTTCTACTTTTGCTCTTCTGTTTTTGTTATTCCCCTATCTAGGCCTCTTCATCTTCTATCCCTTTACCTCTTCCTCAACCATTTGCCATCTCACTTTCTCTCTTTTCCACATCCATCCACCATCTAGTTTTTCTTCTTGGTCCTGTTTTTCCTACCACCATCAACAAAATTTTCTCTGCCTCTTCTCGCATTATTCTCACATCTCAAAACTAATTACCCTGCCAAAAGATGTATTCAGCTACAGCTACCTCTTTTCTGAACATTCTTATGTCCCACCTTTGTTACACATCAATTCCATCAATCACTATTGAGGGAATAAACTTCTCAACTTCAATTAGATCTCATCGACAAGTTTTGTAAATTCGGTGAGACCAAGCTGCTGTTATTAAAATATTTGAATTTTTCAGTTCACGGTGTACGAGCAATGGCTTCAGTGACTGTCATTACCGCTTCAACCCTCTCTGCAACAATCCTCGCTGCTACAACCCTCTCGGCCGCTCTCAGAGTGTCAGGTGTGGCGTGAGGTGTTGTGTGAAAAGCTGCGGACCTCCACCACAAGGCAACACTGAAGGTAAACAAAGAATATATGGGTACTGAGATAAATGAATCAAAAGCTTTTACACTCACAAGATAACCTTGTCACATTTGTATATATATCGGTGATGACAATAATTTATTTGTTACCACTCCATTGTTTTTTACCTCTCGAACCATTATTTTTGTGAAATATCATAATTGAATAATTAATTTTACTTGCACTACTGCAATTGAATTTCAAGATGAGTGGAGTACCTCAAAGTTCTCTTTTAGGTTGCCAAATAAATTTTGATGAACATTACCGGTTTAAATTGGACAACAAATTTGAAATTTTGAAAATCGAAAGTGGTTGCATGAAGTACTCTAGGTATCTTTGGGCTTATTTCTTCTACATGATCCACAATAACTAATCCTACTAGACCCTCTTCCTTGATATCTTATGACAACTCTTTATTTTCAATGCTATATTGTGTATTCTGTTTTAAGGTTGGGTGGGGCATCCTCTGGATCCTATTGGCTGCCTGTTTGACACTCTGGCCGATGCGTCTCTAGTCACCGACGACTCGGCTCCTCGAACACCATCTTACTTCGGTCAGCATTCTAACTTTAACTTAAACTAATCTATAATACCCTAAATACAAAAATAGCATGCTTTATTTGAGTAATTGAGTTGTTTTAGTTTTGTTACATAGACATATTTTGGTACTGTGAAATTATTCAGATTACTGAAGTATTGTTTCAACTTATTTTTCAGTTGATTATTTTGAAGGAAAGAACACTTGGCTTTGGAATACATAGTTGTCTCTAGGCTGATTTATACAGCCTAAACACAGACAAAACATTGTCAGTTTTGTAACCATTCTACTTACTTATGCACCTTGTAGGGGTGAAATATGAATTTTGTTGTAAAGTTGATGTTATAAACTGCATGGAACTATTTTCTTGAGTAAGCATTTCATCTTTTGTTTGAGTAATGATTTTTTTCTCCCCAGATCCTGTTGGGGTTGAGGAGACGGTGAGCAGCATCCCCCCCAGATACCAGCACGTTCCTGTGGTTGGGTCCAGGGATCGGTCCGAGACTTACCTCACTCTAGCTGTGGAGGTGGCTCTGATTGGACTGGGACAACAGCGGATAATGCCTCCTGGACTCTACGCCCAGGTAGAGTATAGAGACCAGTTGAATTAGAAGTAGTGCCTCTTTGTTGGTCAGAGTCCTTTATATTGAGCTTACATCCTGAACTTCCTTATTGTAAATTAATAACAACATACAATTATCCACCATCTAAATCTTCCTTTTGGTACTCTTCCATCTACCACCATCAACTCCACTTTCTAAGGAATCCATCTCCTCACGTTCTTTTCATTTGTCCATACCATTTTAGTCTAGCTTTTTCTACTCCTTGTCATCTTCAGCCCCTTTTTTAAAACCTAGATTCCTAATTTCTAGCTCTGTCTCATCTAACTGTATTCGATCAATCGCCATTAGTGAAAACCTTCATGTCACCATCTGATTTCTCAACTTTATCCAGAAATCACTATTGACGGAAAACTTCTCATTTATAACTGTTCTCATTTATAACTCAATGAATGTTTTGCAGGAGAAGGCGTGTAAGCAGGAGGACCGGCTGATCGCGAAGCTCCAGGAAATGGAGCTAGACAACAGCCTGGTAGCCGTACTGCGGAGACAGGCCATTGTACTGCTAGAGGGAGGCCCCAGCAGTGGTCTGGGCATCGGCATCCACCCGGAGTCTATCCCCATGCACACTTTCGCTAGGTTTCTCTTCCTAGCTCTACTCAACTACTACCCGGACCTCGCTTATGAAGTAGGCCTGAGGGCGATGAGGTACGAAAATACAGTGATGCCTTTTTATTAGGGTGGTAGCCTCTATTAACCTTGTATTTGTCCATAAAGGCCTTAGGTATGAGCATGGAATGTATCATGCAAAGCGGGTGAGCTGATGTAATACAAGAATGATGTGCTGGTAAATATTAGTGATGGCACCAGATGCGAGCCCTTGATATTGCTGTGGGAAATGACTTTGTTGACATGAAAAAGTTCAATCGTTTAAGGCACCAAGAACCAGACTTTCAAATCTAAAAGCCTGATCAAACACATGATATTTCAAATAACACATGCATGTATTATGCTAGTAACTCATAGGCCAGAAGGCGAGCAGAAACGCTCTGAGTGGTTGACCTTGTTCGGTTATTCTGAGAAGTCGATAAATTGTTTTGAGGAGTCTGTTGACTGTTAACCCTAAGCAGGATATAAGAGGTTTTAGTGTAATTAAATTGTCTAACTACATTAATAATTAGAATTTGATATACTGAAACCAAATTCAATAACAAGAAATGTTAAAACCACATAACTTAGTGTAATCTTTACCCCTTATTGGTCTTTTGCTCGGCAGATTGCCGGTAATGGAGGAACATGAGGACTCTGACGACCCTGTAAACGGAAACGTCTCTTCGTTAGTGCTCAGCCGCTACCCTCGGTGGTTCACCATTGGACACATCGAGACACAACAGTGCGCCTTGGCATCCACCATGCTCAGTGCTGCCAAAGGTACAGAACAAAATATTTAAGTTAAATCTAACCTTATCCAACCTAACCTAACTTATCCTAACCATGCTTAGTGGATACAGAACTAAATATTAATGTAAAACCAAACCGAATAACTTTTCTACAATTCAAAATAACTTAAAATCAAACTCACCATGACTTTATGTTGCAGGAGAAGTGATGAGGCTACGGACAGTGCTGGAGTCGGCTCAGAGGCACATCCACAGCTCGTCTCACCTGTTCAAACTCGCCCAGGATGCCTTTCGCTTCGCCACACCCGAGACTGGACCGAGACATCCCACCCTGCTCAGCGTAGCCTTTGAACTGGGCCTGCAGGTAAAGCAGACCTTCTTAGCTGAGCCATTAACAGACCTAGACATTCCATCCCTATGTTAAAGCTATCACGAATGTTATGAAAATGCATGAAGTAAAAATAAACCACCTAAGTGTCCTGATGTAAATTGTTGATTTCTGTTGAATACCAACCTTTTAACCACGTCAAACTGACAGAACGACACATTGTAAAATAGAGCATATTTTATGTCACATCAACAATCTTATTCAACTATGTTCTTTTTGAATAATTAATTGGCAACAGCTGGCTCAATTAAATGGGGTTTCTTCTTCAGTATCCAAAGCTCAACGCTGTAATCTAAGGGACTAATTCAGTTTATGTGCTCTTTCATCTTATAATCTTAATCGTGTTATATTTTTTACTTCCCGAAAGAGAGGTAGCGGAACTCCGTTCTGCCACGTTCCCCCGCAAATCGGGCACTGAGTATCTTATATTCATGTGATTGCAAGATAAAGACTTAGTTGGTCGTCTTGCGGATAGTTCTAATAGAGAATTCTTAAGATGGGGTTATTACTCTCTCAACTTTACCCTTTTCCGTATGTTCTGTGTAGGTAATGCGGATGACACTATCCTCTCTGAACTGGCGCCGCAGAGAGATGGTACGATGGCTGGTCACATGTGCAACCGAGGTGGGAGTGGAGGCTCTAGTCTCCATCATGCAGAACTGGTACCAGCTGTTCACACCTACTGAGGCTACAGGTGCGTAACCAATGTTGATGTTCTTGTGGAAAAGTGGTGGTAAAACGTGGTTTTCAGATCGACCATCTAACTTATTTACTTCTATCATCACTTGTGAGTCGACCTAGTTTTATTTTTTTGAGTTGCCTTAAAATCTAAAGGTTGCTGGTTGGATCCTGAGCAGTGTCGATTCTGAATCCCAATGCCATTTGTTGTTGGGTTAAAAATTAATGATGCAATCAACCAAAGGTCGTTAGTAACAAGATCAGTTTTTGGACCATTATTGATATATATTCAAGACGTTTTTATTACCAAACTTATCTAAGTATAACAAACAATAACATTATATTCTTAAGATCAGCTTATCTTAAGGACAGTAAAACAGGAATCAAACCTAAACAGGTGAGTGGTTATTGTATTTTCCTACGATAAAAAAATTGCCAGTTCAATCCAAAGAAAAGTCAGTAGCTTTTTATTGGTTAAAAACTGAGCATAGCTGTCTTTGATCAGCGGGCTTTTTATAGTTAAAGAAACAGCTGATCTTAGTCAGTAACAAAGCTACACACAGATCATCTCACTACATTTTACACTCACCTTTAATTTATATTCAGTTGAAAACACACACGCAAAGTACCTCGTAGTTGCAGTGAAGTGTTTGAAAGTAGAGTTTTGTTTACAAAGTTTATTTTGTTTAGGCCCAGTCGCCACCACCATCATGTCTCATAGCACCATCATGCGCCTCAACCTGACGTTTGCTCAACAGGAGGAACTCTCTGGATGCGCTCGAACACTCGCTCTGCAGTGCGCAACCAAGGTGAGTGCAACGGCAACAAACAAGAGCGGTTAGGTGCAAAAGAACTATCGTAAAGTAGTATTAGATAGTGAGTGCAGTTCATACTTTTCAGTTAAAACTAGTTACCAAAGATGGCAGCTCATTGATAGCACATCCAAGATAATGCAAGATTTTAAAAGAACTGAGATGAATTTAGTCTTTTTTTACACTCGCTTATGAACATATTTTCTTACTCGTAGCGCAACTAAGAAAAGAAATAGTTGAGCACTGCAAAAGAAAAATTGGGCGCGATTCAGTCTTTACTGTTGTTTGAAACTAACTAACAGCATAACTAAGGAAGGATTTGGATATGCGCAGAAGGTTGAAATGCTGCCAGTAACATGAAAATATTTAGATTTTTGTGTTTCGTGTAATATTTTTTTTTTCTTATCCAGAGTGGTCTCTTTTCCATTCAAGCAAGCAATCCTAACCCCTTGTGGGTATAATAGGTAAAAAATCCTTGAAACCCTTTCTGCTCTACGTTACAGTTTAAAATTTCTCCAATAATATGGGTAAATTATGAATGTTAACATTAACTATGTTTCTAGGACCCTCCCAACTGTGCCTTGAATGCTCTAACCCTGTGTGAGAACGAAGCACTGGCGTTCGAGACTGCGTACCAGATAGTGATTGACGCAGCGTCACACATCATGACGTCTTCTCAACTCTTCACCATCGCTAGGTACATGGAGCACCGCGGGTATCCGACACGTGCGTACAAACTGGCGATGCTCGCAATGAAGAATGTTCATCTGGCGTACAATCAGGTTAGTGTCTTCATATTTATATTTGTGTCAGTGTAATCTTAGATTTTGGAAAGTAAACTTTAAGGATTACATTAAAGGAGAAATGTATACACAACTGAAGTTCAAATATGCCGTGTTATATTCTTACAATCCTATTTTTGGATTTGGTGTAACGATAACAATCAATCCTTGAAAACGGTTTCTGGACCCAGGCTATCTAACAAAAGATTGATATTAAATTACAAGACCAGGGTGTTGACCATTTCCTAAATCCATTTTCTAAATTTGTACTGGCACAAACAAGCACAAAATAACGCACATATTACGCTACAATGCCGGGAAGTAGGTGTTCACAGTACAAGCGTGATAGTACCTGAGGGAGGCTTGCCTAGCATGTGATTTCATGGGTGTACCGTAAACACTTCCCCAGACAAGTCAACTACGATACTTTTTGTCCCACTACCAGCAACAAATATACAGGATAACCTGTAGCTATTGTAAATTGTGTTTAAATAAATAAATGAATAAATGAGTAAAAAACAATCCATACATTCATTTCACTGTTACAATAGAGTTCACTTTTTAGCACAACATTTTAACAGAAGTACCAACTGGTTTTGAAAAGTAAAGAGTACATATACCAGCTACCTACTGTTAAGTGTGGTGAACAAATAACTGGTGTGCTTGTAGATGTCGAGTGTCATCTTTCACTTTGTTAACTCACAATGTTTACACAGGACACTCACCCAGCAATCAACGACATTCACTGGGCGTGTGCGCTGAGTCATTCTCTGGGCAAACAAGAACTGAGCAACATGATTCCTCTGCTAGTCAAGAACGTGCAGTGTGCCACTGTGCTGTCTGACATCTTGCGCAGGTGAGCATAAGTAGAGTAGAAAGCAGAATGCTATTCTACAGGACTTATGGCTAATGATGAAGTGTACGTAGTTTGGTGTCCTCATTTAGCTGCAAGTCTGCTTTTCTAGAAAAAGCAAATGTATTGCAGCGGAGGAAAACACACAGTATAATCGACCCAAAGTCCACCCTTTGATCAAGATCCAACAGCTGATGTATCAAACGGAGGACTACCATAACCAAACTTCCACTTATATCTATGCTTTGCTACAACTCAACATCAAATATTCTCTCTCCTAACATGGGATATTGCAAGGCTTGCTTGTTACATTAACTCCATTATCTCGCTGGGTAGCTGAGTGGTTATAGCCAAGTCAGTTAAAAACTGGACCCAGCAGTCCCTGATCATTGGGATTTGTATATGGATGACCCTGGCTAAAGAACAGCTGATCTTGGTCAGTAACAGAGCCAAACAGATCATCTCACTTCATTCTACACTCACCTTGTTCAGCTTAAAAGATGCCCCTAGGTGTGCTTTGCTGTCTTAAAGTAATAATGATAATGTTTATATTTTACAGAGATTTATTTAAGCAAAATGTTTACCAACCTCTTTTTTCAGATGCTCAATAAGCGCTCCTGGTGTGTCTTGTCCTCACCCTGTGGAAGGCAAGCATCATCATCACCATCATCCCCGCAGCGGTGGGTCCGGACGTAGCAGTGTCAAACCTCTCAGCTACGACAGACCGCCTCTGCGCCAACTATTAGAAGCCGCAGTCGCCGCTTACGTCAACACAACTCACTCCCGTCTCACTCACATATCGCCGCGCCACTACGGCGACTTCATCGACTTCCTCGGAAAAGCTCGTGACACCTTCGTCCTCGCACACGACGGCCACGCGCAGTTCACGCAGCTCGTGGAAAACATGAAGCTCGCGTACAAGGGGAAGAAGAAGCTCATGTTCTTGGTCAAGGAGAGGTTCGGCTGACCAATGTATGCGCTCAGAGCTCTCTAGCATTAGGGTGATGCGTGGCAGTTTACAGCACTATCTCGTAAATATATTTTATGCGGCCTTATCAGAGATTTTTATAGTTTGGATTACTCGGTTTAGCTTTTAATTTTTTTCATCCTTCCATGTTTTAGTAACGTACCAGTATTCCGTAGTATCCGAGTAGTTATAAGGTTGCTTGTTCGATCCTGAGCGGGACTCAGATGCTATTTGTTATAGGTGTACCTATCAAAAGATCAATGTCATATAGTAACAAGACCAGTGTTCCTTACAAAAAAAAAAGAAAAAAAATCCATGGGTGCAAATAAAAATAAAAAATAAAATTTCTTTGATAACAAAACAAAATATCTGAAATACACTGGTATTCATTGATTTATTGATAGTGTAAACTTACATTTCTTTGTATCTTTAATGTTATTTTAAAATTAATTACGACGAAGGATGGTCATTATAGAGTGCTGTTAACACTACGATCTCACTTTAACCGTCTTCGCATCACTCTAAAAAGAGAAAATTATTCTAAAATACTTTCAGTATTTCAAGCGCGACCTTTAAAATCCTATTTTTACATATTTTTTGTTTTGTAACTGTGTTAGTTATAATCTAATAAACTGTATAATAATATGTAACAATGTAAATTGAGTAAATAATGTCTAATTCGGCTTAACTATATACTATATTTTACTAGAGTAATATTTTTATGAGTATAACTCATGCTTCCATTACGTTATTGTGAATTTACGACGTGTATATGCAGTTCAGCTATTATATTCCCACCATTTTGTAATCAAAGTAATGTTATTTTTATGCGACTTGCATTTTTCACTTGTTAGATTAAGTGGGTTCAATTAGTAAGTTTAAATACTCAGTACAATATTTTTATCATTACAAGTTATTTATAAGGCTCAATCTGTAGTCTGAAGTTTTTGCAGTTACTTTTTACGAGGAGATGATTCATAAACATAACAGCACCAAAATAACTTTCTCATTTGGTTTTACTCTTTTATTTTAGAACACCCTTTTAAAATAATTTAAATTTGAAAGAAGCTTTAAAAAGATGTTTTAATTAGTTACTACATCATCTTTGTTATTACTTCCTCTTTCAAGTTTATAATTAAACTAATTGGCTCTTCAATTGATTCCCTCCCAAATTTTTACTGTTTCAACCCGATATGGTAAGAAATTACAATTTAACATAGAGTGCCTTACGAGAAAGCTAAGTTAGAAGTGAATGTTCACTTAGTCAAACTTTCCATATCATATCTTCGTCAACGTTAACTGGTTATGTTATGAATCATCTGTTCTTAGTTTAATTTACACAACCGAGATCTCAAAAATAGTTATTCCAAGAAAGGGAGACTCAATTAGTGATTTTGGTCACGTTTTGTTATTTTGATTTTGAACGTGCAACTTCCCATTATTTTACTACCAAAGATTGTTATGATTGTAAATATTGCAATTACTTGTATATAAAGTAGTTAGACTAGAACAATACCGTAGATCACAGCTTCCTATAGTCATTCAGTGTTGTCGAGTACAAATTTCACGGGACAAATGATTCCGCGATCCTACCTCCGGCTGCGTCCCGTTTTGATCCGAGACGTCGGCGAATCGTTCCTATTAACCGATTGGTTTGTTAGTCAGCTGTGGCTCTAATAGTCTAATTTGAATTATTTTCTTTGATAGAATTGCAAAACTACAAACAGAAATGTTTAAACTAGGGAGTAATTTTTAAAATATATTTAATTTCATTTTGTAATCCATCCAAAACATTACATTTAATGTAATAATGATTATAAACGCAAGTAGAATAACTTTTTATGGTTTTTATGATTGTTTTGTTTATGGTTAGCGTTTTTTTCATCCAGCCAAAATTTTATGTGTTATGTTGTTTTTATTACAATATTTTGTTAAACGTTTACGATTGAGTTGGAATTTTATTGTGTTGTTGTCTGTTATATGATCTTTCAAGGTTTTTCAGTTCATGATTAGATTTTTCACCAATTTTCCAGTTTGTTTTATTAATTTTGATTACTGACTGGATTCAGTGCTAGGTTACCAGACAGTTTTTTTTTTTTTTTTTTGTAATTAATGACAACAAGTTTCGTTAATTGTATTATAACTGAATATTATTTTGTATTATTTCAAGACTTATTTTTTAGTGTATAAATATGTTGTAAATTAGCATATTGTGTTGTTTGATATTGTGGTTATGAAGTTGGAGTTTTGTTCGGATAGATTAAATAACCTACAAATGGAAATAATTTTTTTTTAGTTTCAAACGGTTAACTGTTTATTATGTTATTTACAATTCATCCATGAAATGTATTTCTTATCTGATTTTTATCAGAAGAAATTTCATACTTGACTGGCGCTGATATTTTTCAAAAACAACTCTTACCAATAAGCGATGCAACTTGTAGAAAGCTCAGTATTCAACATAGTGATCTTTGTAAAAAGCCTACTTAACTACAGTTCATTCCAAGGGTGATCAACTCTCTGTAATATAGGTGTAAAGTGACTGATTTATATTGTGTAATTTATTTTAGGTAAGCATAGTTAAATAATAGTTTGAATTCAAGAGACTGTCGTCACGAGTCGTGCACAGTTTTGGTGTACGTTAGTGATCGCTTTGTCTTAAACTTATCTTTACGATAAGCTTTATAGTTTTAGTTTACATGAATCCTAAACTATCTTGCCATAAGATTCAGGTACTGGACGTCAGTGCAGTAGGTCTGTAGATATTCATATGTCAGCGTGGATACCTGTTGTGATAACGTTGCATAATTGTCCGTTTGTAGTTTGTATTAATTTTATTTCAATTATCATTCTACTGTGCAACTCATCAATAAACTGTTTTTACAATTATAAAATCGTAAACAATGTTTGTGTTTGATTGTGACTAACCATTTCTGTTACTGACAAATTTAATTTTTAGAACCACAGAAAAATATTATTTTTTATCACTTTGTACCGAAAGTGGCTATTTTTGTTAACTGCTGACATAAAAGAAAGTAGTTGTTTCCCAAGCTCTAATTAGAGCGAGGGAAAAATGATCAGCTGATTTTACCTCACTCTGAATTTTCCTTCCCTTGTTCTTGATGTTCGGGTTACCTGTGTGAGGCAAAGCCGAACACATGAAAGTTGAGCGTGCACCGGAAAATGCCACTTTCGGTCCTAGTAATGAAGTATACTATTAAATTTGACTTTGAAGAAGGGTATTGGTAAATCAAGAAAAGAACTAACTCTTGAAAGCCCCAATATAATTTACCAATTTAAATTTTTTATATTTTCCATACCCAGATTTCAGCCATTGGGCTATCAATCAATGATGCTGTCTAACAAAATTTCGACGTACACAAGTTTTAGCCTACATTGGAAGCAGATTTTTCTGGTAAGACAACTCAACCACACAGACTCGCTCTTACACTGCATCTAGTCTCAGAAATCATAAATCCTTTATGTCCTAAAGCATAACAAACATGCAGACATGGTCAACTATTATTGTAACATAGACACAGTAACCCAAGCAGACTAGATTAATAAATTAATATCACAGACGATAGAAGGTGAAGTTTTAAAGTAAAAAGTATGCTAGATGGAATATACTAGATAAACAACAAAACTTTAAAAAACCGAATCAGACAACTCTAGTGCCTCAGAATGCAATGCATTGAACAACTTTTATCTACGACTGTTTTTTTTTGAGTAGCCGTTTCAGTTTCAAAAGTTCTTAGAATTGAAAAGTTTCACATAACAGCATTGTTTACTTACATAACAGCATAGTTTTACTTAACAACACGGGCAACGGACCAATGAGGTTCAGGGATTGAGAGAAAAGAAGTAAAAATGTAATGCTTCGAACTAATCAGCAATTTACCAAATTTACCGGCCTTAGACCTTCTGATCACAGAACAGCCATTGTGACATAGATTGAGGGTTTGGATCTTGTATCAACTTGTTCTTTGTGAATTGCACCTTTGAGAAAGACATTTTTCTACTTGATCCAAACCTATCTGACTGTGTGCGCTTGTCCACTAGGAACTTTTATCATGATTAGGATTTTGAAAACCATGCAAGGTGGGTAAATGATATTAGACAAACCGCAAAATTAATAAACAGTATTTATTTGATTGAATAAATTACTTCGTAAGTAGCTACATTTTATAAAATACGGCTTAATAGAACCGTTATATTGCTGATACTTATATAAAACAGTTTTTAAAGTAAGTATTAACTTATAGAAAGAAGTAAATATCGAATGAACAGAATATATATCTAAAACAATAATGATACCAATGAAACAATTCGGCATTTATATTTATTCTAACGGTAATCATTAAAATTACTCATCAGCAAGATCAAAGGTAAAAATGAAAACAAACATTTTGGGCTTAAGGCGAGACAAAATAAAACCTCAGGGTTGCAAAATAATAAGTAAAGTCAAATATATTTATCATGTAATTTGTTACTACTGATAACAAAAATAATAACACAAAAACCTGAAACAAATAACAAAAATATGTGTAATTAAACATTTTTATTTACAATCTATAACAGGAGCGATGAAACATGTTATACAAGTCAGCTGATAAACTCACAAAAAAATTCAATAATAGGAAGAAATACAACAAAAATAGATTAACCTGTTCTTCTAATTCAGATGGAAATAAATTATTTGAAACAAAATGCTCATTTTAGGGCTGAATGTGTTTGAAGTGAGCATTTCAATTGAAGAATTAGTACATGTTTTTAACAAACACAGATATCACAAATGAGGTGTAAAACAAAAATATAAACATTGTAAGGAATGTTAACAACAAAAGAGTACCTTTTCCCATTAATAAGACAAAACTTTTAACCAGATTTTAGAACTCTTAAGCCATGATAGGCTTGATCTTCACAATTTCATCTTGATATACAAATTCATTCACAGGAATGTAAAATTATGTCTTTGTATGGAATTAATGTCTTACATATATACAAAAATGTTGCGAAGTTCATCTTTTTTATGGAAACGTTTATTTGATAACTTTGAATAATATAACTTTGTTTAATAGAAAATCACAATACAGTTCCCGCTAATCTGTCACCTACAGGACCGGTACCATGGGCGGAACAGTGAAAATTTCATCTGAGGAGCAGGAATTTGCCGTTATCACGGAAGATGATGTTAATGTATCTGTGAAAGCGGAAATCATATTCATATCATATGAATATTTTGCCACAATTGAGGAAAACAAAAAATGGAAAACATTTGGAAATGGTCACAATATTACCGTGATAACATTGTAACCGATAGGCGATGGCATAGTTAGATTAAGCGAGGAGTAGAAATAGCTGAGGTTCTACTGTATTATGATCCTTTATCATACATAAATTAAATTTACAAAAAATATTCCTAAAGTACCAATTGACAGACTGATAAACTTTAACTTTAAGTATTAAACAAAAAATATATCTTTTGTTTAGTACAAAGGCTTAACTCAAGATGGTAATGGGTCGAGTTAAGTCTATTCCAATTCAATTAGATCAACGGTAATACCAACTCAGGATTGATAGTTATGAATTATTAGTATTGATTCATCATTCAAATAATGAATCATCAGTCATGATGTGAACTGTATAGAACGTTAACTCTTATGAACGTTGACAGACTAAACTGACCTTTAGCTTGCAGTATAAATAAATCCACAGAAAATTCTTGTTGAGCAATAACTACTGATTTCCCTTGAATATGAATTCAGTTCGTTGTTACTTAGAAATGTGAATAGCAGTCATTTCAGTTTCCAAGCTTTTCAATTTGATTTTTAAAGTATACTTTTGGAAATTAAAATATTGTGGTAAGGCCACATAAATTATCTTTGAGCAAATGATAGACAGAGTGTGTATGCATAGTTCTATTTTCTAGTTCAATAAAAAATTAAAACACACATTTTATTTTGAAAACTTAATTTTACTTTCTAATAAATAGTTTAAAAAAATTGTTTGTTCCTTCACAAAAAAATGATTTACAGCTATCAAAGTGTTTTTTTCAGAAAACAACAGCCATTTAACAAGTTTTGGATGTATTTCATTAATCTAAACAATACCCCTCTAACAATATTAACATATATCGGAATAATATGTGGAAACTTGATTATTACACATAATCAAAACCAAACATTTCCTTGAAAAAACTCGTGAAAAGGAAACAAAAGGACCAAGTGATAAGCAATAATTTCCACTTATGGAATAAAGAAAGTTGACCGGAGGCTCAAATAATTTTTGTGTACTGGCTGACAACTTTATTATAATAAACAGTTTTTTTTAAATAATTTATACCTATATACAGAAATTCCAATCTAAAAACAAATTAATTTGAAAATAAATATTTATATACTTTCATGTTATGTTTGCTTAAAAATCTTTACAAATAGATAAAGAATTATGCTTACAGTTTAAAGCTGAAGATGAAAAGGTCATACCACTATATTACCTAAAATATATTCTATCATAAAAGTTTTAAACCTTACAATAGAACTTGTAACTTATGTAATTAGAATAACATTTTAAGTAATCATAAATAGTCTAACATAAATCTTTTCACCTTGATATTCAATAAAGTATCCGTCATTAACAAACTTTAAGGTATAGTTACTTAAAAATTTATACAATCCATTATATATTTATTTATATAATACAATAATCACAAGTAAGCAAATATATACAGATAATTATTGGTGTTAGACGAAGCAGAGGAGTTTGAAATTCTGGAGCTAGCACCTGAAAGTGAAACAGACGGTTTAGGAATCCGTACTTACTAAAACTTACTTAAACTATGTTACTTTATTAACCCTTTCCGCTCAAGCGGCGGGGGAGCCCCGCCGTGCGTCATGGCCGCACGAACTCTAATGTCGGGCCAGGCCCGCCGTCGCTATGACAACGTACTGTACTTTTATTTGGACATACGTAGTTATTTATTTCGCCGCTAGGGTTGATGTTTGACATCTGCTGCCATCTGGGGAATTTTTTCAGAACCGTTTGAACAAATATTCAATGCTCAATATTAAATCTTAGAGCTTATGTCAGTCGTCTTCACTCGTTAACTGAACTGCTGTCTGTAGCAGCAGCTGACTGACTGCACGGCAGCTGTTTACTAAATGTTGCTTGGTTTGTTTACTGCCGTATGTAGTTGGAGTGTTATTATCGAATTGCGTGCTTTACTTTTACTTTTTATTATTGTTTACATACAATCAGATATTTTCAGTTAGTTGTTTATTTTTGTGTTTGACTGAACTGTTATGATTTGAGTTAGTTAGTTCTTGTTACGTAAGCCCATAAAATGGATGAAGACGGCGATGATTCGTTGCTAAATCGCAAAATTGCTGATGGAACAAGTAATATAAGTGATTCTGATATAGCTGGTTTGTTATTTGAAGACGATTTATTATCAAATAGCAGTTCAGATCCAACCGATCCAGAATTAGACGACGACGAAAATAGTGATGAAGATGGTGATAATAATAGTGATCCCGATTTGCCGATTGAACATATTGATCCATTTTATCTTCAAGATGATGTTAACTTTGGGACATTAGATGACATACCTGGAATACATAATGTAAGTACCGATTTGCCTGTTGAACATAGGCCTATTGATGATCAATTTTTTCAACAAGATGATGTAAACTTTGGGACATTAGATGAAATACCGGGAATACATAATGTAAGTATCGGTGGGCTTACCGAATTACCTGTAATTACTGAACCAAGCTGTTCCAATATTTTGAGTCAATCAAAAAGACTAAAACTTGACAGACCGAGACCTAGCTCTATCCCAGTTTGTACTGAATCAGGACCTTCTTCACAATCAACCAAACTTACAACAGGTAGACATTTGCGTGGATCGAGAAAAACTAAAGTCTCAAAAACCAAAAAGAAGTCTAGTCTTAGCACACAGGGTAAAAAGGCTCGGCCTAGGCCTATCCAAACCAAGAAAAAGCCTAATGAAGATCATAACTATAGGACTTACACAAATACTGACCAAGATTTCCCCCACTTCCCTTACACTTTGGAATCTGGCTACAAACCCCCAATAGGCTACAAACCTAATAGCCCATTACAGTTTTTTCAATTGTTTATGACAGATGAACTTTTAGAAACTATTGTTACTGAGACAAATAAACATGCTAAGGTTGTCATTTCTAATAAGAGGCCTTTGCAAAAAAATTCAATCTGGCACTCGTGGACGGATGTAACGTTAGAGGAGATACGAGCATTCATCGGAGTGGTTCTAAACATGGGACTCAATACTAAACCCTCGCTGCAAGACTACTTTGCACAAGATTGGCTTTATAATCAGCCATTCTTTAGCCGTGTATTTTCAAGAACAAGATTTTTTCAAATATTTTGGACTTTACACTGTTCGAGTACTGGTGGTACCCAACCAGCCCGATCACGAGGGGACAAGCTAAAAAACATAATTGCTTACCTTCAGACTAAGTTTACAGAATACTTTGTCCCTCCATATGAGCTTTCTATGGATGAAAGTACAATTTCGTTCAAAGGAAAAGTGTACTTCAAACAATACAACCCCAAAAAACCAATTAAATGGGGTCTAAAGGTTTTTGTTGTATCTGATGCCAGGTCAGGATACATTTCCACGTTTGAGCCATACTATGGCTCAGCTACATCGCAGATATTACCTTACCCTGACCTGCAATTCACTACCAGAATTGTTTTGCTGTTGGCACTAAGAGTGAGGCAAGTATGTGGGCCAGATTGCGGTTTCCACATATATACTGACCGATTGTATACAAGTTTGTCATTAGCTCAAGAGTTGCTAAAGATGAAAATGCATCTCACTGGTACAGTTAATTCAAATCGTCAAGGTAATCCCAGTAATGTAAATAAGAAAAGGCTAAAGGGTCTTTTGAAGAAACATGAGACAGCAGCCTACCGTCACAAAGACAATGTCTTGGTGTTGGTGTGGCGGGACCAGAGACACGTAATTATGATGAGTTCGTATCATAACTCGGATATGCAATTAGTAAAAAGAAGAGAGAAGGGAAGAAAAGAAGATGAAATTGTGTCCAAACCAGTTGTTGTATGCGATTACAACGAGAGAATGGGAGGAGTCGACACTGCCGACCATTACATTTCGTCCTACATGTTTGTTCGGAAATCTAAAGTGTGGTGGAGAAAACTGTGGTTCTGGCTTATGGAAGTATGTGTCGTCAACAGCCTCCTGCTATACAACATGGACTTACAGAATAAGGGGAAAACTCCCATTGATTCGAAGAGATTTAGGGAAATGCTGATTACTGAACTTGTTTCTGGTGTACGTAACAAATCTTATTCACAGCGAGGTCGTCCTTCTTCAGCTGACCAAGAAGATAGGCTAGATAAAAAACCTCATTTTATTTATGCCAATGAAAAAAGCAACAGCAAGGACTGTGCTGTTTGCAGCAACAGGAAAGCTGGACAGAGAAGAGAAACAGTGTATTTCTGTGCTACATGTGCAAGAAAACCAGGCCTTCACCCAGGGCAGTGCTTTGAACGCTACCATACCCTGAAAAACTATAAGATGTAATGAGGTATGTCTAGTTCTTTGACAAAAACACTGTTTAAATTCTTATATAACTTGTGTTTATTTTATGTTATTATTATTTTAGGCCTATTCTTGCTTGTGATTGAAGCGGAGTAGCGTACAAGCGAGATAAAATATTTAGGCCTAGTTCTTGTTTTATTTATGTTTTTCAGCTAATACAGTTTTGAAGAAAAAATACTTTTTCTCTTTACATCATAAATATTTGGTTTCTAAGCAACAGCAAAATTAATATTGCCTAAAAAGATATTAGTCGCTACAAAAACTGATATTTTCACCAAAAACTTTTTTTTAGCAAAAATTCATATTTTTCAATATATTTTTTTTCCGCATAAAATTGTGTCTTTTAGCTATGTAAATCACTTCAATATATATATAAGGACATACACAATGTAAATAAAACACTTTTATACTCTTATTTCTATAAAAAAATTGTAAAAAATCTTGTTATTCCAATTTTTTTATTTTCTCCAAAAAAAATTTTTTTTTTATGAGTAATGTATAATAAATTTTTTAAATACATATACTGGTTTCTATATCCTAAATATGATCTTTGGTTCATACAGAATTAGGAAAAAAATTACCAGCATTCTACAAATAAAGTCAGTATTTGTTTTTTTGGCAAATAAATGAAGTGTGCAAATTTGGCTAAAATTAAATGGAGCTGGTGAGTAAATGGGCCTCCCGTTAATCTGAGTGGAAAGGGTTAAAATGTAAACTTAGTAGTAGTTGCAAACATTGTGCATTTTTTTTTTTTAATGGAGACCAATCAAAAACTAACAAGAACTCCACATTAAAACTTTGGACAGTGCATATGGCCCAAGGAGATTTTAAGAAGATAAGAAGGCCTAAATATTGGCCAGGTTCTTGTCCCATCTTAGCGGCATATTTCAACCCAGACTGTTTAGTAGTTGTAGCGTTTATACAAAACAAACACAGAAACAAAACATATTACAAACACAAAGAGAGGTGTGTTATGATAAATGCTTACGTCCTGTGAATCTATAAGCAATCTATTGAATTCACAAGTAATTCTTAAGTTAAAATGGCTGAATAAGTTTACTAGTAACATAGTGTAAAGCATTACTTTTTATACTGACGTTTTAATCAACTCCTGCAAATCCCTGCGAACCTTCTATGGCTTTGATGAGTTTGTCTCTCAGTTGCTGATAACTTTCGTAGGGCGGAAGGTCTAGCCGGTTAAAACTGAAAAAATAGTAATAGATCAAAACTATCCACAATTTTAAAAGTTTATTTGACAATAATTATCCTATTATATGTAATTTCTAAAAAATTACTGGACCAAGGAAAATATGATGGTCTATCTATAGCACTGATTAACAATACTTTGAATACTGTTTAAAAAGGGAAAAAAACATTGATTCAATAAAAGAGATCTAAACTCTTTCTGATAATATTTTTCATCATTAGTACATTGACTAAGATACACAATAAAAGCTCACAAACATAACAATATTTCTCCTATCATAGAATTTCTTCTAAGAGTAGATTAAAGGAAAAATTAATTTTAACGTTTGAAGAATATATTATCCGACCGGTCTCACTATATGGAGCCAAAATGTGGATATTAAATAAAAAAGAAGAGAAAAAACACATTGTTTTTAAAAATAAGATAAGAAAGATTTTTGGTTCTGTGAATGATAAAGGTGAGTGGAGAATCAGGCATAATGAAGAAATACAAAATTTATAGAGACCACGATAATGATATCACAGCACATGCGAGGGTTAGACGGCTAAGATACATGTCATGTTGGATGTCTTGAGAAGGGATACAGGAACACTATTGAAGGAAGCAGGAGAAGACCACCTGGAAGACATAAAAGAAGATGGTGGGTCAGCGTGAGGACATTGCAATAGCAGGAGCGGAAGTAGATGAGGCATGATCGGGAAAGATGGAGAGTAATAGTTGGTGGAGCCAAAACCCTTCTAAGGTATAGTAAGTAAGTTTGAAGAATATATTATAATGAAATATCAGTGTTAGGTTTTGTGACCTTTCATTATATGTCGAATCTATATCTTCTCAAATAAGCTAGGCGACCTCTATCAAGGCCCCACTATAAAAACAGGCCATGCTGCAGGATCCATGACGTCACACTAGTGAATAGATTTTTTGATCAATTCACAGCAATATCCCCTATGTTTTAGGTAAATAAGCTGGTTGTTTGCTTTCCTTTAAATTTACATGAAGTAGCTTCACTAATACGGTACACTATTCACTTTACACTAAATAAAATTTGTAGGCCCTAGTTGAAAATCAAAACAAAATTGACAATCGCTTAACACTTTACTCACCAAGTATGCGCTCTTGGATAGTTGTCAGGCGTTCCCCATTTTTCGATTGTAAACATTTGCGGCCCATTACTTCCGTAGAGTTCCTTGAATCCATTCATCGGAACTCGTGAAGTTCCAGTGACAAACTGCAGCAGTCGTGATCGCATTTCGTTGGTGAACGACAGAACAACCTAAAAATTAATTCAGTATTGCTAAACATGAATTTGAAAACTAGATATATGTATAGTAATTATAGTTATTTGAAATTAGCTCAAATTTTACATAAAAGACCACATAGAGTAAAAAAAGAAAAAAAAGAGTTCTAAAAAAATTTAAAATGGTAAAATAAATTAATTATAGCATTTTCACTTTTCTGAATAAAATGATTGCATGGAATGAAATTGTTTGTGATATAGAATTAAAAAAAACATATTTATATTTCATTACATTCTTGAGCTAAGACACTCATGATCCAATGTAGTTCAAACATGAACCTACTGAACACTAATAAACTTGAAATACCAAAGTTGTTTCCGTTATTGGAAGTATCAGTTTTTATTTAGTGTGAAGTTATTTAACGTATTATAAGAACTATCAGATGTTTGTAAAAAAGTTACAAAACTCATACAATATCAGAGGCATTAATAAATAAAGTGTTGAGGTTGGACAATTTTGAAAATCGGTTATCATTGGATGCAACTCTGCCTGATATTCACTAGTATGGTTAGGTAATGTTAGGTAGGTTAGAACCAATAATAACATTACAATTCAATCACAAGTTAACTGAATTTTCCCAAGAAAATTGAGAGATACAACACAAACACATGCTCTCAAAATTTGTAGAAGTGAGATTTATGATTATTGAAATGGCGCTAATTACAGCAAAAGTATCAATAATGAAAGACAACCTAACCCACTATTACCTCACACTGTATAAATAGGTACATGAGGTAGCCAACAACATTGGTTATTGGGAGTGTTGCTAACTTAGGTGCAAAATGACAGGTTCAAGCCCCACCATATACCAAAAATATAAGTGATTTGGAGTAATTTCCCTTAAAACAAATCAAACCAAACAAAAAATCATCTGCCAAGATTACTTATATAATGTGAAGATTGAAAATAGAAATAAATAAGTGTTTGAAAATCTTGCATACAAAATGACACTGACGTAGACACTAATAGCTTGTACAAACAATTGATGTATCTCACCCTCCAAAACCACTGGATGACAATATGGTTTGGATGGTAGTCCCCCTTATAGAGTGTGTTTTGTTTCCAATCCTTGACGTCAATATTTTGTATGCCACACATCAACAGCTCCAACTCGTTCTCGTCAAAGATTTTGATTAGGTTGAGAGGCACTAAAGCGTTGAATCCGTCCAGGAAGGCGTTCATTTGATCTTGAACTCTCGCTACAAACCTCCACTCTATCACCAACCTGTTAACAAAACTAATGTTAACAGAAAACTTAGAAATGTGACCTAAGACTATGGATTGGAATAGATTTTCCATTCAAGTACTAGTTCAAGCCAGTTTTTGAATAAAAAGGATCGAAGGTAGTTGAATTGGGCTTCTGACAGAGTGAGCTTATGTCAACTGATTTGTAACCAATTTCCATTTTGGGGAAAAAGTCATAGTTGGCTATACTATAACATTGGCACGGTCAAGACACGGTCAGATATGGAGAAAGTATGTTTTCGATAACATTTTTGAGTTTGAGTTTTGGGTCCCCCAAACCCAAAAAGCGGTTTTTGAAGTGATGTCTGTGTGTGTTTAGTATGTTATGGTCCTTTTAACTCGAAACAAAATAGCACAACCCCCAATGCTATAAAATTACGGTTCAAAAGTTATTGCAATTGTGATCTTATATTAAATTATAGTTACTCCTACCGCTCACCCATTAAAACTGTTGACAGGCTAATGAGAGAAAGTATGTGTCAATTTGCTGATACCCTTTATAGAAACCAGTGGGTCGAGACTCAACTTGGGAACTGCTGTCTAAGACAACTTTGTTGTCAACCAGACCTATTGGTTACCACTCTACCAATATGGCAACTGGAAGCCCAAGCATTGAAAATATCATGTCTTAGGTGTCATATCTTAGGTTTAGCTTTCAGCCGATGTTGTTCAGTTAAATCCTAGAAATTCTTCTATGCATCACTTACTTGATGTATTCGTCCTTGTTCTCCTCGTTGATGGGAATGTTCGCTCCGTTAGGTTTCAGTTCTCGCTGACTCGTGTGGCCAAGACTGTCCTCATCAACTGCAAACGTCAACTCCAGCTCTGTCGGATTGTTTTCCTGCAACCAACAAGATATTTTCAAATAACAAATCAACTGTTTCTTAATTTGCAAAAACTGAACTATCATATTTACATACTAAAAAAGAATAAATTTATCAGCTGTTTGTGTTGTATTTGTTTATCAGACTACAAACTATGGCATCAAAAAATTAAATCTGTTCCAATTAAAATTATCATTGTTAGCCCAAGCGCAACTGTTAGTTTTCAAGCATAAAATACACAGTCCATGATAACTCGATTAAAAATTATCCCATTCCAATCACATTTGAAATAAACGTGTTAACCTACATTTATTCAAACGAGATATCGGGAACCAGCATGATTGGACTATGGAAAAGGGTTTAATGGGGTAAAAATTGGGTCTTCCCATTTTTGACTTTCTCCATTTACTATTTATAGGGAGAGAAAGTAAAAACATCCAACAACATCATATGACAGTAGCCTACCTTTATCCAGAGTAATGAGTTGTAATATTCCGAGTCAACGCTCTCCATGTCCTTCAGGTCAATGGGTTTACCGAGCATCATCTTGTAGAAAGGACGGATAAAGAAAGCTGAAATAAATCATCCACATCAGTAAAGAGTCATTATCTACTAAGTTTATTGCCTGTAAGATTGTGTACAGTGATTAAAAAGACAACAATACATGTTCAACCAAGGCAACAAAAACCAATAACATTGAATTTTCTGATTTGAATCTTCCTGTGTGTGTCTAATTATTATTTTTTCATTCCATATTTCTTAAATAGCAGTTCTTACCATCAAGTAATTTTCCGTGGTACACAGCCATCCCCGCTATTCTCCCGATGAATTTAAAGTAGTTGAGATGTTCTTCATTACACAGCCCGGATATAGGATTGATTTGTAAAGTGTAGTTATCCCTGAAACAATAACCAATTCAGGTACATGATCTTCGTTCGGAGAGGTTGAGCCTGAAATCTGTTTTGAATGCAATAAACGAGAATCCAATTTAAATGCTCTGGGGGGACAAGACGATCATATAGACACATGCAGACCTGAGAAAGAAAGGACTGTAGAAAAGAAAAGACTATCTGCATTCACAGCACATTCATGCAAGGCACAGAGAAGTAATATACACAGGATACAATACAATGTTATGGTACAACCGTGCGCTTTTATCTCTGGTATGAAGGGGTGGAAATGTACTTGTACCGAACAAGGATGAGCCTGAACAGCAATTGCCACATAGCATTTTGTACTGCAGTTATAGCACAAAGGGTCTTCCTAATGTGTGAGCATTGTAGTACGTGATGGCAAGGGGGAAAGGAGTGCGGAAGGGGACGAAGAATAGAATTTACTCTAGACACCTCTTAAGTGTACCATTGAATGTATCCTCTGCACCTTACTTCTCTGTGCTGCAAGCGCAAGGTAAGAAAAGTAATATCATGTATTAAACACACTACCGGTACTTTAGAGATTCACCATTGTTCTCCTCAACACAAAATGACGACGACAACATAAGTTCTGATTTTGTCTGGTAAATTAGAAGTGTTTTTTAAAATAATATTATTCACTTATTTCCTGCTAATTCACACACTTAAAAATTGTTTTAATAAAATAAAATTATCTATTAAATATTGTATAAACCATTTTCTGGTCTCTGATATGAAAACTAGCGGTTAAGTATTCCAACAATAAGAATTTAGTCCACATCCGAAACTTCAACTGGACATGACCCACACAACAAAACAGGCTTTGAATTTTACAACACCATGAGTAGGATTCAACAGCTTGATTATAAATCATTATTTTCCATCATTTTTAAAAATAACAAAACAGAGAATACTGACATAGTAACAGAACTTAAAAACTCTGCATTATTTCAAGCAGCAGTTATTTTGATGTTTTTAATCTCTATGTCTTGTACTTAGGATACAGAGAGTAAAAACAACCATACTTACATTGCGGAATACTCAAAAAGGCCATAATACGGGTTGAACATTTCCTTGGACAGTAGAAAGAACCACTCTCTTGCCAGACCACCGTAGTCCAACCCCACTTCTCCTTCAAACTCCACCCACAGTTTGGTCTTGAGCAAGTCTGTCCTCGGGGCGTTGCTGATGATGCGGTATGAGTCCTCTAGTATTGTGGCTCTGCTCACCTTGATCTCAAACTTGTTGGGAACGTTGTTCTGCGGAACGAACAAATAGTGAACAAATTACGTCAAAACTAACCTCAGATTAAAAACCTGAAGCTTATATAGAAGTGGGATTGACTCTCGACACTTAACAAATAGACTGACACCGAAATGAATAGATGCAAACACTGAAAAAAATTGATTAAAAAAAGATAAACTGATTTAAGAGCTTTCTCATTTTAAAAAATATTAAAAAGCCTCATGGCTTTCCTCTACAGTATTTACAGTGTGCGGCAGTGAAACGGCACGATTCCGATACCAGGTGACAAGGAATTGGGGGCTATTTGAATACGGGGCTAATGACCATAGACAAGTTGAAATTTTAGTAGCCATGGAGCGTTGCACGAGTGCACAGTACTTGTTTGCTGTAAAAGCATATTACAAAAACGTGGATATTATGGTTTGTGTTTAACGCACTTTCCGTTGCGAGTTCAGTCAATCGTCCCGGGCTCCCGTGCCATCTACGAAAGCTATCCTCCATTGGGTGAATAACTTTGATGCCACTGCTAGCACAACAAAACACTATAAAATGATTGCAGACGTTATGAAAACGCTAAAAAATATCATGGACTGATTTCAATTCATAATTCAAAAATGTGTGCAAAACCAAGTACGCCATTTTACTGACACTGTATTAAAAAATATAATTATTTAAGGTGAAACATTAATTTCCATTAATGTACTTAGGATTTATGTTAATACAACTATCCTTCTTTTCAAAATGAATTATTTGTGATTTTTCAAAATCGTGCCGTTTCACTGCCTCACCCTTTATTAGTAAAGTAAAAATCGGAAAAACTTACAGGTTTTCTTAACTGCGACTTCATATATTCGTACTTTCTCTTATAATCTCTGGAATACGGCACCGCCTGAAAACACAGAAACATTCAATACAATTGGTCTAATATATAACTGAAAACTTATTAAACTTATATAAATTGAAAATATTATTTTTTAGTGGTATGGTAACATAGGATAGGTAGTTAATAAAGCAGAAAAGTAAGCAAAACAATGTTTACTGCAAATATCATTTATTCATTTATTTAGATAGCCAGAAACACTAATTAATGAGGACGAGTGGAACAACATACACTATGGAAGTTATGCAGCATTAGGTTATGGGTCAGCAAATAACCTACCAGGTAATAAACGGTAGAGAGTACAAATTATGTTTTACAAAAAAGAGACTACTTACCGGACCAGCAATATTAGGGTTGGAAAGTCTGGGGTCTTCCCATTGTGTGGTTCTGGTATCTGAAAAAGATTTTGTTAAACTATAAAAAAGTACAAGTTACAAAAATAAGTTACATTTTGTTAGACAAGTAGGCCTTTCATATAATTTTTGGGGCTTTGTTGGACAACTGTTGTAAGTTTCTTCTGAATCAAATCTCAATCATCTTTTCTGAATCCAATATATCTTTATTTCTTTCTTCTCTTGTAGCCACTCTCTAAATCTTCCCTCTACAGTCAACATTAAAATTAAGTATGATTATCTCTTTTTGGGTTTTTGCTGATTGTTACGATAAACATTCATTGACAGTTATCTCTTCAATAACTATAGACTAAAACTAATCACCACCAAAATTGAACGGACATTTTTTCAAGTCCTCCTTATGTCTTCCTTAAATTCTAAAATCCTTTTGTTGATTTTTCCCTCAAAAGCAATTAAGTAATCAAGTAACAAAGTTAGTTTCTACCTTATTGTGATTTCAGAAGGTTCTATTTCCTGTAGTGATGTGTCCAAACCGAATCTCAAATCTCAAAATCATCAAAACTTAGGAAAAGTTTCGGTTTCGAGATTCGATCACTAAGTTTCGAGATTCAAAAGTTTCGAAATTGAAGATTTTAGCAGTTTTATTTTTGAAACTGCTGACATTTATTTGTGCCATTGTTATTGTTTTTAACACTGTTTCAAAACAAGCTGGTAGCAACAGAGCAAACATCACCATTAACTGTAATGAAACAAGTAAATTTTATTCTGAACTTCAAAAGGTATATCATAAATACTATAACTGGTACAATTCAGTTTCACATCAATATTTACAAAGAATAAATATTGACCGAATCTCAAATCTCAAAATCATCAAAACTTAGGAAAAGTTTCGGTTTCGAGATTCGATCACTAAGTTTCGAGATTCAAAAGTTTCGAAATTGAAGATTTTAGCAGTTTTATTTTTGAAACTGCTGACATTTATTTGTGCCATTGTTATTGTTTTTAACACTGTTTCAAAACAAGCTGGTAGCAACAGAGCAAACATCACCATTAACTGTAATGAAACAAGTAAATTTTATTCTGAACTTCAAAAGGTATATCATAAATACTATAACTGGTACAATTCAGTTTCACATCAATATTTACAAAGAATAAATATTGACGGAATCAATAAATCAATAAATGTTCTAATTAATCTAATATTCATGTTTATGTTGGTGTTAGAAGTTTTATTTATTTATTTATTTTTTATTGGTTGTTTATAAAAAATTATGTTGTATTGGGTTTTAAGATTATCAGTCACATTCACATACTGTATTTATGTTGTGTCACGGTCAGGAGGAGTCGATCTCTTTCAGTTTTGATTGGATACTTTACATTTTATGATTAAGTGTATTTTTTGTAACCTTGACCTTTGTAACAAGCTAAGTAAAAAAGTTTCGCGTCTAGGTTTTGAGATTCGAGATTCGGGATTCGATATTTTAAAGTTTCGGTTTCGGTTTTGAGATTCAAAATTTCTGGTTTTGACCATCACTAATTTCCTGGTAGACATTTGAATTACAAGTCAATATCCACTGATAATTTTCTTAATAATTTGTATTTAACCGATAGGAATGGAAGGATTTTACAAGAAAATTGTGTGAATATCTATTAGTGAACAATAATGTCTGTCTAACTGAATATTAAGATTAACCAACGTTATCATAGGCCTAGTCGATTTTTACCTATATTCATAGCTACTAATACGTACAATTTACACATTTTAATCTTTTCCTTGGCAGGGAATTATTTTGCATTTCGATAATAATAACTCAAAACTGCACATTTTTCCACCAGTGTCATGTACATGTAAACTATTTGTACTCACTGTGATCTATGAAGAATATCCGTCCGTCCGTGTGAACACGCTCCTCCCAACCCTCGGGTAGAGGTCCGAGTTCATCGTCCGGACCTGCGACTCTACGAGCAACATTAGGCGCCTCTCTCTGATTGGGCATCGGCGAAGCTCGGCCTAATCCAACACAAACATATTGTTAGTTAGGGGAACTGTATGTCCTCTTCACTCATTACTATGGAATAAGACAGTTTGAAGATCTAATCATAACTTGTCCTGGGTTACAAAAATTAGCTAGTCACAAATACTCACAATTATTAAAGCCTGAAATCAATGAATTGCTTGAATGAATGATTCTCGCCTATTGGGTTTGATGATATTTGGAGTGACTTAAAAATCGATCTCTACTCACCATCTATATGCACCGTCTTGTGAGCCAACAATATAGGAGTAAATATATGTTTCAAGTGTTATTAGTCATATTTTAATATACTTTCAGAAAATGAAATAAAACGTATGAAACAATGTTAAACAAGAAATTATCCAATTGAACTTCCAAAAACACTTCTCTGTTTTCAAACTTATGTTTTACAATTGTGTGTTTATGTCCCACATGAATAGGGGTTTCAAATACAAAACTAACAACAGCTGACAATGCTAAGTCGCCTACAGTTACAAAACTCACCCGTCCTGGGGTCGACCCATGTGGTCGCCCGTGAGTTGTGGTCGATGAAGAAAACTCGTCCATTAGGCGCCACCTGGAGTGACCAGCCCGTCGGAAGGCCTTCCCTCGATGGTTCCGTGCGATTCGCTTCTTCATTCTGTTTTTGAGTCAACAAATAGGAGTTTTATTGTGTCACAGTAACAAAAAATAGGCATAAAAATCAGCCACGAGTTGTTGTGAGTTACAGTATTGGTGATTCTTTAAATGGTCTAGGTTCAGCATTGTTGTAATCTTTTATTGCTAGACATTGGTTTGTGAGTTGGAATAATAAAAAATCTGTGGAAAGGATGCAGCACTGGTAAAAACCCATATTAAGATGGAACAACCAAGTGCTTAAAGAGGACAGAGAAGTTGATATGGAAAACCTTAATGGAGTAGTAAAACTTAAATTTGGATTTGAAACGTCTCATGTTTTGTTAGACAACTTATGATAATCAGTTTAACATATAAAAAAAGGAATATAAAGGCAATTCAAATCAACCATAGAATTTTTTTACAGTAGGTCATCTAAATATAGTTTTGCTTTATATTTAAAATAATTGTAAGCACATTGAGTTAGCATGTTAAAAAAGGGAACTGTAGCAGAGTAAAATAAACCCTTAATAAATACCAAATTTTGCCCATAAAATTGTAGGCTAGAACAGAATTTTCAACTGCAGTTACAGAATCATTAAAAAAAACGCACAAACTTAAAAAAAAATGAAAAAGTAAAACAGCACAATGTGTAAAAAAATTAAAAAGCTTACCGTTTGATTTTGACTATCAGGCCTCGGTTGAGTCGGGCTATCGACTACTTCGCTTGCCTGAAACCCAAAATATACCAGTTGGTGTTTCAAAAATAAAACATAAAACTATACAAAATTGTCAATTAGTGGCTTCTAAAAGTGTTAAAAAAGTGGACTCTTTTGTGTGGTATTTTTTAAAGCCACAAAAAAGTACAATAAAAACTTACATATCATAAAAAGCTGTAATCGATAAGATACAGATGCAACTGAAGAAGTAGATGGTCTCACACTACTTTCCTCTTCATCCCATTATTAATACATCCTTCCTACTAATATTATAAATGAGAAAGTTTGGATGTATGGATGAATGGATGTATGGATGTATGTTTGTGACAAGTGAACGCGAAAAATACTGGTCGGATTGGGCTGAAATTTGGCATGATGATAGCTCACATTCCCGATTAACATATAGGCATATTCTTATTTCAAAAATCCTTTCGGGCTCCGCCCCAGTGGCTCTGGAGTTTCCCATGTTAACCTTATGAGAAATGGAATTATTGAATCTTAACAGCTGTTTCAATTAACAAGTTGGTTCTGTTCTATGATGTTCAATAGCATTAAAGTTACAAGGATTACCAACAGGTTGCAGCACTATTATTTCTTTTACATTTATGACAACAGCTAATTTGCAACCAAAAGGTGAGTGAGCGTAGCGAACGAACTTCAACCTGGAGGCGAGTTAGCGTAGCGAACGAGCTAACCTGAAAGCAAGTGAGCGCAGCGAACGAGCTCCAACCTAAAGGTGAGTGAGCGTAGCGAACGAGCTCCAACCTAAAGGTGAGTGAGCGTAGCGAACAAACTTCAACCAAGACGTGATTGAGCCATGCGAACGAGATAATCTTGAAAATTAAGAAGTTAAACGGGGCAAAGCCCGCGGGTTACAGCTAGTATTAATATATACCGGTAGATAAGATTGTTTATCTTGAATACTTAAACCTGTATGCCTTCCGTTACAGAAAAGTGAAGAATCCTATCCAAGCTAATTACTTATGACGTCAACAACAGGTTACATGAATTCTGATTAAGCTTGTTCACTAAAATATCAATTACAAAAAAATAATATAAACTTATTGCAAGAATTAAATAAAATGGGTTAGAGAAATTTACTTCTGGGCATTGAATTAGCCTACTAATTCCCAAATCACACACTTCCTAAACAAACTGCCAGGGTATAAGGTATTGACATCAAAGCATTATACATGTCCCTAAATCAAATTCTAAAACTGACAATGGAAAATTATGTCCAGTTTTTATTCTACATCATTAAAGGACAAACACTCAAACTATTGATTGTTGTTGTTGGTTTGGTTTGACGAACCTTTCTTTTTTTTTGGGGGGGGGGGGGGGGGGAGAGGGTGAAACTATGAATATCAAATACCAGACTGAATATGGGAAAACTAAGCCACAGGATTCACAACTCGATGTACAATTTGTACCTTACAGCACCATGGGATGAACACTCCAGCAGTCACTAACGAATAAATCTTTTACCAGGAATGAAAACGGCAAATAAATAGTTATTTCAACAGGAAAAACTAAGCCAGGGGATTCGCAGATCAACATTGAAGATACATCAACTCTCAATGGGTGTATAGTTCTAACTGAGGCACCCCAGGGTAGTAAGGTATTTCCACCTGCTCGACACGATCCCACCAAGTATCGCTGAGTTCGATCTCACTGTCCATGCTCGCTTCGTCTTCTTCTTCTCCTTCCTCCACACCAATGTCCACGTCCAACTCCCCCCTCCACTCATCATCCTCCTGACAACACAATCGGCACAGTACATGCCTAATGGTTCCGTGCTAATTTGGTTATTTGGATTTTTCAACGTTAGTCATAATTCCTGTACTTGATTTATTTAAAGGTAAACCTTATCTGTAGATGAATCAACCTATGGGCTTGTTAATTACTCCATTTTGTGCCTCGAGTCAAACTTGAGGTATCTGCTAGTTAAAACAAGGGTTTAAAGTATTTTAAAAATAAATTGTGTTGTATGATCTACAAATACTAGTTATATTTGTTACAGTTGAAATTAGAGAAGACCCGTTAGATGGTTTAAATAGCATTAAATGAGGATTATTCCCTGACTTTAACATTTATCAGATGGGGCAATTGCTGTACTAAGGAAAATTTTAGCTCAAATATGAATGTAGATAAGTGTAGGATGAGTAATATGTGTTTAATAGCTTTGTTACTGACTCAGATCACCAGTTCCTTTAGTCATGGCTATTAGTTAAAGGCTCAATGACTAAGGACAGTTGGGACTAGTTTTAAACAATAAAAAGGCTTATGAGTTTCAGTTTTTTGAGGAATGAACGGGTGGCCTTTCGATTGTCTGGCCAACACTATAATCGAACACTATAATTTCAGAACAACAGATTGTGCAATAAAATTAGTGGTATAAAGGTGCAAACGATTATTTGCAGAACCACACTACTATTATTATTATTTGCAGAACTATTGTTTTACTTAATCCGTGACTGGCTTTCCCGCGTTCAGCCTCAAAGGAATGCGAGTTGCTTCTGCCTACAGCAGGGTCTCCGAGCCTGTAGTCACGGTGATTGCCGGTGTCATCCCCATCTTCGATCTCGCAAAGGAGCAACAGGCAATCTACCACATGAGACCTGAAGTAGACAGGGAGGCTGCTGCCAGAGAAGAATGCGATAGTAGTTTCAACCAAGTCTAGGGGTCTGGTCTAGGGGTTGGACCGCCATGCTCATTTGTAGCATCCGACCATGAGTGGAACAGGAGCATGGTGAGGTCGGGTATTTCGTGACTCAGTTTTTGTTGGGTCACAGGTAATTTTGGGCCTTTTTGCACAGAATGGGGAAGGCCGCCAGCTCAGACTATCTCAGACTATCTGTCCTGTCCCGGCACTGCAGACAGTCGTGCATACCTTCTTTTACGACAAGTGGCATGTCCGCCATTTTGATCTCCGAGATCGGCGTCAACACCACTCCCAACATCGTTGGAACTATACTCCATGGGGAGGGCACCTGGAACTGTGCCAAGCAGTTCTCAGAAGCTAAAAAGGTCGATCTCGATAGGCCACAGCCTTCGGAATAAATAATAAGGAATGCCCTAGTGGCATAGTTCAAAAGGCCTAGCCCCAAGTAATGTGCTAAACAGTTCCAGGCTAGTGTCCTAGGAGATGAGGGGGTTTTTTAGCCAGTAGTCCGGGGACACTGAGTCCGCGGGAGTCCGGCACTATTGAGAGGCTATTGAGTATCTCAGTGTACGTTAGTGCATTTACCTCCTCGGAACACATAAACAAAATTCTACTGAAAAAGCTGAATTTCATTGATTGGGCTATTAATAAATGATCATGTAAAAAAAATGAAGAGTCTTTGTATCAAAGCTACACAATAACCAAATTTAAATTATAGTTGCTTAAAACATGCCAGTGTTGATCTATAAAAAAAAACATCAAGACTTAAAAAATTGAACAAGATGAGCTTATTTCAGGGACAGTAAACCATCAACCGATTTCAATCAATCAAATTCATTTCAATAAATTAATTTGTGTTTAAAATTGTAATTAGAAGTAATACATTTTTTGAAGTGTCTTTGTCATTACACATTTTATATACGTTCCATAGCTGTAAAATACACTAACATCAAAAATTATCAAAAAGTTTGCTGCAAGCTGAAACCAACATGTTTAATTCCGTTTTTGGCCTACCTGACTGACATTGCTAGAAATGCTAGTTCTTCTGTTAGATTCTTGATCGTCTGCGCTGATGTGAAACCGGCGTTGGAACTCCGTCACTGCCGACTCCAGGATTTGGTTGCTGACTGAACTATTGCTCTCCACACTGGCAAAAACAAACGATTAAGTTTTAAGTCAACAAATTACATGCCTAATAAATGTAAACACAAGTAGTCTTTGCTGTATACCAATAAATGCAATTCTAGTGCCTAATTACGAATCACAATAAAGAAAAAACTCAGCGCATTTACCGATGTGTTTTTGTATTGGAGTATACTATTATACTGAACTACGGCACAACCGGTGTGCGTTTTTAATTTATGGTAATGGTTTTATTTTCAGTCCACCGACCTATTAAAAAATTAAAAATACTCACTTAAACGTAGGTCTCTCCCATTGCGTAGTCCGAGCTACATGATTCACGTAATACGTTCGTCCGTTAGCATCTTGTCTCTCTTCCCATCCGGGAGGCAGTGCGGCGAAATTCTCATCGCCTTGCGGAACATACACAGCCTGTGCGACATTAAATTCCACATCAGACAACTATGCTCTATAATCAGGTGTTAGGTACATACGAGATCTTAGTTAAAATTTGTTGTGCTGTGAAATTAATGAATAATGAAATGAAATACAAATAAACAAGCACATCTTAACACAACATAACCAAAATTAAAATGGCAAAAAAACTGGAAATAGAAACTTAATTAGCGAGGTGTTACAATTTTGAGCCCAATTTTCCGAGGAATAAGATACCTACATTTTCAACTGTACATTATAGTACTAAAAACAAATAAACACACAACAAAAGTATTACTTTTAAGGCCTATAAGAAATATTTTACCAGCAAATGATAGTCTCTTATTGAAATTTCATGCTCTGCCTCAACAATATGTTCCTATATTGTGTTTTATATGGGTGGATAGGTTGGTTGTATGGTCGTAGAGGTTTCAGGTTTAATTTTTTTATACAATTAAAATTCAATCAAAATTTTTTGCAATATGTAGAAAGCAGAAGTTTCAGTTCGATGTTTCTTCTAGAGTCGTCCCAATTTAATTAGAGTTCTTTAACTGATCTTTCTGATGTTTTAAAATCATATCTAAATGGATTCTAGTCGTTGCTCCATACAGACAGGTAGGGCTATAAAAATGTGTGAATGTTTTTACAAACAAATACATTCAACTAACCTGAGACCTTCGTAAGAGTCGATTAGACATTCTTCTAGTCATAAAAACACAAGAACTGTACGTTTTGCAAGTTATTTGTTGATTACATTTTTCAAAGCAACCAAATACAGCAAAGCATGGATTTCCTTTCGGTAAACAATTACATTATTTGCATGCAGTGTACAATTTTGGAAGGCTTATCAGTAGAAAAAACTTGTTGTCACTTTGAAATCTTTACAGTGTGAAAGAAAACTCACTAGCCTTCTCCAACTAATAATTTTACACTTGTAATCAAGATTTCATACTGAGGATTTTGATAGCTTGATATTTCAAAACTATGGTTTGTAAACAATAACAAAATGAGCATATGATTTACACTTTTTTTATTCTCTCTATATATTAATGCTTGCTTTGAATTCAGAGGAATTTTCATCTTCTTTGTAAACAGTAGGATTTACACACATGCAACACAAGTCACTAAGCAAACTTTCAATACAGAATCGGTGAAAGTGTCTGTTTACATGGGTTTGGACTTCAACTCTGCTTCAAACGTTTTAAGAATACAATTAAAAAATATCCAATTTACCTCGTTACTGTACAATTGACTATTTACAGAGTCAAAACTACTTTTTTTAGATAAATGAAAACTAAAAAAAAAACATTGTTCCTTATGTTCTAAAAGCCTAAGACTTTTCTGTTTGCATTTGTAGGTTAAGATTTGATAGTTTCAAGGATTATTATTGAATATGTCACCTGTTTAGTAGCTTTTGCTATACATATATTTAATATTTTATGTGAAAACAAAGTGAATTTTAATTTAAAAATTTCAATTTGACCACATCATTGTATAAAATGGTAAATGAACTGCAATGAAGGGATGCCTCCTGAAATCTGTAGGCTTTGAAAGAGACATACACCTTTTTTTATAGGTATCTCTCTTTGATAGCAAATAATGTAATCGCCAAGAAAGATTGTTCACACTATCATCTTGATAAAACGGTGATTACGTTTTGAATGTTGGGAATAAAAACATCTAAGTAAATTGTATATCAACTCTACACTTTTGAATTTCATTAACTACACTTCCTTGATAAAACTGTTTGTTTAACGAATCAACTAGAAAAATAATGACTGTTTCAAGAAATAATCTAATCTACTGAGAGAAAAATTATATATGGGTAAGTAATTATTAAATTCCCAATTACATATTTTGAAAAAAAATTTAAAAAAAGAGGTGCAAGAAATACTTGCTCTGGCTCATCAACTCTCCAAATTCCTTGCCACATTCAACTGTTTTTAAACGATATTTTATAGTAACAGCATGTCGTCTTTGAAAATCCCTACCTTACACTTGTGCTAGAAACCTGTTTCAGACTGTCAATGACAGCTTTCATGTTAGTAGGGAGTATATTTTTGTATTTCTATACATGGTATTTAGGTAGGCTATTTTGATTATGATTTTGTAAATATATAATGGCAAAAATAAACAATAAATCAAATAAATAAAAATAAATAATTGGAGATAAAGTTTTTCCCCTTTAGAACTGAACATATTTTTTTCAATTATTTTTTGCCAAGGGTTAGAGCTACTTAAGCCTTTCAATGCCTAAGTTATGTACTTGCTTACGCCCTGTTGACAAAATCAATTAATAGGCCTACCATTCCTGCAATTAATAAATCTCAAAAACTATAAACATTTTTGAGTTAAAATTGATGACAACATAAATATGGATCTGCACATTAAACAATTTATTGACAAAATATTATGAATATGCTTATAATAATATCTGCCACAGAGAGCAATAAAAGTTCCAAAAAACTTACATATCTACGTGAATCTTTGCTAAGATACGACGGGGGGTTATGAAGATCAGCATAAAACACAGCCATCATAGAAATTAAAGTGGTTTGGAGTAGAAAAAGCTGTTATCAGAACAATGACTAACCCGATATTGCTGTCATGGTAAATCCCACGAGGGCTATTGGTCAATGTTTAGCCAGTAGACAAATTGTTTGGATTTGTGATTGTGGGTGTCTATTTTTAAAATAGCTGTAAGACAGACTATCAATGCACTAGGTTATAATTCAAAGAGTTTTTTAAAGTCTAGAACTAATTTTGTTGTAAAAGGTGGAATACCTTTCCAGTACAACTAAGAAATTAAATGCATAACATTTTAGAGTGTTAGTTTTGTTGTGTGTTGTAAAGGATTGTTTGTTGATGGGATATTTTGCTTTTGTGAATAGCCATTTGGCTTATGGGATCAAGTTGTGGGACAATTCACAATCTGTAAAAGGAGATTGAACCCTACACAAAAATTTATGGAACTAGCTGGGGTAGGACTTAAGGAGAATTGTAAGCCATTTTTTTTCATTCTAAATCTTCACAGTTACAAATGTGTTAAAATTTTTACAATCAAATTGGTAGCTGTAGCAATAAGCAATAATATGTAATCACCAAACTGTAATTTCAAGAAACGAGCATGTCACTCCAAAAATTACCTGGTGACTGTTTTAAACATATTTGACAGCCTACCAGCTTACTCATGGTGTGGTAGTTACTCATGGCGTACTTTTTCTCAACAAAATCAAAACTACCCTTTATAACAAGTTCTGTGAAATTGTACGACTTCCATTAAGCATGTACCACTTTTCTTTGACTCAGCCTTTTGTGTTTATCGGCTCAATAAATTATTTTATTTACAAGTTTTTAAATCAGCTGACATCCCCTAACCTGGGCAGGAGTTTCAGGGGTGGTGGTGGACAATCCATCGGATCTATCGATCATCTCCCACCCCGGCTCCCCCTCCTCCAGTCGTCTGGTTCGCTCTTCCTCTCTCTGGCCATCCTCCCTGATATACGCGTGATATAGCTCCAGATAACCTTTCACCCTTGATCGGGCACTGTAAGAATTTGTGCTATTGAAAGAAAAAGAATCAGACACACTTGAATAGAACAAGGTTACACTGTAAAAGGTTAATGGGTTGAAAAATGTTATGTATACAGTAGACTCCAGATTAACTGAAAATATAATATACAGGGTGTCCCATAAGTAAACAGCCGAACTCTGGAAAATAGTTCTATGGGTCAAAATAAAGAGAAAATACCGAAAAATATTTCCAAAATCGCTTTGTAGACCGGATATCCGCCATTTTGAAATTTGTCATTGGATTAAGATATTTTTTTCCCAACATGGGTCTGTTTTACCTGAACATACATACCAAGTTTCATAATAATCGGATGAAAAAACTAGATGATAAAAAAGTAAATGTGAAAAAAATGACGGATATCTGGTTAACGAAGCGATTTTGAAAGAAAATGTTAACTTATTCTCGATTTTCTCTTTATTTTCACCCGTAGAACCATTTCCCGGAGTTTGGCTGTTTAATTACGGGACACTCTGTATACGGTACCATGTAAGTTAAATGTATGTAAGATGAGGCTCATTGTCTTGCGGGCAATAAAATTTCCATTGTCTACTTCACCAATTACAACCAATAAGTTGATAAGTTAAATTTTGTTTGTGTTAATTTTTAGGCCTAAAGGGTACATAAACTCTCCAATATTAATGACGTGTTATTAACACCCAAACCTGTTAGGCGGGTTACACATCGGTATCGCGGATATGATGTCGTCGATATTTTTCGTGCCCGCGACCTGCCCTTCGAAAACCAACCTATGTTATCTTATGGAGCATTTTGGGATCTACACTACTTTGTTTTTTGTTTATAGCTCACAAACCTCAAACATTGTCCGATTTTGTTGGGACAAAAACGGAAATGTTTGTTAAATTGACGTTATTAATGTAAAAGACTAAATTTATACATCGGTTTTTAACTTTGTTAATGACAATTATGGAACTAGAGCGTCCACGGAAGTGTCACTAATCGGATTATAAAGGGTCGGGCGGGACCGGCCGATAATGACCCTGCCCGTCCGTCTGGGCTGCCTCAACTTAGGGTGGCGAGACCTATAGTAGTTTTGGCGCTTTTTTACTTACTTTATTGCCTTATGGTGTGGAATGTAGTATTGTGATATTATAATACTTCAATTGACACCATAAGGAAATTACGTAAGTATTGTAATACAATTAATTACAATGTATTTTGGAAAAATTACCATGAAGTTATCTTTAATGTTTTTGTAGAAAGAACAACAGCAACAACATATCATCTTCTTATGACGATGACATTATTTAAACTGATGAATGTTGTGATTCCTTCACTTTCATGTCGCCAGCACGTGCCTCTTCCCATGGTTGCATTTTATTACATGTCGCAGACATCATGTCCGCGACATCAGAAACCCGCCTTAACTCTACAGCTAAACTCTACATTCAAAGTTAATATTAGTTATTTACCAAGCATTTTAGGTTTACACTATCCACAATTTTCATTACTTACAATCACTCGGCTACTCACTGTCGATAATCGGGAGTCTACTGTACTAGGATAATAGCTAAGCAACTTAATTAGAAAATTTTTATTTATCACCACTATTAAAAAAAACAAAAAGTCATAAGTACGGTATTATAAGAAAAAAACAAAAACAAAATCTTTTTACAGATAAAATATACCTACTTCCACTACTACCTACTTTTTTATCTGGTTTTTGGAATTTTCTCCGTAACTTTTTAATTTACAATAGGCCTACTTCAATATACAAAATTATTTGTTTTTTAAGCTCTACACGACGTTCGTAATAAAAATTTGGCGTGTTCAACCGAAGTAGTAAAAATTTGAAAACCCTTTTTTAGAATTTTAAAACTCCATAACCCGGGCCAGTTGAATTTACCTGATCTTGAGTACCCATAACCCTTGTAGGTTTGCGAACTCATTCAAGTTTTATCCCGCCCTACACCCTCAAGCCAAATTTCATTTAAATTTGACCAAAATTACTCGAGTTATCGTGTTCACGGACACATATATACCAGTATACTCTATTGAAGACCTTATCAAGATAACTTTGAGCCTTGTGGAACACTGTCGTCCATTATTTATTAAACTTAAAATTCTCACTGTTGTAAATTTGTATATTTTCTGCTCATTAATGCACATCAAAATGAACTTACAAGAATTTGTCACAAGAGAGAGCATACACAACCACAACACAAGAGGGAAGGTGAGACTTGATATCCCAATGCACAGATTAGCCAAAACTGGGTCATCTCACAAAATCAACTGCATTAGATTTTTCAATAAACTTCCTTCATATGCTAGAACTGCACCAGTCAATGTTTTCAAGAAGAAAATGTACGATTGGCTATTAAAAAATCCATTTTATTGTTTAACTGAGTTTTTAGACTGTCCTGTGATCCTAGATTAACACTTGTAGATAGAATTGGCCAAGAAATGTTGTTATTGTCAGTAGTATTTGGGCCTATATAGGTTTATGATTGTTATATGTGTAGATTTTATTTTCCTTAGTATTATGATAGATTTAGCCTATATTGTATGACGAAGCCTATTTCATGTAATATGATCAATGGTGAATAAAGATTTCTGATTGATTCTGATTCTGGTTTCTGATTTTCTAACATAGTCAATTTGGAAATCATTCTCAGACATGTCACTGACTTTATTATCTAAACTGATTGTGCTAAAGGGGAAAAACCCAAATATGTGTATATTTTACTTTGTTACTAACTAGTCACATATCTTGTTTTATTTTTTCTAGATAATATTTTGTAATTTTTTTACTTTTGGATTGCATTAAGCAATTGTGCACCGAGTAGTGTAAATTCATGTTTCGTTTTAGTCTTACCATTCATGTAAAAAAAAAATGTATATTGAATAAAGTGAATTTGAATCGTGAATATATATTATATATACAATACATTGTATGAATATAAAATTTGAATGAATTGTTTTGGCCTCTGGGGACATCAAAATGAAAAATTCAATTGGTCCCGGTTCTAGGTCTTACTGTGCCACCTATACTTTAAAATAACTACTTCCCCCTATATGAAAATTTGCTACAAAAACAAAGGAGTTTTAACAATTTTGAATGTTATGAATCATTCTTTTTTTAGGCCTATATTTTACGGAAAGTAAATAAAGCCTATATAAAAAAAAATATAATATATATATATATAAAAAACTACAGCCTATATTTTACAATACTAAATCAATAAATACTCTATAAGAGAACTCTAATTACATAAATCAAATAGCCTAATGTAAAGCCACAACGATATTGTGTTTCTAAAACTTTGGCAAAACTAAAAGCAATCTTTAGGATCATACTGTTATAACTAAAAAGAAATAACGGACTAGTGATGTGTCAAAACCTAATTAGAAAACCACCAAAACTTTGGTTTCGAAATTCATTTGGTCTAAGCTTTCTGTCATTGATTGTTTATCTTCACTAGCAACATTGTGGATACAGCCATCATTCAATTAATTTCTCTCCTTTTTCTGCTCTTAAAATATTGTGAAGTATCCATTACTGTCCTTACAAGAAAACAAATCAAACTTGTTTGGTATCTTCCTTGCAAATCAAATCTTACATGAATTGCCATTTGCATTTGAATCTCAGTACAAATTTTAAGCACTTTTCAAACGTTTTGATGAAATTTGGTAAAAGTTAGAGCAAAGAAATCATGTGAGAGATCTGGCAAAAAAGTTTTGTGTTTAGGTTTGGGATTGAAGATTTGATTAGGTTTTGATTTTGAGATTGACAATTTATTAAACTACATGGAGTAGTTTCCATATACAGCTTGCTATATATAGCTTAAATTTCCATACACATGACTTTCCACGGTCATATAATGTAGATGCATGGACTTTGGATAACAACTGCATCAAAATCAATGAAACATTTCTGTTTAAAAACTTGCAGTCTCAATGTAGGCTGACATGTTTAGTACAACTTCCACACAGCTGACTCGCCCTGAATGAATGTCATAGTGCTTAGCATTAAGGCCGAAATGTTGATCCAAAGTGTCACTGATTTTGACTAGGTCGTCACCTTAAGACCACATATCTACACAGTACCTCAATAGATCCTAATTAAAATACTTAATTAACTAATTAAAACATGCACTGAAAGAAGTAAAATACTAACCTCCTCGGCCTCAATATATATTGCTTTGTTTGTATCGTTCTGCCCTCGGCTTCCTTTGGTAAATTGATGAGAGTTAGTTCGACCATTCCTAAAAAGTCGTCTCTGGTCAGACGGTTTTCATCAAACACTTGCAGTACAAGTTTGTGTTCTGCCGGCTTCACCTGTAAATAATTTATTAGGTCATTCAATAATTAACGACAGCGATGCTGTAACTATTTAATAAGTTGCCTCTTCATAATCAGACACACTCTGTAATGCAACACTGAGGCGAGTCATTGGAGTCCGTTGACTGAAAAATATCCAGTAATAGCAGAACCTTGAAAGAAAGTATGTTACAAACAATCCAAGAGATATTAGAGTACAACAGAAGACAACAACTTTTGATTTAGTTCTCTTTGAAAAAGCTAGTTTTCTCTAGACTAAGGATGACTAAAAATGTGTTCTCCGTTATCATGTTCACTGAATCACTTATAAGTTAGGCTAGCAACATTGCCATGCTAATATACAGCTTCGTGACTCTAAACAACACAACAAATTACACACATACACTTGGCAAATTGTGCATTAGAAGCAGTCTTTTTGGCAAAGTTAAATATCAGTTTACCAATGTTAGGGTTAGGATGCTAGAGTTGAAACATCAAAAAGTGTTAAAGATTTTGAATTAAGATTATTTCTTGTTAGCCTAAGTTAATTCCAACTTTTACTATCTGTAGTGTTGAAAAGACTGGAAATGCACCAGCACCACATCTTTGTTCCCAGTCCCGTATTTACCACTAGGCTAACTAGGCTAGGCATAATGTGTCGCAACGTATTGTGCAAAAACACTTTTTTTAAACAGAAATAGAATATTTTATTTTTTTTATTAATAATTTGCCGCAGTCGCAGGTGATGATGATAATGTCCTTTCCATCGTGGGATATGTTTACGATTTTTCTGTTGTCACAGGTGACAATCATAATATCCCCTTGCGATCCCGGGTGATGATAATGATTTCCCTGTGAATGTGATAGATGTTCAAGATCACAGAGAAGTTCCACCTATGGGATGGTGACGCTCGGGAATTAGGTCCGAGTCTAAACTTTTCTTCCAACAAATCCAAAGTTTAATTTGTAAAAAAAGTACTAATTAACCATTTCTTAGACTTAAACAAAGGTTTTACTAGCAGTAAATATGCTTTTTAACAGCAGTTAACCTATTTAAATGTAAAACGGTTTTATACTTACTCTAAATATAAACTCTTCATTCCATGTTGGATTTAAAGTCTGGAACAAAAAACGGCTGTTTTATTGAAATGTTATTTAAAATCCTCATTGTAAACACTTCTAATGTTCAAAAGTATCTTGCTCATAAAGTACACTCTCACTCAACTAACCGAGGTTGTTGGAGAAAACCTCTCCCAAGAAGGTCGGATTACAAGGAGGTCGTTGATACGTTGGGTTAGGGGTTACAGTACAACATTATGAAGTCAATAATTAAAATACAGGATTTTTCAAAGACAATATCTCAGGAACAACATTTAACTTTTTGCTCAGTTGAAAACGGCATGGTACATACACTTTACAACGCAACTTAATAACAAATGCTAATGTTTATTACCAAATATATTCATTGTTGTGGATACACGCAGTCAGCTGATAGATTTAAAATAGTCTAAACAGCTGTAGTTGTTCCTATTCTAAATAACAGTAGGTTTACCCATAAAATATGATTGCTGATTTTGTTTGTTTTTTCCGCCATTTTGCTTGGATCAGTCGGAATTAATCTAGACTCGGGGGCAACACCTTTACATATATGTTAGTCACGACTGTAGAATTTAAAGTCTGTAGCGCGCTCTATACGTCTGTCATATCAATTCAAAAATAGGGACCTCTTTGTGGGACACCCGGTACATGTTTTAACCCTAGCAGTGGCCAACCGTCGCCTGGTGACGGTATGACGTTGATGCTTAGAATGGCCAATGTCGTCTGGTGACGGTATGGGCCAAAATTTTTTTAACGGTAAAAAAAACACTTACAATCAACTCAGATGAGAATAATATATATACCATTCGAAAGATCACATTCTGAACTTTCATTTGATTACATAAACAAACCCTGTAGCAGGTATATAACAATGTAACGACGATTAGAAATCAAATGAAATTTTGGCGCGGTACGACTTTTGCAGCCGACACTTGGGAACTGGCAAAACACGTCTTGTTTGGCATTACCCTGCTCGGGTAATTTTCGTCTTGGGATATTGCGGGTGGTACCACTGGATAGCCATTGATTTTATCTTCATTGTGGTAGTGATATTTATAACTAAATATTGATTGCACAATCGGTACGATTTTATGAAAACAGCTGTTTTCGAAATTTCTAACAAATGGCCAACAGTCGTCTGGTGACAGTATGGAAAATACGAATTATATACAGTGAAAGTTATTATTACTAGGTAGTCATATAGTATATCATTTTGAAGAGGAAGAAATTTAGATTCAGAGAGTGGCAGCCCTGCACTCAGGGTTATTTCTGTATGCTCGCATGTAGACGACAAGTGAGTCATTACTGCTACAGTCTGTCAGCTGTCTTGTATTGCCATTGTTTGTTTGTGTTCTTGCCGTAATAGTTTTATCCGCGATTTATTACTAAATATGTTATTAGTTTCGTAGTGTTAGTGTTAGTGAAGTGTTGTGTGTGTGTATAACAGTAATCTTCATGCATAAATATTACTGAATTGTGTGAAATAGTGTTCATAAAAGGTTGTATTTTGTTAGCATCATGTCCTAAAATGACGATTCTGACATTCAGAGATTGTTGTACCTATATAATGATATACCCAAGGTGTTATACATTTTTATAAAGGTAAATGAATACACTACAACATGTTTATAATTGTTTGGGGGTAAAAAATTGTGTAAAAAAGTTATAGCCTATACTAAATAGGCCTACTACTGTATTTTGTTAGCATCATGTTCAAAAATGACGATTCTGACATTCAGAGGTGCTATATATGCTATATAATGATTTAACCAAGGTGTTATACATTTTTATAAAGTTAAATGAATACACTACAACATGTTTATATTGGTTTGGGTGTAAAAAATTTGGTAAAAAAATTATATAGGCTACTAAATACTGTACACTCCATTTTCTGGAAATGCGCAAAAAATTCAAAACGTTCTCAAATTGATACATAATCATAGGTGAAAATAACTTTTTACCATCATACTTATGACTTTTTTGGATTCCTTACTTCATTAGCTTTACAAATATGTAGGCTACATATCATCAGCCTACATAATGTTTCACAACACAAGCAAACACTGTAGGCTATAGTTTACACTTATTTGCGGTTTTGCGGTTATTGTATTATTATGTCCCTATTACGTACCTACAAAAAAAAAATATTTCTAGGCCTAACATGTTATACATTTTTATGTAGGTAATTGAATACACTACAAGATTATTATGTTGGTTTGAAGTAAACAAATTTGGTACAAAAGTTGTATACTAAGTACTGTGAATTTTTTTCTCGAGAAATCGCTAAAATATAAAAACATTATTTTATATACGTATGTTTATAGGTAAAAAATTATTTTTACCATAAACTTTATGACTTTTTTTGATTCCTTACTTCATTAGCTTTACAAACATGTATATATCATTATTAGTATACACATATATTATAGAACTTTTTACAACATAAACTAACACTGTACGGTTTTCAATTTTTTCGGTTCTCCGTTTGTCATTATATTTCGCCCCAAAAACTTATAAAAAAAAATATTTTCCTAACATGTTATATATTTCTATGTAGGGAATTAGATTGTCTACAAAATGTATATAATGAATTTCCCATAAAAAAATCCGTAGAAAAAAAATGCAGAGGCCGCTTTTGAAATTTCAAAAAAAAAATCATTTTTTTTATTTTTTTCACTTTACCGATAAAATACACTGTCTAAATCATTATGATATTACTATTTCTAGATTCTCCTGTTCTTTCCGAACAAAATGAATATGAGGTTGGCTAGGTTTACTTGTACGGTTGAATTTTTACGAATTTTCAAAAAATGGTCTGCAAAATCGCCAAAATGGGTTGGCCATTCCCCACTTCTAACATTGGCCACTGCTACTGTAGGGTTAACAACAGACAGACAATTTCAACAAAGACCAAGGACTTGATTTAAGTTACACTTGAATGTAAATTTTAAACTAAATAATCTAGGCCTAATTATTGGTTTCCATCAAAAATATATATATTTAGTCATAAAACAACCTTGGATAACTTTTGCATAACCAGGCCTTGGATATTCGGGAGTGTACTATAGACAGCAAGCCCAATCACACTTGCTACACAATATTTGGAAGTACTTTAGTATTATTAAATAAACTGCAACATACACAATCACTAACACAAGAAAACTACAGTAAAACTATGACTGCTATTGTCATACTCACATTGTAATTTCAACCAAACTTAGAATCACAGGATTGTTGCACACTTTATTACAGTCAAAATAGCAATCTTACCTTTTTCTTGGTTTTGGTAAGTACAGAATCAATTGTTTCATCCCCATTGACAGTATTTAGATCAATCCGCACATAAGGGTCACTGAAAAATACCACATTGTAAGTTTGTAAGAATTCAGCAGGTAAAGTTGAGTAGGCCTATGCAACAAAAGTACAGGTGAATTATAGAAACAAATTTTAGAAAGTGGTCCAGTCGACTTTTGTTCCTATGATCAATGGTGGTATGTCTGCTTTCTGTAGTAGATTTAAATGTTAAATAATTCCTTACAGAGTCCTACCCTGCTGCAAAAAACAGGTAAAGCAGCTAGTCTTTGATATACAGTGTGTAAATTAAGTATTGAAACAAATCTGTATTTTTAAAACCGAAATAGATAGAAATATTCTGTTTGTGGTAATAGTTGTAAACAAAGGTCCCGCAATTTTTTACATCAAAAATATTTTTTAACCCCCCTTACAGGGTAGGGGGTAGAGGGTGACTTATTTTTTTAAAATAGCAACCCCTATTGAGTGACCCTCATTTTAAAGGGTTTGTCAAAAGAAACACAATGACGCAATTCCGAGGTGAATATCTCACTCAATAGGGGTTGCTATTTGAAAAAATTAGTTACCCCCTACCCACTACCCTGTTAGGGGGGTAAAAAAATATTTTTGATGTAAAAAATTGCGGAACCTTTGTTTACAATTATTGCAAGAAACAGAATATCTCTATCTGTTTCGGTTTTAAAAATACAGATTTGTTTCAATACTTAATTTACACACTGTATAATGAAAATATTCAATGTGCAAACAGGTGAATGAATAATAAATGAATGTCTATTGTTTAGTGATATTCAAAGAACCTTTAGCTAGGCCATTCTCGTTTTATTTCCCTCACCAAACTAAGAGAACTAAATACAATTAATATAACTAAAATTAAAAACTTAGCATTCCCCATTATTTTCAGATTATTTAATCTCTTAACTAACCATAAAATATACATGTTTAATGCACTACGGTGCACGACCTTTTCATTAGCCTAATATTTATAAGCAATGTTCGATGATGACTACAGCCTACAACAAAGAGAATTAATTCAACTTGCAGCCATATTAATGTTTATTTTCAATAAGGATGAAAGAATGACATTATAAGTGAGAGGTCGTCTTTGTTGTTGCCAGTACTGTACAACCTTGGGACTAAGTTATTTAGCACCCAAAGCACGTGACCTTGAATTCTGTAAACTTTCAATGGTAAAACTAAAGTAACTTTGTAAACGTCGGTGACATTAAACAGTTATCAATATTATTATAGGTCTACTATTTTGCACACCTAACTCAAACAACATTTCAATTTAACAATAGATACCGGTAGCCAATGAGATTGTTTTGGGTGTTTATTGTATATGTATGTACAATCGGCTACGGCTGAGACATATAAAATATTAAGACTTAATTTCTGAAAAACTAAAACCCCAAACTGAAATAATTGATTCAACATCCCCTTCCTTTCAAAATTATCTTTCTTTTAACACAAAATCATAAAAATCCGTCAAAAGTGGTTGAGTATAATCAAGAAATTAAAAAAACCTTCTCACCTTCCCAGACAGCACACTTTATCCTAGGGACATCCCATAGTAGTCCCATATGTCCTGAGAATGTCTCGGGATATGTACGCTAGCCTCAGGATATCCCGCAAAATCCCAGGACGAGTACGAAATACACAGGATATCCTACAATATACCGTAATGTCCCGGGAGTTGTAAGTTAACCTCAGGATATCCTGTAAAGTCCCGGGATATGTACGAATGCCATAGGATATCCCAATATGTCCCATGACATCCCGGGACATGTACAAAATCCACTGGATATCCTGTAATGTCCCATAATGTCCCGGTAACAAACTGAAGAAAAAAAAACTACTACCACTGATGAAATGTATATCTAAATTTAAATGTTCAACAAGGCCAATATAAAATATTTTGTTTTATTCACTACCCAGACAGCACACTTTATCCCAGGGACATCCCATAGTAGTCCCATATGTCCTGAGAATGTCTCGGGATATGTGCGCTATCCTAAGGATATCCCGCAAAATCCCGGGACAAGTACGAAATCCACAGGATATCCTACAATATACCGTAATGTCCCGGGATTTGTAAGTTAACCTCAGGATATCCTGTAAAGTCCCGGGATATGTACGAATGCCATAGGATATCCCAGAATGTCCCATGACATCCCGGGACATGTACAAAATCCACTGGATATCCTGTAATGTCCCGTAATGTCCCGGTAACAAACTGAAGAAAAAAAAATACTATCACTGATGAAATGTACAGTATATCTAAATTTAAATGTTCAACAAGGCCAATATATAATAATTTGTTTTTTTTCACTAGTGCTTTCAGAAACTTGGTTTCCATCTTCAGGCTGTGTTTACACTAGTACAAAGAGTAAATATTTACTTAATAAATTAATTTTAAACAAAGTTAAAACAGATGATTTAAAGGATATTGGAAAAATAAAAAATAATATTAGAAAAATTAATCTTTTGAATTTTGGATATGTTACAGTGTTGTTCTTGATGTAATTATTTTCAGTAATTCCGAATTTATAATTGGGCCGTCTTCATTATTTAACAAATAATTTTGGTCTGTTTTTTCTCTAAAAATAAGATTCCCACGCATTAAAATGTTGAGGTTTTATAATTTATTTTAAAAGTTTAAGGTTTCCCAGATTGAAAATATGTCTTGTTAATACTATGGCTAGCAAGGGTTGACTTTACTTTACTGACATATTACTACCACTGAGTTCAGGAAAACTAGAGTTCTATCATAGTTGTGTGAAATGTGAATTTAATTCTAGCTTTAAATTAATAAAACAACAAAAAACTAATTTTAATCATATAACAATCAATTATTACAGTGCTAATCTAATGGTGATTAAATAATCTATATTCAAATACCAGTATCCTCTCCAACTACCAGAAAAACAATTCAACTACTTGAGGTCTAAACAGATTAACAGAATCATATATAGCCTATACTGTAGTATCAAACATATTTTAAGTATTGCGACCATTGCAACTGTCGGCTACTCTTTAACCACTTGAAAACACCCATAATCAACAAGCGCAGATAGCTCAGGAGGTAAGGTAAGAGGCTCACAAGGCGAAGGTACCAGGTTCAAAACCCGTCAGGGCCAAAAACTTTTTTCTCGTTTTTTTCTTCAAAATTTGTGTTTATTAACTGTTTAATCAATTTACTAAACTTATAATTAAGCTTTTCATACTAAATGTATATTATTTTGTGTTTTTTATGTTCAGGCCCAGACCACACTTTATCCCAGGGACATCCCATGGTAGTCCCATATGTCCTGAGAATGTCCTGAGGACTACCCTGGGATGACCTCGGATGTCCCACGGATATGCGTGTGAGCTTATCCGTAGGACATCCCCGGGCGGGGACATTAGGCATTCCTGTGGATATCCTGTGATATCCCAAGTTGACCATAGGACCACTATGGGATATCTTGCATATCCTGTCGCAATATCCGTGGGATGTCCTGAGGAGAAAGTGTGCTGTCTGGGTTTTATTATATTTAAGATTATTTACTTACAAGAGGTGAAAATGAGCCTCTTTGGTTAGTTGGTTATTTAAAATCTCTAGAGAAAAATATTAGGTAACAAAAACTATAGGCCTATGTATTAAACAATAGTAGCCTAGTAGTTGTAAGAAAACATTGTTTTATACGCTTATTTTGGTTTTCAAAGCTACTCATTGCACAAATGATAAACAAAAACACCTTCGCCGCAGCAAACCTGCCTTCTGAGCGAATTTCCATTTGCCTGAAATGATTGTAAATTAATCTATTTAAATAACATTTGGTTAAACGAGTAACTAGGTTTACTGCTACAAGGAAAGTAATAAAGTGTATTTTTAAGTAAAATAATTATAGCTTAGTAAAAAATCAATAAATTTGCCAAGTTTGATCAAAATATACCCATAAACAAGTAAACTACAACTTTTTACAATATTCTTCATAAGAATAACATGGCAATTTTATATTTACAATTTTTTGAGTTTTCTCCGTAACCAATTACAGTACAAAAACAAATTGATATACCGTACTGAATAATTTGTTTTTTAAGCTCTTTAAGAAGGTCTAGAGAGAAATTGGGAAATTTTATGTTTTGAGGGTGAGAAAAACAAATTTTTACCCCATAACCCCCCCCCCCCCCCCACCACCTAATAAAACCCTGTTTCCATGGTCCGATCATGCTGGTTCGCAAACTCATTCAAGTTTATCCCGCCTTACACCTTCAATCTAAATTTCATCAAAATCCGACAAAAATTCCTCAAGTTATCGTGTTTACGGACACACACATATATGTATGAATGAATGAATGGTGTTTTTGGCCTCTGGGGACATCAAAATGAAAAAGTAAATCGGTCCCGGGCCTAGGTCTTACTGTACCACCTACTTCCCTATAGGGAAATTCGCTAAAACACATCAGTAGTCAGAGAGTATTGACATAATGGATATAGTAGCGAGTGAATGTTAACAACTTGTACCTACCTTGCACCAAAAATATCTTTTTTCGCTAACTGATGACCACTGATAACTCGCAACCTCAAACGGCTTGTGTCTTCCACAGGCTGTAACAAAAGAAAAACTTATTAGTCTACCGTTCATTTTTCGAGAAAATTAATTTACACTTCGCTTTAATACAGGGTGCAGCAAAAAAACTATTTATTTTCCGCACCGCACTGATCTGCGACAGGTCGTCTGAGAGCGGTGGGAGTAGGCTCGTTGGAAAGCCTACACAATGCCATTATCTGTGATCATAGAGCAGTGGTCATGAGAAACAAGCATTTGTTATCAAGTCTTTTAAAAAAGGTAATGATTCAGTAATTGCAACTCAGGTTTCCAGGCATTCTTTAAATTTGCGTTGAGATGTTTCGTCGCGATTATCAGTCATCTGAACAAACTAAAATTAAACAGAATAATACAAATTAATCTGTAGGGATAAGAATTAAGATCCTCTCACACGAGTAAATTTGTACAGCTGGATTAATCCTTCCCATTGATTTTACTATAAAACTCAAGTTTACAAAGCTAGGGGTAAGTTATAAAATTATGTTTAAAGTTTGTTAAGTAAATCGTGCATTTATCACAAATCCATCTTGATTATATTGCGAAATCGCGGCACTAACCTGATCATCTCCAACGATCTCTGTCACTTCGTAATCATCTCTCTTGGTCATAGTAACATCATGAACATCTTCATGTCGTGACGTTAACGACGCGTCGTCAAGATTGGTCAAAAAACTAATGGGCTTGGTTGGTCTTTTACTCGTTATGGCAATATTGTAAAATAAAGGTCCCGAAAAAAACATTTTCATGTTTTGAAGACATTGCCCTTAGTGTTATTCACACCTAAACAGTCCCAATAAAGTGTTCAAATCCACACCATTAGCAATTACTTGAAATTCCTAGGTTTTTTTTAGCTAAGAGACACATTATTTACATTGAACTGTGAATATTATTAAAATATTTCAATTTATAGCCATACCCGCTCGGTACTATTCTATTGGTCCTCACTAAACAGTTCTGGTCCCGAAATGAAATAAAAATACCCCCGCCGACTAAGCAAATTTCCATTTGTCTGAATTTATTTTCAATTAAATCTATTTAAAAAACATTAAGTTAGGTGTAATGAGTAACTTACCTAGGTTTGCTGCTACAAAGTAAATAAAGTGTATTTTTTAGTAAAATATTTAAAACTTTTTATAACTAATTTAACTATTGACTAATTTTACAATATTCTCCATAAGAATGACATAAGAATTTTAAATTTACAATTTTTGGAATTTTCTCCATTACCGTACTAATAACCGTATAAAACACTTTGATAATACTAAATTATTTGTTTTTTAAGCTCTTTAAAAGGGTCTAGAGAGAAATTTTGTATTTTGAGGGTCAAAAATGAGAAAAACCAATTTCTACCCCGTAAAACCCTGCCTTACACCTTTAAACCAAATTTCATCAAAATCGGACAAAAATTACTCAAGTTATCGCGTTTACGGACGTATATATATATAAACATTTGACCGAATGGTGTTTTTGGCCTATGGGGACATCAAAATGAAAAAGTAAATTGGTCCTGGGCCTAGGTCTTACCGTGCCACCCACAGTAATTGCTACTTCCCTATAGGTAAATTCGCTAAAAGTAACTAACTGGTAAAAAACATTTCTAATGATTGGTCTCTTCCTCGACCCAACAAAATTGTTTCTGCGACCCACCAGTGGGTCAGGTAAAAACTCCTTCCCCTGTTGTAGAAGATTCTTCTAAAAAGACCCTATTGCTATGGCTTATATGTTAATGTTCTTTCAATTGGTAGCCTAAATACAATCAATATTAGGCCTATATCCCGTGAAAATTACCGATACGATGTATCAAACAAAAATTATAACTTAGGTTCTCTGCAGAACCTTAACTTATTGTAGAGGTTGGTATATATATGTTCACAAAATTTAGGCGGTTTAAGTATAAGAAATTTCATCCCCACTACTTCACCCTAACTTTGAAACAAGAGCTGAGAGCTGATTTATAAACTAAACTAAAAGAAGTGGTTGGGGAACCCAGGAAACCTTCCCCTTAAACCGCCTAAATTTTAAGGACGGACAAATGTTAAAAAAAAGAGAAGCATTATGGACAGATTTTAACACATTTACAATTAAATAGGCCTATACGTATACGCTTGGAACTACGAGTACATGATTTGAAGGTTAAGCAGCATAGGCCTTAACTTAAAATAGGCATGGAGTTAAAATAACATCTAGGGCTTATTAAAAACCAGGCTGGAGTAATGAAATTCAGTAAAAGTGACATGTGACAAATAATCTAGAAAAAAATTAGACAATGTTTATATTACTATAAATTTAAAATAAAGAATATGACTAGTTATCTAGGCTGAAAATGTCATCACAAATTTTTATGTGGAAAGCGAACAGGGACCTCTTGTCGGAAATTTTTGATTTTGAGTTATAGGCTAAATTTGAATATAGCCTTATTAAATATATATAGGCTTATTAAATTCCGAATCACTTGGTGGAAGCAAGTCCCAGCATCTAGGACTTTTTGGTTAAATTTATAGTAGGCTATCGTACTTTGAAATTTTGTTATGGAAAAGGGTCATTTTGAGAAAAACTATTTTGAAAATTTCAAATACGCATAGCAAAAGTTGCTTTTCTTTAATTAAGAAACGATTTTGGTATCAAAAGAAAGCTTATAATCTCCTCTTTGGAGGCAATACCAATTTTTGTCTTAACTCACAGTACGTTAGTTTTAATTGAAATTATAATTGTTTTATTGTAGCATGTCGTAAAAATCGCATTTCAGAAAAGGGACCTCTTGTCGGCCCTATGTTATTTCTCCATAAGATAAGAAAAGGTACCTCTTGTCGGGACCGCAAAATTTGTTAGATATTTTGTTCTCAGTGAACTGAACTTTGTTGTAGTACGGTAGACTCTCTCTTATCCGGACTCCTCGGGACCAAGACCAGTACGGATAACGGGTTATCCGGTTAAACCGACGTCCTAAAAACTCGTTAAAACGGACCGTTTAAATGAATACTGTATACAGTATTTGACTTAAATTTAGGAGAGCATTATATTTAGACACATGTTCACTGGTCTCAAATCTTTTCCACAAGAACAGTCGTTTCAGTACCTCCCACTTCCTGCCAATCTAGTCGGGTTAATCAACAAAATGATTTATTTCTACCTTTTACATTTTCAATTATATATTTTAACCGATAAACTTACTGTCCTGCTCTGTTTTAAATGGGGTATAACAATCGATAAAAACCTGAATATCGATATTTTCAACCTTAATTACTGGTAGGCCTACTTATATTGGTCGTACTGAAAACTTTGCATCGCCGACAAGAGGTCCCTTTTCGCTTTCCACATAACAATTATTAAGTAGGCCTTTAAGTTAACCTTGACTGAAACTTTTGAGTAAGTTTGGAGTGACATGGTAAGAGCCATAAGAATATTAGTTATGGATAGGATTCTTTAAACTGAAAAATAAAGCATTCCTAGGAATGATACATCTTCAATTCACTTTAAAATAAGTCGAACTCTTAAATAACGTTTGGTAACAGAAATTTTACTATCCTACCTTAGGTCTAGTGCCTAGTTCATTGTAATTCAGGTGCAAGATATTAAATTATGAGGCGGCAGATAGGCTATTAAACGTGCATGTTGAAAATTACAATAAATAATTGTACTATTCTATTTTTCGAATTGGAATGCAAAGAACGATGATCTCCTAGCATGGTGTAATTTTACTGCAGTACTTAATCCAATCATTCTAAATGCTTTACTTACTTGCCCGTTTAACCCGATGCTAGGGTTATATCCATATTCTGAGTCCCTTGCAAGAACTTCTCTCCTATCTAAGGCCGACATTCTCTTAATTTAACACTTAATCATAGTAAAATATTGAAAAAGTAATTTTTAATAATTTTAATTTCACTTAAGTACCAGATCAAAACATTCACATAACATAACACATCTTACTTTACTTGTCGCACTGACTGGTGGTGACTGTAGTTTTAGAAAACAGCTGTTTTGAATTGACGTATGAAAGACTTGGACAGTACTTTAGGAAAAGGTAAATAGAAACTCGCCTATAATAAAGTAAGAATGCATGCATAATAGATTATAAACTACTCAAAGTGTTACTGTATACTACCATTACTACATGAACCGAAACAAATTGTTCAAAATGCAGTGATGATTACTTGCATTGATAAAACTCCCTTAAAAGATTTCTCATGCTCAAGGATCAGCTAAAGACAACATGAGATACCCTTTTTTCTCCTTTTTATAGGGAAGTAGCTATTACCGTAGGTGGTGCGGTAAAATGTTTTATCTATGATAAGACCTAGGCTCAGGACCGATATATATAATTTTTTGTAAACTTGTTTACTTATGAGGGCTACCAAGTAATAAATAAATAATATATAAAATAACATGAGTACCCTTTTTTTCTCCTTTTTAGCGAATTTCCCTATAGTGAAATAGCTATTACCGTAGGTGGCACGGTAAGACCTGGAGCCGGGACCAATATACTTTTTCATTTGATGTCCCTATAGAGGCCAAAAACAATATTCGTTAAAACTGTTATATTATGTCCGTGGACCAAGGCCATCACCAATGAGTTAACTCCCGTGAACGCGATAACTTGAATAATTTTTCTCCGATATGAAAATTGGTTTGAAGGTGTAAGGCAGGATAAACTTGAGTTGACGAGGAGTGTTGAGTTCGCGAACCAGCATTATCGGAACATGGGATCAGGGAGGGGGGGGGTTATGGTGGAAAAATGGGTTTTCTCATATTTGAGCCTCAAAACACAAATATGAAAATACAAAAAGTATAATTGATTTCATACTAAGCTATAATTATTTTACTTAAAAGCACAATTTATTACTTTCCTTCTAGCAGCAAACCTAGGTAGGTAGGTACTCGTTAAAACTATAATGATTTAAATAGATACATTTTAAATAATTTCAGGCAAATGGAAATTCGCTTAGACGGCAGGTTTATACAATTTGTTTCTTGTCATTTCAGTCATTTAAAAACGTCGTTTAACCAAATAAAAGGATCTAATCAATAACTCTTCCTTTCATGTACACTAGTGATCGGTGTCACCAAAATGAACTAGACACAAAAACGACCTTCAGCTTAAAAATTTACAATGGAATCGGAATGAGAAGTCTTGTGTTGGTTAGTCTATGATACTCTTGTTGTGGTGGAATAGTTTTGCTCCAAAATAATAATAAAATAATATATTATAATATAGTACCTATATTAATAATATTAATTATCAATAAAATTATTCTTCATTTCAAATATCTTCACATGCTCAATTAATTTTAATATTAAAAATGTGTTAAAAACTAATATTAAATTGTTATCTAAGGGTTTTGATTTTTTAAGTTAATAATGTTTTACTACATCTTCATGAAAATACAAAAATATATACCATGTACAGTAAATCAACATGATTTGTTAATAAAGGTTACGGGTAAACTGGTATTAATGTGCACCTGATATTTGGTTTAAATTGGTGTGAAGTTTATTTCTTTGATCTAAATTGCTTAATTCATGCGGTCCTAGATTAAAATTCTTAAGTTCACTTTGCCCAATGCGTTGACCGAAAACCGTTTATCTTATTTTATTATCAAAGATGTTGATAAAAACTATTATTTTCACTTTCTTCCCTTATAAATATTATGAAGAAAGTTTTTTTTTCACCATGATTTTCTAGTTGTTTTCAAAGTAATTTCTGTGTGTATGGATGTGTACAGGATTTTGATGAAATTGTGTATGCTTGTACTAATCCATGGTATCTCAAGAAATTGTTTTCATTTTTTTGAAATTATTATTTTTTTATTACACCCCTTAAAACAACGGGAAAAATAATCTGAACATAAAAAGCCGGAATGATTTTGATAATGATTTAGTATGCTATAGCCCTTTCAATGCCAGAAAATGGTTCAACCCCTTTTGCTGTATGCCGCTCACCACAACCAACATTTTGAAGGCTGCTATAGCCTTAAAGCCCTTCACAAAGTAAACCCACATCAAAACCCTAAATGCAACCAACAAAGTTCCCATATGGTTTAAATTTAAGATGGTAAAAAAATGATTCAACTCTGAACTGAATTTTAATTTTCTTTTAGGCTGACTTTATTTTTCTTTGATCTGTAGTCCTACCATTGACTATTGGATACTTTAATAGTCAAAGTCTGTATGCAATCTATTATGTTCTCAAAATTTAACTATTTGTAAACTGTTCATATTTATTTGTTTTGTTCATTTAAGCGAATTTCCCATATAGGGAATAAGCTATTACCGTAGTACTCACGGTAAGACCTGGACCTGGGACCGATTTACTTTTCGTTTTGAGGTCCCTAGAGGCCAAAAACACCATCCGTTCAAATTCATATATACATATATGTGTCCATTAGCGCGATAACTCGAGCAAAAATGATCCGATTTTGATGAAATTTGGTGTAAACCTATATTTATTCAAACGAGTTCAAGAACCAGCATGATCTGGCTATGGGAACAGGGGTTTATGGGGGGTTTTATGGGGTAAAAATAGGTTTTTCCAATTTTTGACCCTAAAAACCCAAAATTTCACAATTTCTTTCCAAATCATTTTGTAGAGCTTAAAAAAACGAATAATTTAGTATATTGAAGCGTTATTGTGCGCCTAATAGTTATGGAGAAAATTCAAAAAAATTGTAAATTTAAAATTCCCATGTTTTTCTTATGGAGAATAAGTCAACTGTTAGTTTGCTTTTTTATGAACATGTTTAGGTCAAATTTGGAAAATGCATTCATTTCTTACTAAACTATTAACATTTTACAACAAAAAACACACATACATAGATTTATACAAATATATATGTGTGTATCCGTGAACACGATAACTTGAGTAATTTTTGATGAAATTTGGTTTGTAAGGTGGGATAAACTTGAATGTCATTTATGTATTAACAGATAACAATGGAGTGGTAATACATTTTACTAAAATATGGCATTCAAAATAAGGAAAGAAAAAAAAGAAAACCCAGCCTCCACCGTCCCCACAGCTGGCCAAGTTCTCTCTCTTCACTTTTCAAAACTCATAAACTAATACAACTCTGTAATGAATTGAATTGTCGTACATTTGTGAAAAATCCTGAAAAATGCTACTATAGTCGGGGTTACGGCTGACTAGATCATTGAAAAGTTCCCTCAAATCCATCAATCATTGGGGATTTCCATGACTTTCCATGACCTTTTGCCTATTTCCATGACTTTCAATGACTAGAATTTTGTTCCATGACTATCCCTGACTTTCCAGCATGTGGACACCCTGTTAAAATATACACTTATGTGTTACGTTATTATGTCATTAGACTGATCCAATAAGTGTACAAATCTGGACTCACCGGTCTGTTAAGAACTGCAGGGACACACACAGACACCCTAAGAGGTCTTTCGGGTGTCGGAGGTTCCGGGGGAGCAGTCAGTTGGGACACTTGAGGACTCGTCCCCGTAGAGTTCCGCCTCGAAGGTAAAAGTCTGGTCATTCGCCATGGCTGCGGCCGGTTATTACGTTGGTTGGAAAACGACAAAAGCGGCCCGAGATCCGACTCCCTTCTAAAACCACTGGCAAGAGGTTCTTCAGGTACTTCCGACTCTTGACGAGACAAATTATGTTCCACCATCGCAGCACTTAGCGAACCAAAACATCAGGCAAGAACTTTTGGAACATGGTTAATTTTATGCGATTGCTTCGATAAACAACACTGCACTGAGATCCTCTTAAGATTATCTCGAGTGTTATCAGTATGTAATCCCATGAGTATATTATATATTGTCAACCTATCTCGCTGATAAGGCCACTCAAGTTGACCTTGTTTGGGCACAAATGAGGAAATAGTTTTGATAGGTTTGCATAGTGATAGAATCAAAATCATTGTTGGTCAAGTCCAACCATGTATTTTTCCAAGGGGAAATCATTAGGCTATTGGTTCATGTTTAATAATATTTTCTTGAATGTGTTTTTTAATTATATAATATTTCATTATAGTTTAGATTCTGATGCAATACCTGCCATTTACTTTAAATTTGACATGTAAAAGGTTTATACTTTATTACTTTCTTTGGTCACCTACTACTTTTCAATCAATGTATACCAATATAATCACCAGGGAATTTGAATGATTAGTTGAATCAATAGAACAATTCTTTTACAACCTCTGTTCCACACAGAGTTCCTAAATCAACAAAATAATTGTAGGTATAGGAAAAAATCTTTTCGCTACACTACTGTGAAATGACCTGTTTTCGTTACATGTTTATCACCTGTGAAAATCTATCATTTAATTGTTTACTATAGCAAAAGATGTGTACTATGCGAAAGTAGTTTACTATCTTTTTTTGGATTTTGCCGACGTAAACAAACAAATATTTGTTATTGTTTCATCAACTGTTTCAATTTTCAACAACCAAATTAAATATATAATTTATAAATAAAAAACTTTTTTAAAACAAAACGTTTTTAAATGCACTAAAAAGTAGAAAATAATTATAAATATGTGGAGAGTATAAATACTTGTAAGATTTAAAACGAAAAACGTGGGGTGCATGCAATAGATAATTTACAATTACCTTCACCTATTGAACTAATGTATTATTATCAATTGCATGCACCCCACGTTTTTAGTTTTAAATCTTACAAGTATTTATACTCTCCACATATTTATAATTATTTTCTACTTTTTAGTGCATTTAAAAACGTTTTGTTTCAAAAAAGTTTTTTATTTATAAATTATTTTCTACTTTTTAGTTTTTAATGTGTGTGGGTGTTAAATCTATTTCATGCATCTATATCAGATTAGGACAGAGGCATTTGGGAAATCTAAGGTTTATTTGAGTTTCTTTTCATAAATAACAAATGACATTACAAACACCTTTATATCTGCAATCAGATTGTTTATCTTTATTTTGAAATGTTTGTTTGTGTAAAGAATCTCTTGGGAGCATAACCTGTACCTCTTAACCTCTGCTTTTTGAACTGTCAAATTTAAGTATTTACAGCTGACTTTATTTAATTGATATATTTACATTCTTTCAAAATGTAAACATGAAAAATTTGGAAGCCAGTGGGGCGTAGCCCAAGGGAAATATGAAAATTAAATGCTATAATATTGCATTGTCATCTACTTGTGAGCTATGTTTCAAATTTCAAGTCTCTAGATCATCGGGAACTTCGTTTAAAATTGTAATCAAAATTTGTAGGAAAGTGAGCTAATAAAAACAAGCCCATGGGGCGTAGCCTAAGGGAAATATGGAAATTAAATGATATAATATTGCATTGTTATCCATTTGTGTAAGCTATGTTTTAAGTTTCAAGTCTCTAGCTCATCGGGAAGTATCAAAATTTTCAAGAAAGCGAGTTAATAAAAACAAGCCCGTGGGGCGTAGCCTAAGGGAAATATGAAAACTAAATGATATAATATTGCATTGTCTTCCATTTGTGAGCTATGTTATAAGTTTCAAGTCTCTAGCTCATCGGGAAGTTAGTATAAAATTGATTGCAAAATTTGTACCGGACAAGAAAGCGAGCTAATAAAAACGTTTTAATTAACTTTAAATGAAAGGCATAACCTAAAAATTCTATGAGTTTTGTGATGAAAAAAATAATTATTCTTTGTAGTGTAGCAAAAAGTAACGTTCAAAACACGAGTGAAAGTGGGTCTATACATATTCTCGAGCATTTGGTCTCAAATATGTCACTCACTTTCTACTCTTTGTTATGAAATATACTATTCTAAAGTCTTATCAAAACCAATATTTTCAAAATCAATATCTGAAAAGTGTTAGGGGATCAGGGCAGTATGCTCCTCTTAGTTAATGATTATTAGATGTAAAACCGGCACTGAAAATGTGATAAAATAAAACACAAGTTCTTTAATTTCATTTATTGTATCGTGTTAAGTAAAAAACATTGATAATAAAAATGATTTCACATTACAAATACAGACAACAAATACAATCAATGAAATGTTCAGGAGATTGTGTAAAAAGTCTGAAACACCTATAAACTCTAAAAGATCGACACAACTACTATTATATACAAAATATTTTAGTGTCTTTTAATCTAACCACAACAATTGTGTTATCATCGCAACAAAGATAAGAAAATTAATCACTGTAATCGCTTTCAAATAACAAACGATAAACTGTAACGAGACAACGGAAAACAAAACAAACCGCTCGTACGACGAACGCTATATGAAACAAGAAAATATGGCACATGCACGAGGTAACTTTACTGTGCATGTCTAAACTCCTAAGTACCGACCATAGAAACATCTATATATATTTTAAATATACCGTAACAATAATTCTTATAGAGCTTATTTACACCTATTTAGAGTCACTATCGAAACAATTATCCGAATAAATAATTGAAGATCTTTAGCTTAAGAGTCGACGTACGCTTTCTCTATTTGTGCGTTAGTTACTGACCGAATCGATGGCAAAATATTTACTATAGTGGTAGTAATAAGCGTTTTAAGTATCCTATAGGAAATATATCGAGTGATGCAAGCTTCAAACCCACCACATGCTTTGGCACTATCGTACTTACTTAGCAACAAGTTATATGTAAATATCACTAAACTTTACACTTGACACACAAAGTGTGCTTTAACTAGGTGATCTGAGGAAGAACTTTGGCTTCAATGAAAAAAAAAAGAAACACACATTGAAATATTCTCAGTGAAATAACCATGAAAAGTTTTGATTTGCAGTTAATGAGCATATTTCATAGTAGGTTATGCAAAAGTTTAAAGTTCCATTTTATTGTTTTTTTACAACAATTGTGTTAAGAAATTTTGTTTTGAAAATACTAATGGACAATATAATCAGTGACCATATAGTGAGAAACCATTCCACGAAGGCTAACAATAACACCACAAAGATCAATAAAACCATTTAAAAATGTAAATATTTTTTAAAAGCGATCAAAGCGAGTCATTAGCGAGAAATATGTTGACCAAGACAGGATCTTACAAGACACAATTTTTAATTTTATAGTTGAAATATTTTCAAAAATTGGGAAAATCTACCTCAGATCACGTTAAGAGTCTACACAGAAACCTGTTTTAAACATACATTGTTATTTTACTTAAGAATTTAATGTTGAACATTCTATTTAAACTATATAATTGCTTAACAGATCAAAATCAAATAAAACAATAACTTTAAAATATCCTCATTAGATTTCAAATTTCAGAATGTTTTTACATTTAAACAATCCTAACGATTCACCAAGGTCATCCAGAAAGTAAAGAAAGTTTCATTTAGTGTTTTTGACGCAACAGCTTACTTATTGGAAAGTATTTTTACCGATTGTGTCTGAGTTTTCGCAACCCAAATTTGAAATTTCAACTCACAAATATGCTATCTGCATAATGTTTTTACTTTCTCCACCTATATATAGGCCCTAGTACATGGAGAAAGTATTTTTTTCATATACATTTCTGAGCTTTGGGTGGACATATCCGTTTTGGGCCCATGAACCCAAAAAGTGGTTTTCGAAGTAATGTCTTTGTTCAGGGCGACAGACTACTCCTGTGGTCTGATTATGATGAAATTTCGTATGTTGTTACTAATCCATAGTACTGTATCTCTAGGCGTTTTTAAATATTTGGAAATTTTTATTTTAATATTCATTTTCCCATAAAACCCCAAAAATAACAGAAAATCTGATTTTAAAAAATGGTTTGAAGGATTTTGAACGAAATTGAATATTTTATTTTATATTTTAACATGTTTAATGGTTATACACCCCCCACCTGTAAAAATTTAGGTTCAAAAACTATTTAAAGTTTAGTGATTTTACAAATAAAATATCATAGTTACTCCCACCACCCATTATAAAGAGTTGTTGACAAGCCCATGAGTGAAAAGTATGTGTCAGTTTACTGATACTGGTTATTTGCTTTTGGGAGAAACAAAGCATTGAACCGGTGATATTGTTTCAGTCATATAGACGAGGAAGGAGAGACAGTTTAAGAGTAGACCTAAATACATTTCAAGGTTATGTCTTTAAAAGACTTAAGTCATTTCCATTAGAACACCCAAAAGTAATGCATTAGTAAAATCTATACTTTCACCATTTGGTGATTACACCTAAATAAAGTATTTTACGCCACACTACATTATTTTGACGAACTTCCCACGCAAGGAATTAGTCCAGAAAACAGCTGTTTGCCGCCAGCTTATTCAAATGGGGTTTCATTGCGTACTACTGTGCTGCAATGAGTTTTGCCGGACACCAATCAGCTGATTATACTGTATTTAGGTGGCAGTGAGTAGTTATAAACAAAAACATAACCTCTCTTAGAGGTTATGACTAGTGATTTTTAGTCCTTTAGTTGGTGGAAATAAGGATTTGTACGGATTTAGTAGTATGGCGTAAACTATCATACATAACTCGTCCAAAATGTGTGTACCGGACTCGTATGGTAATCCCGTACTCGACTTCGTCTCGCACGGGAACGACCACACTCGTCCGGTAAACACTTATTTTCAGGACTAGTAACGTAATATACTATTTATGACCGTATCAACTATTTAAAATTAATAAATAAAAACATCAATTTCTGAACGAAGCAGCAAATTAATTAAATCAAAGAACATTTCAACATCAACATACTGCCCCAGGATGACTTTAATGAATCATTCTTCACTTTCTGTTTGACCTTACAAACCAAACCTTACATTGCAGAAACTTAGGACAAGTATCAACAACTGAAGATATAACAGTGCTATGACATCAATAAATTAATCTCCAAGAAAAATACCAATTATAACATCAAAATGCAGTATTAACTTACATGAAAGAGCCCACATGAAGATTAAATAAAGGCATTTTACTCTAGCGGCTCAAAGGTTTTTGGTGTTTTCCTTGTTTAGTGGAATATAATTCAAATCTCTGACACTTTCACTTACCCTTCAAAAAGAGGAATCATTTCTTAGAACATTAAAAAAACTCTCTTTGGAAAGACTAAGAAAACAATGCTTAGATCTTACTCCAGTTAACGATCTAAGGTTAAACACACAACTAATACAATAAAAAAGATCCATAGATAACAAATTTAAAGAAGAGATAAATTCATGTCGAGACTAAAAATCTAGAACTATCCTCATAACTCTTTAATTCACTACTTGACAATATTGTTACAAATCAAAATACAAAAACCACTTTACAACCTATTTGACAAGTATTTGAAGAAAAATTGCAGTTAGTAATATACTGTAGGAAGAATCGTGCATTTTGTAACCGTTAAAGTTGAACTCTTGGAATGTGACATGAAGGGGCAAGAACAAAACTTGTATCAATATTTACAATTACCCTATGTACAAACTATTTACAAACATATTACTAGAAGATATTGCACGATTTTGGTAAACGTTCCTTATACTAAAGACTGTTACTATTTCTGTTTAAATTGACTGGATGCAGAGTGTATACAATTGGCCTATCATGTTCAATGCCCAACAAACTTCTGTGATGCTTTCAGATTACAATTGACAGACTCACAATCTATATCAAAACCGCTTACAAACAAATGGGAATAGAACCACATTATTTTAAGGGTGTTCCAATGTTAAAAAACTCTAATGTAGCATCAAAATTTTTCGCAATCCCTAATTCATGCTAAACTCCAAAAACTACTAATGGGTTTTTAAAAGGCTAAAAATGCTAATTTTGGCTGTTTATGTTTAAAAACAATTGTTAAGAGTAAAATAGCTATCCAAATTTAAGGTGCCAAAAGGAGATAACTTATTCATGAGACCTTATAACTTTTTTGATAAGAATAAAAAGTAAAACTAGACATTTTAAAATAAAAATTACAAAAATGTTATAGATTTCGGTGAAAAACCTTAAATTTGAATTTTTTTTAGCATATCGTGGATGTAAGCTAATATAAGGGAGTCACAAACTGTAAGGCTCAAAGTAAAAATGGCTCAATCATTTTAACAGCAGGTCAATGAGCAGCAGATTAACACTTTGGTTCTTATTAAGTCAACTTTAAAATTCGTAGCCTGCACCTTCTTATTTAAGTAACAATAAGAAAAAAATTGTCATATTTGTGTATGGCACTAACATAAAAACTTTTTTGGTTTTAAGTAACAGTTATAAAATCTGTAAAGTAAAAATACATCATAAAACTATATCCTTAGTAACAGAACTAATATTTGTACATTTCTGATATGCTCTATACTAAATATATTTATATTCTGATGGTAACAATAATTTGGAAAATGAAGTTAAGGAGTAAGAGCTTAATGAAACTGAAAATGAATAGAATAAAAAAGATATTTGAATTAACAAGATAGAATATAATCTAACAAAATTCATTTTATTTTACATTGGGGCATGATTCCAAACTAAAATAGTAAAAACACAATAGGGTAAAAATTACAACTTATTCATTTCATATAAACAGGTATGGTAGTAGTAAGAATTGTTAAAAAAAACCATCTAATTTATTCATCAGAAAATAAAATAAAGAAATAAAATAAAACAAAAACAAATATGTAAAAAAATCTTTTTCTTAAGCAGGGCCAGATTTCTAAATAGGCTTAAAAGGCTACATCCAAGAGCGGTACAATTTAAGGGGTGGCACTTTGGCAATTTACTAAAAATTTAAAATATACATTTTGATTATTTTAATAACAGAAACTTCATTAGACGTATCTTTGATATGTAGCGTATTAATCTACGGGAATGGAAATATGTTAATTCTATTATTATTTTCTTTTCATAGCATAATACAAATTTACTCCACACACATAATGTTGTAGCACATTTTTCATAACGTGTGATTCGATCAGACAAAACTGTAAGCCGAGTCAGTGTATAACATATATATACCGGTAGCCTGTATAACATATATATTTAATCAACAAATAAACCCAGTAATGAACTATTTTTTGCGTTTTTTTTTAGTTTTACACCTTAGCACAATTTAATTTGAATAACTGTATCCATCATTCATTGTATAAAACGAATGTATAATAACATATGAATCTATTAATTGTGAGACTAAATTAGGGGAGGGGGGCAGTTGAATTTAGCCTACAGGCGGCATACTCCTAAATCTGGCCCTGTTCTTAAGACATATGAAACAACATAACTTTAGTAGGACTAAATATTTATATTGTGATAAACATAACTACTCATTCTGAAAGCAAGCGATATGTTTGAAGTAACAAATAGAGGCAAATTAATCCACAAGTCGTGACAGTTAATTATTTGTATCCCCAATTCAACAAAAATAATTATAGATTGAAAACACACTCAAATTGGCAAATCTAAGCATTTTGATTAAAACTGACAGTCTCATAAAATTTCACATTTATATCTTTATAAACTATTGGTGACCTACAAATAATGAAAATGCTATAAAATAGTTTAAATTTAAGTATATTTAACCTTTTGAAACTTGTTTTTAAACCAAACCCTTTTGTAAAATTTAATTTAATTTTAGGTAACATTTAAAACTAAATAAACTGGATTGGTGTGGTTGATAGATAATTCGAAAGCCATCTCTACAAATTGAAAGACAATAGTTCAATTCCAAGAACAGTTCAAAATTCTTCATCTTACAAAGTAATCATTCAATTGAGTGGGCAGACAAAATAACTAAAAAAAATTACAATTTACAAAAAAATAAGTTGCTCAAATAGAATGTTTAGAGTGCTTGGTAAGTAATGTAATTTGTTATATTAAAAAAATGTATCCTTAAAAAAAAATTATTATATTTGGAAAAAAATATTCTAGACATAAATATTTTTTGTAAAGGGTTGCCTTTCAAATAGCTCAATGGAAGTACAATGTCGGATTACAGGATAATAAATTGAGCAAAATGGTACTTTGTCTACTGCTAAAATAAGATAAATAAAAATAAGGAAAACAAAAATTAAATCCTTCAAAAACTAAATATTTGAGCAAAGACAACTAACACAGAAGAACGTAAAATCCTGTATGTTAGTGGCATCAAAATAACTAAAAACCTTTCCTAGACCTAACAAAAAGTTTTTTACTAAAACAAAATAAAACTTGAAATGTTAAACAAAATCTGGATAACACTGTAAATTATTAGAATGTCGACCATTTTCAAATCTTACAAAATTATGATTAAATTGTTTAGCAAATGTCAAAATTGAATCGCGTTAACAATGAGATCTTTAAAAATTGTATCCTACCAATTCCAAATTTGATTATGGCACTGATATTTTAATCCAAACAGCTTTTCCGCAACCCTAATACACTTTTAGAAACAGTGATTTTGGATAGTGAGAAATCTAAAAGAAAGTTAGTTTCTCTTTGTAGTATGTTATTAAATGAACACTTTAGATAGAAAACTGAGTCAGGATGCTTACGAAACTACGCTAGATACACTCTTATGCTTAAGATGACTAAAGTCCGAGGAAGAGTGTCTCACTGGAACCTGTCTTGCCTGAAGTGCTCTTCAGCGTTGGGGTCGGTGATGATTTCCGTTGGATCAGTCAACATTTGAAGTGCGTCAAAGTCTATGATTCCCAAACCTAAAATGTGGCGATAACAAACATGTAAATGGTCTGAACATGAAATTGTAATGTCTGCGCTTTTATAATTTTTCTTGGCTAAAAATTACTCTTTAATCTAACATTTACAAAATTTAACCAATGCATGAAACTAAAAAAGTCTCAAATAATCAACTCTTTAATGGTTATTGTAACAAAAAACAGCTCAGATGCACATGAGTCACCAACAGAACAAACAAATAAGATGATAATCTTTCCATCAAATAAAAAACGTCTTTTATGGTGATAAAATACTGAGAGACCCATATATCAACCATGCTTAACTGATACTTTTTACCAACGAGGTGTGGCTAGAAAATAACGGGACTGGTTTTCCATGAGATAAACCTTGTGAGCCTCAAGGTCAAACGCCATATTGCTGAGTCGCCTGATATTCCCTATCCAAATTCCAGCACGTTGGAGCTTGGCTTGCTCAGCCTTCGTTTCTATTGGACCTTGTATATGCCACTCGTTAGAAAAATGGTAGGCATCAATTGAGCAACGTGATAGCGTGAAATTTTTAGTGAAGCTGAAATCTTTAACGGAGATTTATTCTCTCTTACAACAAGTGTGCAGGGAGATTGTATGTCACGTACACACGTTTTTGAATGGTATAAGCTCCTCGAAGGCAGATGAAAACATCGAGAAAATAGGCAAAGTAATCCGTCAAGATCATCGATTGAGTATCTGCAGTCTGCACAGTTGCCGAGACAATAATCGGCAATAAAATCGAATGGTAAGGTGTAGGGATAGCGGAGGGGAGTATATTGAAGGTGATAAGATCAAAGTTGTAAGGGACAAAAAATAGATAGAGTTACACTAATTGTTTTTTTCTAGTCACACTTCGTATTCTGTCATATTGCCTAGAAATAAGTAAACGCTACAAAATATGCTAATAAAATGCAAGCTTCTGAAACGTATTACCTGAGAATATAGTCAACACAATTTATTGAGCTCCTCATAGCAGCAAATTAATTATTTTGACAATTTAATTGGACTTGAAATAGTAAAATTCTTTTTATTAAGGACTTTTAAAAATTTTTGAAAAGCACCTGAAAATGTATTTATAGGTTTTACAGCGGGGTGTTTACCTTCACGGAAAGCTTCGTCAGTGTCAAAGGCGCCTGCCATTGCAACTCCTAACTCCTTAGTGAACTCGTCATTTCGGTTTGCCAACTCTTCTGCTGTACTGGAGAAATCTGAAAATCAACCGTCAGTTGTGAAGCACATACCATCTTGCTGTGAAGCCATAGATAAACTTATTTCAAAACAACAAAGCTGTTCTTCAACGTTGACGAACTGTAACAAATATAGTTTGCCATGTCTTGTCAGGGCATTAAGGCACGTTTTCCTAGCTGTGGGTTATACGCCGCACCATGCATTTTTAGACCGCACCACAGACAAAGACGGACAAGTGGTTTCCTAGACTTGGCGGAGTGCAGACTCAAGTTTCTCTCGCAGTTTCCACTTGCACATCAGTCAACAACACGAACTCCTCGCTATCCTGTTGCGGACTGCGACAAAGACTCCTCTAGAATGATTAAGCGCATTCTGAACCTCGCTGGGAAATTCCTAGGTAATCAAACACTCTGACGTAGCACAGTGTATTGTGTGCTCTGTGGACTCTACAGGTTCAACACCGCATCCCGCTGCAGCATATACCCCGAGCTAGGAAAACGCGCCATTACGCAAAATATACGGATTAAAAAACATTTATTTAATCTAACGAGGAAAAATGTTTCAAACAAAATCATCCATAATTGCCATAAAACTTAGCTTAAGCATGAGTCAAATACAATTACAAATAAATATGAGACATACATGGAAAAACAAAAAAGAAACCTCTAACTAAAAACCTTCTTAAAAATTCATGGACACTATAAAACGCTCTCCCCAGTAAATAATTCTTAAGTCCCCTTCCAAAACGTAAAAGCGTAGCTGGGACATTTCACAGTCAGGCAACCCAAGGTAGAGCTTGATAGCAGAGTGGCAAATGTAAAAAAAGTTCTGTACATTGGAACAGGAATATTCAGTCTTTGACTTTCTTAACACGTTCGCTGTGGCCCATCAATGGCAAGCGTATCCCCGGTGTGGCACAGCGTCGAACAAACCCGTTTGCCGGGCGATTTTCTTTAAAATTTTGGTCTGACAAAAAGCAAATAACGTATGGTGATGTACTGTGTTACAAAGAGAGTCAACGTGGTTCGCTAAAACACCCACAGATAGCATCACTGCTTGGAATGTAGCCGGTCCCATTGTATTGCCAATTGGAGGGAGAGAGACAGGACAAGTTGATTTCTGAGCTTGCCAGACGGGGGGATTTTATGGGGAAATTTACTACCAACCTACACCACAACAAAAAGCATGTCGTACACTAAATGCTAACAAGGTATAGGTTCGCCTTCGACCGACGCTAGGCACGCACTGAGCAAAAGATTGATGAACTGCAGTGTGGGTTTGTGGTCAGTACTGAACCGGCCGCGTAAGGGTTGCGATCGCCGAGTGTCAGTACTGACCCTCCCGCAGCGAACGTTTTAATAAGAAATTCATTTATCCTTAAGCATGCAATAGACATGGTAAAATATTATGGTAACATAGGATTACACAGTAACCCAGTCAGACTAGATTAATAACAATACACATTTCAACCTTCAGCACGACGAGAGCAATATGGTCTAGCTAGAGATAGGTAGACCCCAAAGTCTGTGGTTCCCACCAATCACCAAAGGATAAGTAAAAACATAATGCTGCTAGGTGGGACTGACCTGTCAGTACAATGTCAGGTATGCTAGAGGGAGTGTTGGGTGTTGTCTGTGCGCTGTGTCTAGTGGAGTACTGCAGCTGCTGTGACGGAGACGTGCTGAAGTAGCCAGGATCTTGGGTCAACTCTTGTGGGCAAGGATCATCAGTCTGTACACACAAAAACTGACACTGTAGAAAACTACATGAATTCTGTCAACTGAAAATAAACCTGAATATATGAATTTCTTTGTTAACCCCTATATTAGGGATGGAAGATTCAAAAATCAGTATTATATCCAAAGTCACAAAGAATTCAAAAAATGAGAATTGACAATTCCTCCTTACCACTGGTATCAAATCAAATTTGCTTTTGATTTGAGCTTATAAGGTCGAGTTGTTTACATTGAATGGTGTCAGATATAACTGGTCTACATTAAAATAATATTTACACACATTATTAATGAGAGCTGTGTTGATTATCGATACCGATTTAAGATACCACTGATTCTTGGACATTGGTATAGGTATCGATTATAAAAAGTGGATGTTGATATCAATACCTGACTTGTATGCGATGATACCTACACAGCTGTGGGAAATGTTCATGACTTTGCCGCAAAGCCCAAGACGACGATGACGTCCCCATGACTGCGGGAGATGATGCTGTCTACTAGATCACATAGATGTTCATGATTTTTCCGCTATTGGGGAAGACGGGGATGTCTGTGGGATATGTTCAACATTGTGCCGTCATCATGTAACAATAATGTCTACAAGACCGCTTGAGATGTTCATGATTTTGCTGCGGTCACTGAAGACAATGACGATGTTTCCATGACCGATGAAAATATTCAGGAATTCTATGATCACCTAAGACAATGATGTTTCTATGACCGATGGAGATAAGCAGGATTGTGCCGTGACTTTGGGAGTTGATGTTGTTCGTGTGACTGCAAAAATGTTAAATATTGCACCATTGCAGGAGATAATGATCACGGGAGATGCTTAAAACTTCACATCGGTAGTGATACACAATGAAACAAAAACTAAACCACCACAATACTAGTATTCCGTCCTAATTCATAAAATTTCAACAAATTTCACAATTTCTATCAAAAACTTAAAAGCTAGGTACATCATGAAACAAAAATAAACGTATTTAACATATTAAATCCATCCAAAAGTCAATAAAAATCTTCAAAAGGAGAGATTTAAAATATTATTTTGTAAAAATTAAAAACTATAAAAAAGTTTAAACAAATTAATTAATTAAGTAAAAATAGATTACCTGAGAATAAGGTGAAGTGTTGTTTGTTGAGCCTATGTAATCCAAGGAGCCTTGGCTGTCCCTCTGTGGAACAAACAAAAGTTTCAATTAAAACCGAAAATTTGTTTATTATAAAGACACATTTTTAAGGGTTAGTATAAAAGTGGTTGGGGAAAAAAGGATCTAAACTAACTTTCGTGGTCAGAAAATGTCATGCAAAATACTAAACTATGTAAAACTAGTTAAGGTGGGTTTTCCTAGGCCCGGAAGCGGAGAGCGGAACATGGAGAGTGGAAGAGAGATTAACATGGTGTTCCGCTCCGCTTCTAGGAAAACAGTAACATTAAATTTCCTAAGACAAGTGGAGTCCGCTCTCCGCGTTCCTCTCTTCACTCTCCACTTCCGCGCCTAGGAAAACCTGGCTTTAAAGCCTAAACTAGATTACCAAGATAAACTCAAAGACCTAAAAAAAGTGTTGACATTTTCACTGCAACTTGGACAATGAATAATGTTTTCCAGCAATAGATATGTCAAGTGGTTTGAGGCTTAAGGTAGGAACAATGTTTCAAAAGATAGACTTGAGTATTATCGCTGTAAACTTCTCTAAAATTTTTTTAACAAAACAAAGGTTAGAAGTGAAAATTGGCACTGACAGTTTAAACTATAAAGTAAGCAATGTTCTAAATTTATTTATATTTATTCTCTCGCACAATATTAGTCAAATAGGCCTACAGCTAAAATGACTCTTGTGTATCTATATTTTTTTACCAGGCAAAGATATTTATTTAACACTTTTTTTTTCTCAGCTCGTGTGCATCGCAGGGAAAATCTACGCATACTGTTACAAAGATATTTGCCTGTAGATGTGCAGAACACCTTTATAATCTAAAATAGACTCAAAAAAGAGCACAAAAAATTAATTTAAAATGTAATAAAAATTAACATGGGCCTTATAGGTTGCCTTGCTGGTGACAAAATATAAACAGAAAATCAAAACAAATTAAAGAAATTGCAATCACATGTTTTCTTTACAGTGTGGGGGTGAAAATAGAGAAGTCTGTACATTAAATATTTTTGGTCGAGTTTTCATCCACTAGACAACCTCTAGTTTTGATTATTTCCCTATTAGAAAGATCGTGAAAGTTTAACAAACAAAAGTACAGGTGCAACATGCTGTAAAACATTTTACGCAACTGGGGCTAAAAGTCAAATGATTCATTGCACATTAAATGCAAATTAATTACAGCCATAGATTGTCCTTGACATACATACACCCATTTTCTAGACTGTACAAACAAATTTTATCACAAATTATGAAATCATCAAGATGAACACACATGTTTAAATTAGACTGATAATTTTTGTACATGTACCATTGTGTAAAATATCAAATCATCATTGAGGCATCAAGCTTAACTATCAAACAAACAGCTGATTTAATGAGCTGAGAAATATCAGGGTTTTACCATCAGAGAGTAGATTGGGAAGGCATGCAGTATTTACAATGGTATATCAAAAAAGTTTGAAAACGAATCCTAAATCTTAGATAATCTTAAACTGTTTAGAAACAATTGGAAGGTACAGAAATAAAAGAAACAACTATTTTTTTTTAAATTTAGTAGGCTATGAAGAGAATTTAGGACCTTTACAAAAACATTTTTTAAACATAGGTACTAGTTGGAAATAGAACCAACGTTACTTCAGTTTGGCTTAATTTCCAGACCTTATTCCACAGTTAATTCACAGCCTTATCTGCATTAAAAATAAATTTTTAAAAGGATTTGGGAAATTAGGTCTGGTACACGTGGAATCGTGAGAGATTCTGGAATCAGCATTAAATAAAAGTTACGGAGTACCCAGAAAGTTTTTAACTGTGTTAGTGATGGTCGAATCCAGGAATTTTGAATCTCAAATCCGAATCCCAAAATAATCGAATATCCGAATCTTCAAATCTCGAGTCCCAAAAATATAATATAATTATACAATTAACTCGTCACAGCTCTGAAGTTTCCGTATATTACGGCTGTTTTGGCATAGAAATGCCATCCACCGAAAAATAATTACAAATGGGCTTATGTTGATTAAAAAAGCAAGAATGGAATAGGAACCATTTAACACTTATAACCACCACCACGACAATAACCTCTATGGTTAGTCAATGTCACAGTACTGTATATTACAACGTCAATAACCTCTATGGTTAGGCAATGTCACAGTACTATATATTACAGCATCAATAACCTCTATGGTTAATCAATGTCCCAGTACTGTATATTACAACGTCAATAACCTCTATGGTTAGGCAATGTCACAGTATATGCCATATAGCTTTATTATAATAAAAAAAAGGATTCGGTGGATTTGAGATTCGGATTTGACACATCCATAAACTGTGTAAATAGGACTCATCCCCATTTTTAAGAATTAATCCTAAAATTCAGAACTCAATCAGTTTTCAGGGTCGACAAAATTCATGGAACATTCACAGTTTTCAGCATTCACGGTTGAGTGGGTACAGTGTCTATCCTTACATCCTACTGTTTTACATGTGAAACTACCGACAGGAAAATATTTGGAACAGACAAAATATTAGAAAATATATATTAGAAGACAACAGAAGAAATTACAAACAAAATTCACAGCACAAACATGCGATCCATGCGAGACAAAATCCAAGTCATGCGTAATGTGTGAACGTCAAACTGAAAAGAGAGAAAGAAGAAAGTCGAATGATGTTCTGGTACCTGAAGATGAGCCGTCCACGATGGACTGGCTTCCACTAACGTATGGACGAGTTGACACCAATCCTTAGCAGCACGCACACAACAGCACACGAGATTAGTGAAACAAGGCCGGCCAACAAACACACATCCCTATATCTACGTCCTGTGCAACATGGGATGACGGCTTAAACGCCCTTTACAGTCGTGGTTTAATTTTGTAGTCTCAATTTAATTATTTAAAAATTTATAAGTTGATAGTTAAGACTTTTATTATAGATTATATAGATGATCAAGAACTAACAGTTATAATGCTTTATCTTTGTGGTATGAATAAACCCCATCGTGCATTAAGACAATCTTCCTCAACCCCAACACAGTTCAACTACATCTATTTATAATTAAAAACTGGCGACATAACATGGGATTATATGTCTAGTCCTATCAATAGAGCTACTACCCAAAACCTAAGGGGAGAGAGCTGGTCCAGTGGTGGAACACGGGACCTCCGGGTTCAAATCCTGCCAATCATCAATAGATTTTTATCCAGGGGATAATACTGTAACCTCTAGATCCAGCCTGAAGTAATGTGAAAAACAATCCCGAGCTAGCGCCTAGCTAAACCTTGATCGCTTGAAAACGTCCAGCAGACGACACCTCAGATGTTGGGTCACGGACAATTAAGTTCTAAGCCTAATTTTAATAAACAAACACCACCTTAAAATGAACATCAGAAATCACACAGTACAGTTGGCCAGCCCCGTTTCACCAGATGTTTAGCACAAAGACACACAAGTAGCACACAAAATAGCACACAAGATAGCACAGACAGCAAGCCTAAAAATACCTTTATTGATATTGAATTGACTAAATCCTAATACTGTACTAGGCCTTCTTTTGACAATACCTTAGATGTATCAATTGTCACTTTGCCTGAATTATTTAAATTAGTGAAAAAGGATTTGTAGGGAAACCTTAGTGACTAATAATATAACATAGGACACAAGCTTTTAAGGATTTTTTAAAGATGCTAGGTGTACTTTAATGGGAAAGAGTCAACCCTGATACCTACTGCAACCTTTCTTGGTTGACAATTTTGTTAGTGAAAATGACATATTCTAATTATTGTGAAAGATTTTACATAATTGTGTTTATCGCTAAGGGAATCCTATCCCATTCAGGTAAGCCTACAATCCTAACAAACTTTCTTATAACTTACTTATCTGTCTTTTAATACAGGTCTAAGAATTTTGAGACACCCTTCAATGAATTTATTACGTTGAAATTAACTCAAAAATGCAATACTTTCAAAAGGGTTACAGGAAAGCTACAGAGATCAATGTTTTAATCAACCGGAAACCACCCCTGAAATTTTATATCTAATTTTTCAAACTGATTTGTGACACTTCCCTAACACTGATTTAGTGTCAAGATCATTGTTGAGGTGTAAAAGTTCCCTTAGATTTTGTATGTTTATCTTGTATATCAATATGTTAATGTATTTAAATATTACTTGTGTGACACATTTCTGTGAAGATGTCAACAAAATAAATTTGAGATGAATCAGTGTTAGCAAATTTAAAATTAAATAATAATGCTCCAAAAATAGTAATCTAGTCAGTATATTGATGACAAAAAATCTACATCTTTTATAGTTATTTGATATGTTGGATGAAAATGATAATGAAACTGTGTATAAGAGAGACGTATACAATCTTATACTATGCAAACTTAAGTAGTTTCTAAGCCAAAATGTAAATTATTGATGTCAGATAAAAATTATGTAGGCCTGCAGATAAAGTAACTATAAATTTTACCACCTAGGATTACTATTTTCTGCAGCTAATTACACGGAACATTAATAAACAAGCCTAAAGTCTTGTACTCACCACGCCCTAAGAGCAGACATAAAAAATATTTGAAACCAGTTTATCTTCTAAGAAATAGAAAAAAATTATTATTAATCTATTCCTAAGAGGTCGCATGCGTAGGTATTACTTGATATTAAAACTAAGTTTGGAAGTGTAATAAACAAGTTATCTCTATAAATTTTGTCTAAAGCTAACTAGTATATTCTATTTAGGAAAAACTAAAGAATACAGATTATCCATACATGAAATTATTTCAAATGATAATTCTAGGGATGACTTTTAAACCCTCTATTTAAAAATAAGGTTGATTTTTTTTAGGAAAAAGCCCTTGGCTTAGCAACACACATTGTGTTGTAAACGTTGTTGTGTGCTTGAAATGACCTGGAATTCTTTTCTTGAGTAGGATAGATGTGTATCCATTCCTTCTTCTTTAATGATGTACTATTTGAAAATAAGTATTACAATAATCGCCAAAGTCGAGATATTAACTCACCATGCTGAATTGCTCAAAGTTATGTTGCAACATGTTGGCCTGATCTTGGGTGATGTAGTAGCTATTGTGCTCAGGGAAACTGATAGGTCCGGTGCTCGATGGACTAGACGGCGACGGACTTTGCGGACTGCTACTCAACGGACTGGCACTGCCGTACTGAAACATAAATAACTCGTCAGCCAAAGGCATTCCACTATTGTGAGCTGCAAGTTGACAATACCTATAGGAGATAAATCTGAATGAAACATGAGAAGAAACACCCGAGTAACTGACAGTACAAACTAGTCTTCCGAGTCCAACCCAGTCACTAACAAAAACTTATTATTAAAAGTCTGTAGATCCCCGATATTTTCGGGTTGGGTCAGGCCAATAGTTAGCTCCAGGAGTCCCTTCGGGCAGAGAATAATTTTGGGCCAAACTAGAGATTGTTTCAGGTCGAGCTTGAGATCGTAGAATGTCTCTACTAAGATGTGGGGTAAAAAAATGTACGATTCATCTGTGCTTGTGGATGATGTTGACAGATTTACTGCAATCGTGGGAGACGATAAGTCAGCTGTGGCTACAAGAGCTGTTTTTGATTTTGCTCTAACTGTAGAAGAAGTTCCAAGATTTTACCATGACTGTAGAACATTTTTCTTGGTTTTGACGTGAACGTATAAAATGTTCAGAATTTTGCCCTGACCGCAGAAGATATAAGATTTTGTCGTGACTGCAGAAAATGACTTGACTGTAATTTGGCGAGAGATCCTTTACACTATTGTATGAACCATTTGTACCTATTAATATTTTTCAAACTACTAATTTTGGCCCTAACTGATTTTAGTTTCAGACCCAAGGGATGAAATACTACTTGGTCTCAACCTTAAGTAAAAAAGTTTGGGCCATAGACACTTACTTATTAGTGGTGATCTTCAGAGCAATTACTTGATCATGAATCAGGTGCTACTACTGAAATATTTGCAACGAAGCCAAAATGTCACCTTAGTAATAAGTTGATGGTTGAATAAGGGCGGACCTAGTCCCAGCGGACGTCTGCCACAGGGCTTTTTGCACTCCCCACTTGTTACTGCAGCATCTTATCTTTTAGCTTCTTCTGAGGAAGGTGTCAGTCCCTTGTCATGGTAAAGTGGTCCTTTACCTCAATCAGAGCTTTGCAGTAGTAGAGGAGATGGAGTAGATGGGCTCGGACTACTCACATTTCCTATCTGTAGTGACTCAGGAAACCATGGCCTTTGGTCATTCCTGTGATCCGTCACAATCGCCTTCTGTCTAATCGTAGCATTGGAGGCGTCTGTTTGGGAAGGGAGAAGAGAGTGAGCTTGCTTACCCTGTGATGCTGAAGCCTATCCCATCTTTGTCTCTGCTCCTCCTAAGCCCATGACATGACTGACTGACATGTATACGAGAGATTCCACAGAAAAGCTATGGTCCCACAAAGTCTGAGGCTGACGCCACGTTTACCAATTTGTCAGCTACCTCGTTTCCTTATATCACTGAGTATCCAGACCTAACAGATCGCCATTATGTTGCACCTCCCCAGGGCGGATACTGTTGTGAGGCAGTCCCAGACCACCTTGGACTTGAGTTGAGTGTCTTAAGTGCAGCCTGGATGTCTGAGAAATAGAAATGTTCAAGTCTTTGAATCCCTGCCTAAGGTTCTCCCTAGCACACTCCATGGTTGCTATTATCTTAGCCTGGAACTCAGTTGGATGTGTTCCCATGGAAGACTTAAGTGAATCCCCATTCAGCAGTCTGTGAATTCCATCCCCTGTAACACCTCTTACCTTGGAACCAGAGGTATACTATTCCAGGCTGCCTTGTGGAAGAGGATTCCCTCCAGACATCCACTCCTCTCTAGATGGACGAAGGATGGTGAATTGCTTGGCAAAGAAGAATCGTATCGACATGTGGTCTGAGGACATGTCCAGAACCTCCCCTCTTACCTTTTAGGTGATCTGGGAGTGTCTCGGGATCCTCGTGCATTCACTCAAAGGTTTTCACACTGAGGTCTGTAGGCAGCCTTCCTTTAGTGACCTCAAGCAGACCAATTGCAGTCAGGTTTAGGGTTTTTTTTTGGTCCAGTGAGGAAAGCTACTCATCACACGAGTGATGATGAGACAGGCAAGTCTTAGAATGGCAACCAGATCTCTTATCCCCAACACCGGGGCCATCACACAAGTGATCTGTGTGTCATTGCAGGCCTTACCACAGAAACAAACAGCCACTGTATGAGCCCTCAGGTCCCTCCCACCATTCGCATGCACGCCATCAATTACCCCTTACACCAGTCAATGACGTTTTGGAGTTGTGGTCCCGATAGAAACTGTAGGTCCAGGAACTTCACCTGACATTGTAGTGCAAGCTCTGAGCCTTGCAGTCTCAAAGGTCCTATGTGTTTCAGGGGTTAATTGAAAGGCCTACCTCTGCTCACCACCGACCAACTGCTAATGAGTAATGAGTTTCTGTCTGTGAAAATTTGTACTCAGGAGACCTAGTTTGTAGTGTAATTGAAAAACAAGTTTTAAATGAACAAATGTTAAACAAATCCTAACAGAATGTCCCTACAGAAAAGTCATTGGAGTTATAGGCTAGTGATAGTGGAATACAGGTATTCGTATTAATTAATTCCCTGAAACTCACAACAAACACCGTAGCTCCAAGGTAGCACCCTGACTTATAATAAAGCGTTTACTTTAGTTTAATAGGATTGAAACTCAATCATAAAACCAGATCTTTTAACTCCAAACCCTGATGTAACCTTACCGGTACATAATGACTTAATAACTAAAACTATAACAAGTACATCAATGTATCATGTTTTTTCATCAGCTTTGTATATAAAGCATATATTGAATAAAACGGGAGTCAATTTCATACAATAAAATGTAAATTTTCTCGTAAAATTTTTTTTCCAATCAATACTGGAGGTGTTTAGAGCAAAGAGTAAGACAATTGTTCAAATTGGCAAAATAAATCATAGACATAAAACAAGTAAATAAGTTTATATTAAGGAATTTAAAAAAATTCAATTGTCACTGTCACTAAGAAAATGAACATGTTTTTATTAGTAGGCCCTATCGATAACTTAAAGAAAGTTGTAATTTAATAATAATAATGTTATAACAACTTTAAGGGCCCTTGTATGTGTGTTTACATATCATAGCGTTTAATGATATCTTCACGTGTGTAAAGACTTGCTATTTTTCAGGCATGTTGTTCTCATATTATCAAAAAAACAGCAATTCAAGACAATTTGACAGGAAAAAATATTCTAACATTTGGAATGTTTTACACCCATTAAAGTGATGCTAGGTTTTTATTGTTTTAAGGGACAATATTGGGCATTTACTACCACAAATGTATTTGTTCAATCTTGCTTAAGCCACCATTTTGTGCACAACTGCCCATTGTACTAAGTCTTTTGTTTCTTGTTTGGAATACAGTACAGTTTTGTGTATGGTTTTTGTGATTTTCCAGCATTGGTTGGGCTTTGTGTGACTAATCTTTTTAAGATTCAAGCACTTCCTTAACTGAGAACAAAATAATATTTCAGATCCTAAAATGTTTTGAATTTTTTCCTAATTGTGATGGAAAATTTCGGTTATATTAATCCAAATAACAGTTTATATTAACACTTTTTTCAATAATGCTAAAGTCAAAGCATAAAAGTGCCCTTAACAAACCAATATTACCTTTACAGTAAGACCAGGCGAATTCTGTGGGCTAGGCCTATTGACTGGATGGGGTGATCTATATGAGTTAAGTGAATTGACATAATCCTAAAACAAAAAACACAACTTGATGGGCGATGACCAAGAGCAAATAATAACCATGCAATGGTTAGCGAAAAACTTATTATAATTTAAATAATACAACAAACTAAATTTGAGAACTATGATGGAATATAAATGTGAAACTACGTCTAAAACTAAAGTTCTGCAAAGACAATGTTAATCGTTATATAGGTTTAATTAACAACACAAAATGTAATTAAATTTGTTCTTATAAAATATGTTTTGTAATTTAAAACCAAACAGTTATTCTGCAGTAATAAACTGATTTTACCACAACAATGCATTGTGGCATTGTGTGAATAGATATAAATACATTTTAAATTTTATTCTTTCATAGGTAAGTAGGTCTTACCAAAATGAATTCATCAAGAACTTGGCAGATTTTGTTTGTGTTTTAAAATAAAATATGTTATCAGTTCAGAAGTCACTTAAAAATTAATTAATTTATATCTATAAAATAAGTCCTACAAGAAATATTTAGAATTAATATGATTTACCCTCTTCTGGTATAAATATCAGATGTTAAATGCTGAGCTGAATCATTTCAAGATTCTGGACTTCAATTGAGAAAGATTTTCATAATAGATGTTTCAAAATTTGAAATATTTATCTGATAAATTGATTTTTTTTTTTAAGTAGTAATAAAGCACAACTTAGCACCCTGAAATAATTATTATATTTTGTAGAAGTGACATGTTTCGGACATGAGTCCATTTTTAGACTTCAATTATTAACAGTGATTTATCACTTAATCTTGTTTACATAGTTTGTTTTGTGTAAATTTAATTTACATTATGCAGATAATTTATAAAACCAGACAGGATTTGGACAATTTGTTGGTTACTGATTTTAAAAAAATTGGTTGAAAATTGGGTTTCTTGAAGGAATTTGGCTGTTTAAAATATTATTTGGGTTTTTTAGGTTTTCTTCATACATGAAATATTCTTCAGTTTAATCCATTTGGTTTATTTTGCTTACAGCAATTCCTTTCCAATTTAACGACAATTTCTTCATTCCCACAATTTAATTTAACATTACAAGGGATTCAGCAAACAATATCAGGTAGAGAAAAAGACCAAAATCAGATTTAGTTCCAACTATTTGGTGGAATTCAGTAAAATTAAGCCATGATACAGTAAAAAACGAGCGCTTAACTGACCACTACAGGTACTGGAGATGAGGATTGTGCTATGGGTAGCGGACTGCACGGCTGCATGGAGTGCTGCGGTGATGGACTCCTCTGCGTAGACTGATAAACCATCTGCGGAGAAAACTGCTCCTTACCCCCTCCACCTCCACTGTTGTCCAGCGTTACACCCTGACAAACAAAGACAGATTAATTTCATATGTCAACATTTTTTGTATTTTTTTAATGTAAAAATTGCAAAACATTAAAGGACGGTGTTCCTTAGGGGTCGATGCTTGGTACACTTTCTTATAATTATACAGCTTTGTGTAAATGCTACTATTTTTCATGTATAATGTAATTATAACATGTTACATCCCATATCAGGTACACTAAAACGCTTTAGGCACAGTTCAAAGTGTGAAATATTAAAACTAAGTATGGGGTTCCACAGGAATCAATGCTTGGTCCAATTTTCTTTAAGTGTCACAGCTATAATAAAATTTTGCTTTAAATTTTTTTAATTAAAATTTTTATTTTATTTCAGGGTGCTCAGTTATTTTTAATTTACTACCTTAATATTACCAGCCCTATTTCATGAAAATCAAAAAATGAAATTTTACTATTTTTATTCTTAGGTACCGGTACTGTATGTGTGTAATTGATAACGTGAACATTTTTGTCCAATTTGGGGTGTATCTGACAGTTAAGTGCAGTTGTATTGAATCTTGGCCGGGTTTCATAAGCACGCCACAAAACAACAACTTTTCCATTGTGGAAAACTCTAAAATTCACACAAACTAATTATGATTTTTGTTGTCCAGATGGAAAGTTGTGTAAAATAGTTAAGTTTTGTCAATTAAGATTATTACTTTTTTATGTACAAAGGACAACTTTAATTATTGAAAATCAGTAAATTTGGATGTTATGAAACAACACGACAACAACTATTTAAGTAGGCAATGTTGCCATTTTTTTCTGTTACACTATTTTGTGTATTATTTGGTACGTCGGTCTATGTGTTTTTGTTAGTTGAGAATAATAATGACATAATTTGTTGTAGTGGGTAATTAAATTACTTTACAGTGTAAGTTTTAGCTTATGTCTAAACAAATAAACTTAATTTAGTTTACATAAAATATGTTCTTTGCTTGAAAGCATCACAACTAAACAGAATACAACAAAGATAACACTGAATACTTTCCCTTCAAATGTCACAACTAACAAAAGCGTTATGTAAAAATAATCCTTTACGACAACATAAATATTGTATCTAAATTCCACAAACAACAGGAAAGCCTATCTCTGTGTACCAGAAAGCAGCTTTTTAGAACTATTCAAAATCAAAGTTAATATAGAAAAACATATTTGAAAACAATTCAAATATCAACAAATCTCTTACTGACGGCACAAGACTAAAATGTTTCTAAACAATGACTATCTACTTATAACAGGAATTAAATTATAATTCCATAAGAGATTCCAACAGATGCACAAAACAATCATGGCAAATATCTACGGTTAGGCGCTACTACACTAAACACAGGGTCTACCTCACTTACCTTGTGTGGATTAGATTAAGTCCACGTGGCAGTCACAGTTTAAGTATCGAGTTTTGAGTACATTCAATGTTAATGTTGAAATAAAGTGTCACATTTTAAATAAAACTTACTAATATCACAACAACAAGCGTTTTTTAAGCAATGATAGGTACTGAAAAAAGTGTTTTTTCAGCCAAACGATATTGATATAGCTATTTACTGAATCCATTTTGTTATATTTATCTACAACTTTCTACACCAATGACATTATGATGCCGTTTATGAACAAATTTTAAATAATCCGCCATTCCCCATACACCTTCCCATATTTCAAAAATTGTTTCTATTAATTCTAAGATGATTGCCTATCAACCAACCACAATTTGTCTATTTTCCTTATTGATTGGTTATCAACAATTTATTTAATCGGTAAATCTACTAGCTATAAATTTTTTTTCATGGATTGAATCACAGTCAATTCATACTGTTGGATTTAGGAGAAAAGAAACTCGACCACTGTCCTATTTTGGTAAAACACAGCTTATAAAAACATAAAATAAAATAATTTGACAAATAGTTTTTAAATAGCTAACTCAACTAATCCAATTTTTTGCTCAACAATTATTTAATAAAGCATTCCCTACTGTCATAACTTTACCCCAAGAACCAACCACCAGTCTATCCGAGCAATGTTACAAAACCAAAATACTTAAATCGTTCAAGCGATAACTGAAATTGTAAATACTCTTGGCTGTTGTTCACTGACCTTACATTTATGTAGAAACCTAGAGTTGAGTTGAGAAGGCACTGAGAGGTGGCTCTGAAAACACACAAGCATGACTTCACAGCAACTACAAAACACACACACCTCTCCTGTTGCTTGTGTTTTTGTTTTTGTTTGTTTTGTATTCGTTACTTCCTATGCTAGTCATTTCTTTGGATACCTCTGGGAACAAATTTGTTCTCTTGCACCAGTACAAGACAACCTCTACGAACCCTCTTGGCACACGCAAATCTATGATTGTACCAAATCATACACACAGCTAGGAATCGTTGAGAGTGCTTTCATGCCACGATAGCGGGAGTTAATCACAATGGTGTCGCGATAACGCATTACAGTAATTATGATAAGACGATAAAAAATGTATAATTAGTGAGGCTCTACTGTATATTTTTTTTATGTAAAAAGAGTGTGCACATACAATAAATAACATACACCTTCTCAAGTGAAATCAACATAACAAAATAAAAAATAGAAGTTAAATTAATCAAATGAAATTTGCTTGCGATTGACTGTCTAAAACTAAGTAAAATAACTTCAATGCTTTTATTACCTACTTTTAACATAACTTTAACTTTTTAAGGAACAGGAGAGGTTCTTTTACTTACCAATTCAAAAAGAATCCCTAAAATAAACTATCTATTCCAAACTAACACTTAACCAAATAAATGCAACAAACTCTCACTATAAACTAAAACTAGGGGTAAGAAATGAATAATTTAGTGACATCTTAGTAGATTTTACCTACACAAACTATATATTTGAGAGAATTTATTTAATGTATGCTTATTAGTTGAGAAAACAATGCTTGTTTAATGATTCAGGAGACTATTTTAAAGAGGAAGGGTGGGGTAAGAGGAGTTTTTTTCGAGGAATATGCAGATATATATAAATATCTTAGGTTTAGGCCTACATTTTTCCCTAAACAAAAAACTAAGTATTTCAGACTTATTTTTTTTTTTTATTAGACTAGAAATCTTCTATTAACTACTTTTTTGTTAAGGTATTAACTATATTCAAGGTTAGTATATTTTTGAAGCATATGATTTTACTTTCATTACTCTAATTTACTCCTTGATAGGCCAAGATCGGTTATTTAAACTAAAGTAACGTACATTAAATATATGCAATTATATTTATATTTTTATGCTTTTATAAATTATATTCTTACATATATAATGCTCATAAGATTATATAAAATGATTACCTAACAACTTTGATTAATAATATTTACCATTTATATAGAAAGGGCTATAACAGTAAACATATATTTTTTTTACAAAATTGATACTTTAAGTTGATTGGCTGTGTTTTTTGATGCCACGAGTAATGAAGGAAATGAAAATATTGTTTAGATCAATTTTATACCTTACAGTTAATTTGTTTATGTATTTGTTTATGAGTAGCATGATTAATTTTTCAATAGTTTAAGGATGCTGCCAATCATGCCACATTTGGGAACAGATACTTTACATCTATCTAATAATCTTTTGCTATTTTCTAAGGGTGGACCATTTAACATGTAGACTAGAGGTCAAGATGTTGGATGCGCATTGTAGTCTGTGTAACAATTGCATGACCTGTGGTTATAATGCTTGCCTTCAAATCTATATGTCACACGTTCTGGACCCAGGTGCCATTTATAATGTAGCCAATTAGAAAGAAATATAATTTTGAATGTTACACACATGGCGCAAGGCCCTAAAACGGAAATAAAATTTATGTAATGTAAATTTATCAGAATCTAGCTAAATAGAAAAAAATAATAACTTGAAAAACAACTATTTTACTTGTAATATGGGGTTTGACAAGTTCACTTAGCAGGGGTCTGAAAAATGACTTTTTAATTTCAATTTACTAGACATGTGTTAACTGAAAAAACAAACTTGTTAACCTTATTGAATTTAAATTTATATTTTTAACTCCATAAACAAATGTGTATACATTATTATATTAAGATATAAACTTTAAGTAGCTAGACTATTCAAAATTGCCAATTGCAACTTGGAAACATTATCATTACTTCGAGACAGCAGCTCACACTTGGGGGTGTTTTAAGCTGAATATGAATGCTTGTCGAGTTTAGAATGGAGTGAAATGATCCTTTCATACTTACTAAGAGCAGCTGTTTCTTTAGTCAGAATCATAAAGGTCAAATTATTTAGGACAACTGGATTTGGGTTCAAACATCAAAATACTACAGGCTAAGATCCAATTGGCGACCTTTTGATTGTCAGGCAAGCACTGAAAGCTTTTCTTTTTTATTATACTACAAAATTCATCTTAAGATATTACGTTTCAGAATAACATACAAGTATGGAATTGGATCTCAGTATCAATAAACAAAGACAGCTGGGGCCGGTTCAGCGATCGAAAACAACAGAAAAAAATAAACTACAAAGAGACGTAAAAATGTTTTCCGACTCATCATATCCACCCTACAGACCACTCAGCTTATCCACATCAAGGTTTAGTGACGGGGGAGGGCGGTTACAGCACAAAAACAACCACAGGCGGAAAACATCAAATATCAAATTTGAGGCTTACGGCCACAGGGTGTCCCAAAAGGGGGCTGGGGGGACTGGGCGACTCCTGGTTTGGGGGAGAGGTTTGGGGGAGATTCGGAGGGGAGTTGCCCCCAAACGAAAATCGCCCTTGGGGTCGGGAAGTGGGGGAAAGCGTAGAGGGACTGGTCCCTTGAGGGCTCTGAAACAGTCATAAGACAAACGGTGCAGTTTGACCAACACAAGGCGTGGTAGATAAGCGCCAAAACCAGGTAAAACCACACACTCAACATCTAGAGTATATCAATAATATACTAGTCAAAGGTCTACATACAAGATCTGGAATCTGATCCCGTCCTTATATGACAAATTTAATTGAAACCTAACAAATCTGCCGTATCTCGCTTGAGCCACCATTTTGTCTAGTCGATTGTCTATTCTCCATTCTTTTAATAATTATACTTTTAATCCAGGATTTTCAAACTCTGGTTTTATTGATGTTCTCCAGTACAGTTCTCTCTATGTATTCATTCTTTTGTGATTTTATAGCTTTGGCTGTTGTTGTGTACCGATGTTGTTATGCTTAATGTTATGCTTTCAATGTTGTTAGGTACATTCTGGAGGAAGGAATCAGATTCTGGATCACAAAAAATCATTACTTTTTTGTTTTCATACTTATCGTTATAGAAAATGTTCACAATAATTTCTTAAATAGGCCTAACAAGAATGATTAAATATTGTAATAGCTCATTGAGTTAGTGGACATTTTTTTAAAAAGACAAAGGTAAAAGGCATCTTTACCAATAATGCACTGTATCTTTACCACGTGACACTGTTTATAAGAATTATCGACAAAAATAACTAACCATCCCAAAATTCAAGTGTTTATGTTGACTTTCAAATGCTAATAGAATAAGAAAAATTATTATTATAAGTACCGTATGAAATTATTTTACGTAGGTATGCAAATAAAAAAAAATTTAAAACTGATAAGGAGATAAAAAAAGAAATATTTTGTGTAAATATCTGATTGTTTCTTTGACCGGCTGGTTACAAACTGTCTAATTTTGATGATAAAACCTCCTATTATATACGTACACGTGTAAAGATGTCACATATAATTTTTTAGATTGAGTACTCTCGGGAGCTAATATTGTTCGACAAATACTTTGAATTTCAATGCATCATTATGCATTAGGTTTAAAAGTTGAACAACATTATGTCAATTTGTATACCTTACTTCAATAAGACTTTAACAAGAGTTTAACAAACAGTATTCATGTTGCATTTGAAAGTGCTGCTGAATTATGGTGAATTATGTACTAAAAGTAATTTTATCTTAAGCAAGCTTTTTATTGAGGAAACCCTAATCGTAATCGAACCATTGGTAGCCAACTTATTAGATAATGTGATTGCATCTAATACTGTAGCAAGAAAAAATGTAGCACTTATTTCAAAAGTTTTGTTCAATTTGTACCAAACATTTTTCACTTCTTCTACTCACATTGCTGTAGGGCGAACTGTTATGGTCCTCCTGGTCCAGAGGGGTGGGAAGGGGAGAAGAGAACTGGAAACTAGTGAGATCTGGTAGAGATCCTGTGTTGTTGCCGATGGGAATCTGAACTGTGCCCGGCTCTTGTGCCGACGGGAAAATACTGAAACATACGGTAAAGGTCATAACTAAAGAAGACCATTAGAGGGATGCAAAAGTAGGTGAAAGAGGAGAGACCAGTAGAAGAAAGTTAAGGAAGAGTAGTACTCAGGTGTAGAAGGGGGAGGATAAAGAGCAGATGAGGGGGAGTAGAAGGACAAGGAAAATAAGACTAAGTAAATGGAGGAAGCAGAAAATGAGGTATAGTTAAAGGAAGGAGAGAATAAGGATGAATGTAAGGGGAACGAGGAGGATTATTACCATTTCCAATTACATGACTCTATTCAAACGTTTTGCCTTGATTGACTGGGACCTATCCAGAAAGATGAGCAGGCCAAAACAGAATGGTTCTACTTACTTTATTCCTGGTACCCGAGGCACCTCGCAAGATCTCGGCCGACCGTCCGGACTGACGGACAAGTGTCTTCTGCTGGGCTCGTAGCCATCAGTCAGCTGACCATCCATTGCTGCCAACATAAAGTGAGTCAGTAGTGCCAACAATTAACCCCAGAAGTTTAAAAATCTAAGCGATTAAAACTTATCGGATCGTAAAGGGTTAAAAAGATCTCAACTTGAAAGTAAGTAGTCAAGTTTATAATTGAGACTTAAATGGAATGAAAATAGATCAAATTTTGTTTATTCTAACTGGCAATGAAAATAGAGAGAGAACTATATATTTGAGGAAGCTATTAGTCAAGAGTCAAAACTGATGTAGCACAAAACTTATCAATTGTTGATCAAGAGGTTCAAATCAAAGTATGGAATCAAAATATTTTCATTCTTCTAGCCTAAAAACTTCTGTACCTGCCTTAGTTGACAAATAAAATTTTTGAGGATCAAAAAAGTCTTTTAACCTGAAAATAAAAGTGTTGTAGCTACTTACTGCAAAGTTTTCATTTGTATTAATAAGGGGAACTGCCTAATAAAATATGATGAGTCAAACAAATAGCTTTAGGGGTGAATAATTCTTATTGGGTTATTTGCTGTCCCCAATAATTACTGACTTTATTTATTGGTATATATAAATCTTGAGGCGCATGTTTATAACATACAACGCTAATATTTACGCACAAAAAGTAAAATTTTAAATACTAATCCTAATTCTGTACGGCTTTTATATAAGACACATTCATTAATCACATTCACACACCTCATACATCACATTCATACATCTTCATTGTCCACCCCCTAACATGTCCTAAGAGCATGTTAGAATGTTTATGTGCTCAAGACGTCACCAATAATATAAATTTCTTATGAACTCAGGAATAAAATATTAGAAAATAAATCAAACTTAACATAGCTACAACTGTGTGAAATTATGTATCATATTGACAATAATATCAGGGCAAATACATGTAAATATGTCTGTCTATGATATTTTTAACAGATGTGACTGGTGAAAAAATATCCCTTTACTCAAAACACATGTAATTTTTTTTACAAAGAATTGAAATACTGGGGGTGGGGGGGGGACTTTTGATAGTAGTAATTCATTTAGCTAAGTTCTATTTGGCTACAACTAGTCAATATAGATGGGATGTCTACTTCAACGTTCAAAACTCACACTAAATTGGTTAAAATATTTAAAAAAATTTGTTTCCATTCTTAACATTTTTTACACACTCATTTTAGTCCTTGAATAACAATTTGTCTCTTACAACACTAACAGAGACGCAGAAACTATTTTATCACCAGGTGTCAAGGTAATGGAGGTTGTAGAAATTTTCTCTTCACGGTAAAGGTTGTGATAAGAGTTTTATCAATTGACTATTGTCTGCCGATGTTTCCATTAGATAAACATTAAAAGCTGTTTGTTTGTTGCGCTTACACACATTGAAGAGCTGTAAATTCTGTTTCTTACGAAGAAGCCCTCCAAGCTCTAGATCACTACATTCAATTATTATTATCAATTATCAATCATTGAGATGGGGACACCATTCTGATTTTGTATATGCCTTTTTACGCAGACCCTACAATATTGCTTCTAATCGTCTAGCTGGTCAGTACGCATCGCTGTTGCGTTTAGAGGGTTAATCATTTAACCAAAAACAATCTTGAACCACTTTACAATTGAAAAAAGTGAGCTTAATTGTTTAACACTCATTTAACTAATTTTTTCACTCACCTCTCCGTTGTGACTCGTTTGTCTGCGCGGCCGCACTCTGGTGTAGCGAGGAGTCACTGTAAGTGCGCCTCCAGTTGCTATCAGGTGGTGGCGGGGAGAGGTAGGGGCCGCTGGAGTAGGGGGATGTGTCATGTCGTCTCTCACCCGGCCGCGATCTGCAATATGATAAAAAGTTAGATTTACTATGGAAATGCAAGATATTTAAATAACAAAGGTATCCTATGTTCTTTAAGGAAAGTAATTTACAAATTTCGGACTAAGATGTAAAAAAGTGAAATTTAAGAAAATTCTAGGTTTTTTTGTGTTTTTTTTCCTAAGGAAAGCCCGGGATCGTTTTTTACATTACTTCAGGCTGAACCTAGGGGTTGCAGCATTATCACTTGGAGAAAATATTGGTGATTTGGTGGGATTTGAACCCCGAACCTCAGGGACCGAAGACCACGCTCTACCACTACACCAGCTTGCTTCCCCACAACTATAGGTTTATTAGGTACAAAATTCAAAATCTCTGGGTGAGAACAATTAAATACGATAAAAAATGTGTTAATTAAGGCATTCAAAGAACCTACAATAACCCACAAAAACAAAATATTCATAAAATATTTAGTTTTTTACATTAATCATAGTGTTTTTGATTATGGCTTTTGGTTCCAGTTCATCACCCTTAAGGACATTACTGATGACCAAGTCAGGGATTTAAAATTGAATTCTAAAACTTATAATTTATTTTGTATAAAGTAAATCTCATTACTTCTCATACAAACTTTAAGGCCAATGACGTTAAAGGATACAAAACAAACACATTACCTCATTGGTCCCCCGGACGTCATAGTCCGGCCCCGATCTCGATAGACAATCTGCGTGTCGCTACGACCTCCGTTCATCTCCTCCAGGTTGCTGAGAGCGGACTGGAACAGAATTGCCAATCGTGAGAAATTATAGAATAAAACATTCATATCAGTACAATTACAAATTTTGAATGATTGTGTCAATTAGTGCACACAACGGTGTAAATTAACTTGGTAGGCTAATCCTCGCAAAACACTTTAGATATGTGCTGGCAAAGGACTTTTTGATATGTGGAAATGAACCCAACTACCTTTGATCATTAGGCTTTTCATCAATAGTTCTGGGTCAAAAAATAACTGATTTACTCACTAACATGATTTGACAAGAAATAACGATGCATTCTGCAGTCACCGTTTGGTAAAAATACCTCTCAATTAGTAACAAAAACTACAAAGTTTGCTTTAATTAAACCTGCGTAAAAAAGGACTGTTTAAAGACTAGCAATTTTAATAAAATATCAATTTTGTTGCAATAGGGGTTGCTCCTAAAAAAAAAGAAAAAAAGGTTTTTGACCAATTGAGTTTTCTGACAAAATACAGAACTGTCAGAAAACAGTTCTGTACATAGAACTATTTATGCCACAGTAGTGCCTACATAGAAATTTATGCCTACATAGAAATTTTAGTTGAACTATGACTGGACAAAACTTTAATTAGAAAAAGTAGCATATGCCTACTGATCTGTTAGTAAAAAACATAATGCAGGCATTTGACTTATCACTCTCAGGTTAACTCCAAAACAAAAATAGTTGTTTTGTGAACTGAGTTTATTAGAATTTGTGCACACCAAGAAAGTCAAACATTATCATAGAAATATATTTACATTAAGTTATACCTTATATAACAGTTTACTTATTATCCATAAAAATTTTAAATTTACAATTTTAAAATTTCCTCCATATCCAATAACTGAAAAAAAAAAAAAAAAAAAAAAAAAAAAAAAAACACTTTATGTATTATTTGATTTTTAAGCTCTTCAAAATGGTTTAAAGAGAAACTAGGAAATTTTTGTTTTGAGGGGCAAAAATGAGGAAAACCAATTTTTTCCCCTTATTACCCCATTTCTAAGGTCCGATCATGCTAGTTCACAAACTCATAAAAAGTTTATCCTGTCTGACGTCTTCAAGCCAAATTCATCAAAATCAGACAAACACCACTCAAGTTATCACGTTCACGGACGTACCGGTATATAAATCTATATATTAAGAAAACTGTAGTGATTAGGGCTACTATTTTGATATATAAATGCATTATTAAAAACTAAGTACCCTTTTTTTAATTCATTTTATTTAACAACATGTTGTTAAATAAAATGAATTAAAAAAAGGGTACTTAGTTTTTAATAATGCATTTATAAATCTATATATATATAAATCTAATATATAAAATTCTCGTGTCACAGTGTTTGTCTGCAAACTCCTCCGGAACGACTTCACCGATCGTTATGAAATTTGGTGTGTAAATTCTGTAGGTATGCGAATCGGACGTAAACTATTTCCCGTTTTGAAATTCTTAAAAGGGCTCCGCCCCAGTGGCTCTGGAGTTTCCCATGTTAACCTTATGAGAAATGGAATTAATGAATCTTAACAGCTGTTTCAATTAAACAAGTTGGTTCTGTTCTATGATGTTCAATAGCATTAAAGTTACAAGGATTACCAACAGGGTGCAGCACTATTATTTCTTTTACATTTATGACAACAGCTAATTTGCAACCAAAAGGTGAGTGAGCGTAGCGAACGAACTTCAACCTGGAGGCGAGTGAGCGTAACGAACGAACTAACCTGAAGGCAAGTGAGCGCAGCGAACGAGCTAACCTGAAGGCAAGTGAGCGCAGCGAACGAGCTCCAACCTAAAGGTGAGTGAGCGTAGCGAACGAGCTCCAACCCAAAGGGGAGTGAGCGTAGCGAACGAACTTCAACCAGGACGTGATTGAGCGATGCGAACGAGATCATCTTGAAAATTAAACGTAACGGTACTTTCTTTCCATCGGTCTGTCTTAGGGGAAACCTATAACTTAGGCGATACGAAGTTCGCCGGGTCAGCTAGTATATATATATATATATATATAAATCTATGTATATATATACAAATATAACAATTTGTACAGACAGTATTTTAGCCTCTAGAGACATAAAAAAAAATTATATCGTCCCGGGTTTAGTCATACTGTGCCACCTATGGGCAAATTTGATAAAATGGAGTCAAGTTAAGAGGAAAAACTTTAAGTGGAAAATAAAAGGAAGTAAGGAAATAGAGTGTTCAATTCAGTGTCTGTAATCTAAAAAGATAAGTTATTTGACTTCCTATTCGCTGATACAGTGATAAAAATAAGAAGAAAATGATAATCTAGGTCTTTTTTTAACACACTTGCTCATGCCTCTCTATTTATAAACATGCAAATCATTTACCGTCTAATTGTGAAAAAATAATCATAGGCCTGTATAAAATATGCAGTACATAAATTAGAGATAATTATAAAATATAGGCCTAATCTATATAAAGCCAAAAGTACCCATGAACTTTTGGGAAAACTACAAGTCACACTTCCATAAACCATATACTTAAAATGTTCGTCATGACGAGAAACCTTGCACAAAACTATCCATTATTTCATAAATTGCCCTTTAAGGTCGTAATTCCTTTCTAAAGGGAACTTTCCATATACCTAATGTTAAAAATACCACAGCTGCACTTATTTTTTTGTTATTCTTTCAACTTATTACCTTATTAAAATCAGGTGTGCTTTATTACTTCCTATGAAGTCAAACGGGGTGAAGCCCCTGGGTAACAACTAGTTAATTTAAAAGTAAAAGTAGTCTTAGGGTCAACCAAAACTAATAGGGACAATAGAAACAAGACTTATGTCAAATCATGTAGAAACTATTGTTCTTTTTTTTGCTAAATATAATCCAACTAAAGTAACCCTCCATGAAGAAACAAACTGAATGTTAGTAAATTTCCCATATAGGGACTATGCTATTACCGTAGATCTCAAGGTAAGACCACAACACGGGACCAATTTGTATTTTCGTTTTGATGTCCCCAGAGGTCAAAAACAACATCCGTTCAGATTCATAACAAGTGGTATTTGACTTTTATAAGTATGGATATGTGTCCGTTGGCATGATAACTTGAGCAAAATTCATACGATTTTGATTAAATTTGGTAAAAACGTGAAAACCTACGTTCATTTGAACAAGTTTGCGAAACAGCATTTAATTGGACCATGGAAACAGGGTTTTAAACCCTCAAAACATAAAACTTCCCAATATCTGTCAAAACCATGTTAAAGAGCTTAAAAATTAATAATTGAATAAATTACAGCTGGTTATTTAGTAGTGTTTATATACAGTTATTGGTTACGGAGAAAATTAAAAAATATTAATATTAAATTTAAATTTCTTATCTTATTCTTATGGTTAATAAGAAAACTGTAGTACAGTAGTTTGCTTATTTGTGGATATTATATTTTTAACAAACTTTGGATATTTATTTATTTTATAATTATAATAAGCTAGGTATTAATATTTTACTAAAAACCACACTTTATGACCCTCCTAGCAGCAGCAAACCTAGGTACTCGTTAAACCTAATGTTATTTATCTATAGGTATACTAGCAGTTACCTGGCATGCGTTGCTGCGCTAACAACTATTATTTTAAATGGTAGTTCATTCTTTACGATAAATAATAAAAATGTATATCAAAAACAAAAATAGAATATTTATTGTAGCCTACTTAATTGCCAGTGGATAAACAATGATTTTTGTTTTTTCATTATACCTTCCACAAAGATTCGTGGCGACTGAACGATTAGGACGGTCGGGTGGTGTCCCAGCCCCTAAATTAGCCCTCGCTTGGCTGCTCTGGGGTTTGACAATGAGTCACCCACTAGGCTCAATGCATAGTTGGTCAAATGTTTGTATATCACCATCACCACAATGTGTATAAAATAACGTCATTTTTGTAACCTGCATCAAATAATAAGAACATTGAGCCCAAACACAAAATAATTGCCATGATATTAAGCATAACACGACACGAAAACTGTCTATTATTTTAAAACCAAATGTATACTTAATATCGTCGCAATTATTTTGTGTTTGGGCTCAATGTTTTTGTTATTTGTCGCAGGTTACAAAATTGGCGTTATTTAATACACTTTATGGTGATATGAACAAATTCTTCCAACTATGCATTGAGCCTAGTGGGTGACTCATGGTCAAAACCCAGAGCAGTCGAGCGAGGGCTAATTTAGGGCCTGGGACACCACCCGACCGTCCTAATCCCTCAGCCGCCACAAATCTTTGCGGAAGGTATAGGTGTATAAATATATAAGTTTTTAGGCGTACCTACCAACACGTGAGCACGTAACATACAGCTGCCCGTGTGAAAAGCATGCATTTTCTAAATTTAAACCGGCGATAGTCAGGGTTAGCCATTGTGTCTTATAAAGGTGATTGCGAAAGCAAGACGCAAAGGATATTGTAGTCGCTTGAATTCAAAGGGTAATTCGGATGAAATCATCGGTATTTTTGGGATTAAGACTATTTCTCCTTTAAACTTACCACTGATGATTGTTGCTTTGATCAAGTTTGATGTAATTATTTAATCGTCAGTCTGGTTCCATTGCACAGCTTGGTTGGATTTAAGTTCACATTATTATTATTGGAGTTCCTTCTTTTAATGACAGTAATGTGGTGGGTTAATGACGAATTGGGAGGCATTTGAATACTTGATATATGAGGTACGATTATTTTTTACTTAATAATTTATATTAGATTGTGTGGGTTTAGAACAAAAGATAAAAATATTAAGGCATTGCCATTTTACTTTTTATGTTTACATCTTTAATTGTGGAGAATTTAAACGTTGTTCAGTGCACAGGTGTGCTGCGATTGGGGTTTAATATATTTGGACAACTTCCAAAATTAAAATAGTTTTCTGTGCTGCATTCTGTGGAAACAGTGTGGCACTATTTCAAATGATGATTATTCAAACCTACAAAACAGTTGGTGAAAGTAAACATCTGCTTTTAAATTATACTAGTGGCTTGTATGA